CCAATGGTCGAAGGCACTAGGTACTCCTCGGGCAGATCCGCTCCGTGATCGTTGCGCAGACCCTCGATATAATTAAAGAAGGACTTGACGTCTTGCTGGGGTCGCTGTCTTGCTTTATCGAACCTAAGGATGGCATTAATGCCTCGGTTGGTAGGGTGTTCGATTTGGTCTCGGCACCATTCCTTGAATCCTTCCCAGGTCCGGGGCATTGTCTGGCCAGCCTCCGCTTGGTTATGCCATTCGATCATAAGGTTCGATTTGGCCTTCCATCCTTGCCTGGCCCAGACTACCTTTGCTTCGTCTGGAATCTCCAGGAAGGTATTCTGTAGGGTGTCCTCCAGCTGGTAGAACCAGGTAGAGCATCCCCCTAGGGTGAGGTCGTCCCACGTCGGGGTCTTCACCTTTGGTAGGAGCCTTTGGTACTCCGGGCGTCGAGCCCCTTCGTCGCGTCGTTCTGGTGTGGTCTGGCGGCTACGCGCCTGCGTCTCATTGGTGAGTAACCTCTGCAGTTCCTGTCGTTCCTCTGCAGTCATGTTCGCAATTTGGTCCACCAATGAGCGTGGTTCAGCCTGCATGTCGCCTGCAGGTTGTGTCTCACCCTCCTGCAGGTGCGCACGGCTCCTTGTTGCAGTCATGTCTCCCAAGTCGTTGGGAACGGTTAGAATGTTAGACCTCTGGTACTGGGCGGTATCAGAGGTTGGTTCTCCCGTACTTGTTGGGAGAGACTGCAATGGTCCTCGATGACGGATGGGGGAATACTGTAGGGGTCCTGTTGTAACAAGACTAACCGTTGGTCCTTTCAACCCTGGGTCCCCCCAGGGTATCTATAGGACCCGGTGTTCGCTTAGGGTAGTGTGCCCTATACCCTCGGTGGGCATGGTGATTAGTCAGCTCACGGTAGCTGCTGCACCTCGTACCCTTGGTTCGACCCATGGTCGGTTCTACCAGGGGTCGGTTCCTAACAAAAAGATTCAGTTTGGACGATTATTGCTAGCTTTGGCTTCTGCACTCCCAGCTTTAGTATTAGTTAGTTGTTTATAAAGAAACTTTACTAGTAAAACAATTCTATAATACTTATAAATCTAATAGATATAATGGATAGAGGCGAGAGAAAATAGAGCAAGAGAGAATAGGGATAACGGAAGAATAGGCAATGCGAAGATTGAGGCGAAAGAAGTTTGATAGAGGAAGAGGAAGAGCAAGTAACTTATCTATCTCCTGCTCGTTAGCCTCCCGTTCGAGCCTCTCTATTTCCGTGTCTTCAGCCATGGCTTCATCTTCCTCGGTCGGCTAGTCTTCAGGTTTTCTTGCTTCTCCGCTTCATGTTAAGGCTGAAGCTACTCTTCCTTCTTCCTAGACTTATTACGGTCCCGGGTTAAAAACTCGACCCAATCAAGCTCGACTCGTGTTAGTTAAGTCAAGTTAGGTTTTATTCTTAAATTACTCGACCCTTTAAGTTAATTTATATTTTATAATTTAGTACTCCGTAGTTAGAGCTTAATATTACTATTCTAGGTTCTTTATAAAGCTCAACGTGGTGCTAAAATGCCAATATTTCGCAACTTTTTGCACATTACAATAGTTATTAAGCCGGCTCCTTAAGTTGTGAGTTCGCTGATCCTCGTATTCCACAAGCTATTTCCGAACGACCTTCGATCGCAGCTATAAGTTTAACAGTTACAGCCTTTTGTCATGCTGAACCGGAAACAAAATGAGGTATGGTTTGGCCATTACGCTGCCCTAGCATCGTTCCCGGCCCTGCCAGGGTACCTTCAGTCCGAACTTTGGGAGAGACTCCAGGCGGCAGGGTTGGAATACGCCTGTTCACAGCCCCAAGAAGGTCATATCCGGCCATTCCGCAGTATTATCATTGCCATGAAAATATTTTAAGATGCTCTCCAGACAGTTCCACTTCGTGATATTGATCCTTTCCTTCGTATCAACCGCGCGGTCCACAGCCACGCATACTACTAGCATGGAGATGCTGCGGGCAAGGCTAGATGCTCGTTAGTATCGCGCGAAGACATGGATATGATACCCAGGAAGAGAGTACCAGCTATAAATATGGCGGCTTCCCCTCTTTTATACCTGCCATTTCTTTATTGCTCATTAAAAACGTTCAAGTTTGAGCAAGATGCTGATTCCAAGCGTGAGCTATATCCTTCCCCTGGCTGTCCTCTGTCTCCCAGCTGCAACTGGATATCCGCACCAAGATGCTGCCCATTTCCCCCAAATCAACCTGGGGTATGCTACCCATGCTCCAACTTATGTCAATGTGACATCTAGCGGCCTCAAGTATGCAAACTACAACAACATTCGATTCGCTCAGCCTCCCGTTGGACCCCTGAGATTCAGACGCCCCAAGACTCCTCCGCCAAAAGAGTATGGGGTCAAGAATGGCTCTGCTCCCATGTTTGCAACGGACTGTGTAAGTGCCATTCCGAACATATTTCCACCCCAGGGCCTCCCATCAAGATCCTGGGGCCAGGAGGACTGCTTGTTCCTCAATGTCAGGGTTCCAGAGGGAGTCAAGGAAGGTGACAATGTTCCGGTGGTTCACTGGATACACGGTAGTGGATATGTATATGGAAGTAAAGATCTCCACAGAATCAGTGGAGATGGAAGCGGCCTCTTTGAGGATATGGATCGCACTACCCAGAAATTCATATACGTTGCTAGTAACTACAGGTATGTTGATTAACTATTAAGCTTGGAAGTTTCAGCATCCTAACTCAGATATATAGAATGGGATTATATGGCTGGAGCTCCTCTCCTTCTGACGATATAGAAGCCAATGTCGGGCTGCATGATGTCTTAGCAGCTTTGCGATGGACCCGTGAATACATATCAAAGTTCGGTGGTGATCCTAGAAGAATCACAGCATTCGGAGAGAGTGCTGGCGCAGGAATGCTTGATCTCCTACTTGTCGCCAAAAATGGGAAAGAGCACCTTCCCTTCGATAGGGTACGTTCTGATCAAAGCTCCATATTTGAACAATTCCGCTAAATCAATATCCAGGCTGTCATCGCATCCCCAGCTGTTTGGCCACGCAAGAATCCAAGTCGTCGACAGGCTGTTTTTGACTCGGTTCTTAAGGCATCGAAATGTGGTTCTGCTGATTGCTTGAGGAACTTGCCAGAAAAGGACCTATTCAAAGCAAATGAATATCTCATTGTGAATGCGACGGATGGGATGACTGGAGCCTTGGGTCCAGGCCCTGGGTTCACACCTGTCGTAGACGGTGAATATATCACCGATCATATTTCGACTATCCTCGGGAGAGGTGGTTATAACAGGGGAGTCTCGCGAGTTGCTGCTAGCAATATGGCCCTGGAAGGCCGAGAACAGGCACCGACAGACAATGTGCCAGAGATATTCCCTTTCTTAGTTCGCGGGACGATTCCTTATGCCTCCGACGAGACGATCCAAAAGATACGGTCGCTCTATTCATACCCTGCGGACCTCCCTGCTAAACTTGCCTGGGACTGGGTGACTGACATAACATATGCCTGCAACGCTTATCATACCGCTAAGGCATATGCGTCCAAGGCCCAGAGATATGTCATGTCGGTTCCACCGGCGATACATGCGCTAGACCAAAGCTGTGAGTGTTCTTTTCACCCGAATATGCCGAAACCAGTGGCTAACATTTCATTCATTAGATTATTTCTATCAAGATAATACCACTACTCCAGTCGCCAGTGTCAAACTCGCAAGAGAGTTCCAGGAGCATGTGCGGCGCTTTGTTACGGACGGAAAGAATAACAGGAAATTCCCTAGCCTTGAAGATTTTCCAAAATATGGCCATGACGAGACTATTTTCAATATTACCCTTGATGGATGGAAGAAGGAAAAGGATCCATGGGAAACCAGCCGTCGATGCCAGATTTTGCGTGACATCCTTACCGACCCAAAGAATGGGGCTTGATTGTAGGAATACTAGGTAGCTAAATCGTTGTTCTTTCAGTTAGAGTAGCTAGTCAATGTATATCTTACTCTCGCGAGATACAACGAATTATCTTGGCTAGTATATATTCCGAGGGAAGGCACTTGGCTATATATTACGTAGCCGGTTTCAGATAGGTAGTTATTAGAAGTATATAGGTATTGGGGAATATTTTGTTAGAGCTAAATTCTCAAGTGAGTACCAGTCCCACTAATCCCGAATACATCTCCATAAAAAGAAATACATTCGCCGTTACAGGAGCTTGAGGATGATATATTAAGCAGTCGCTTGGGGGATATAGCGCCAGGGAAAGATAGGAAATATTTAGACTGTGAGACGGTACGTAGTGATTGCAGCATTAAAGGCTCAAATGAACGAAACACAAATGTGTATATGGGGGTATATAGAAAAAAACAGAACTCTCTAGCGTACCGCCGTGGCACAGAGAGATGATGGAATACGCTGGGGATAAATGTTACGTTGAACATAACATATAAGACCCCCGCGGTAGCTAGAAAGCTTACATTACTTGCACGCTATGCTTTGCCCTTCGTCGCTGCTTGGGGAGGTGGTGGGAAGTACATTTGCGCCTGCTCCGGTGGCTTAGGCATTTCATGGGTTTCTTCCTCACGGGGCATTGTTGAATAACTATCAGATCGGTCGCGCAAAGGTAGGTCTGAGTTCCCCTCGAGTTTATTAAAAGCGGTGGTTCGCGGGGTCGTGAGCGGGAATGACATCGTCCCATCCGGGTTGAGCGGTGATTTCATTGACCTGAGCTCCGCCAGTGTCGACTTTCGCTCTTCCTTTAGTCTCTTCTTTTCAAAGTCCTCTTCAGTTGGGAAGCAAGAAACGACTGCTAAGATAAGCTGGAGGAGGAAAATGAATCTACGTAGGAAAATGTCATGTTAGTTGATGGAGTAGGTATAAGTTGGGATATAGGTGAGAGGGTGAGAGAATAACGAACATCATGACAATTGTAAGGGCAAATGTCGCTTTAGCCTGGTTACAGTAATTGACGTTCGTATGAAGCGAGGCCACATTGCAATTCTTCGTAATGTACCATGGAGGCCCATTCTGCGGGTGTTTGGGATCGCTTGTATCGCTTGCACCTTGGTAGGCAGCAGCCACCGAATATAGCAAGATGCAAATACCATGAACTAACACCGAGAGCGGCGGGTAGAATACTTCCATCACAAACATGGGCGTTTTCGTAAGAAAAAAGAACAAACTGAGGACAGTTATGACGAGGTTGAAGTTGGTGATACTATTCAGCAGTAACAAGTTATGTTAGCAAGTGAATTTATTGGTAAATCTTCTTTCTCTAGATGTACATACAATTGACTCCATGGCTTGGGAGTGGTGTACGGTTGGTAGTTGGCAAAAGCGTATACTTTCTGGTTTGGAGAGCTGTTGAAGCCGTTGTCTGCCCCATCTTGCCAGAGTCTGGTTCGATACAAGTTGGGAGCCGCAATGCCAGTAAGGGTTAAAATCCCGACGGAGAAAGGAAGCTCGCAGGCCAGAAGGATTTTGAATGCCAGAGGAGACCAATATCTTCGAGGCAAGAACCACCCAATTTCGCCCATTTTTGCGGTGATGACTAGGGCAGAGAGAGTGCGCAAGGTTCGCGGGCGATTGTAAGTCGCAGGAGGAAGAGCTGTCAACGACAGAGTGTATGTTGCACGCAGCAGCCCCTAACAGCCTATTCTTCCTCAGAGTAGCATCTCTTTGGACGGTCCTGACAGGAGGTGGGAAGCTGAGAGGAAGCTGTTAGCTCAAACGAGGGGCCTAGCCTGATGATATCGAGAGTGAGGAAGGGCGCAGAAGGCTTAATCTCTCGACTTTAAGCGCTGTGGGACACTTAAGTAGTTATGCGATCCGACAACTGAAGAGAGACGGAAAGGTTGGAGGGAAGAAGGTGAGAGAGGAGGCCGGCTCGAGGTCGCGAGATCCATCCCTTTGATGTAAGCGCCCGTCCTTCCCGAGCCTGTCCTGCGTTCTCTGGTTGGCTCATGCAGCGGAGGTTGCAAATCCTTGACGTGCAGTCTTATTGATGTGATGACTGCTCCCGGCCCCCACCAATGATAATGCTAGAACCGGGGCTTCCTGCGCCCGTATCACACGCTAGCAAAGCGATGTGATTGGAACCCTGCATCTGGGGCCGAACGAGACCTTTTCCCCACCTCAAAGCACAGCCCGGCGCTAAGAAAAGGACCAGAGCAGGCACATCAAGACATCTATCAAATGTTGGTTTCTGCTGTCTTCCTGATCCCGTCTTTTCTGATATCTGGCGTCGTTTTTGTTGTTGAAAGTGACTAAAAAGTATATTTCAGTACTAAAAATAGCTAAATGGGTATTAAAGTTAATCCGCTCCGTTAGACTTTGGTTATGTAATATTTCGGGCCGAAGTGGAGGCGAAACCTTAAAGTTAAGTCGATCCAGACACACTTCTTCAATCTCGAGTGTGAGTAGCACACACAGCATGCATCTTCACTGTTCAGCAAAATGGTACTTTCGCGAACCTGCTTTTCAAGGTACCTTGCTGCTCGTTATCATACCCATAATAGCTTCAGTACTATGTCAGTGCAAAAAAGTAAGCCACACGAGCTTCGGACGGCAACAGAGCCTCGACAGAACTCCCTCTATAAGCTGAGAGTGTCTCAGATATCCCAGATTAATCCAACCATTCGACTTATCCAATTCAACATTATTTCTGGTTGCGATTTACCTAGTGGATCTAAAGATAATTTCGAGAGCGTATGGAATCCTGCCATGAAATCTATACCAACAGCGGCCACCATAGAATATTACTCCGTCTATTTATCTATCTTGGATATGGATAGCCACTGTGGATGACTAGGAACTAGGCTCATTACGGTGTACTGACCTTCTACACACCAAATCTAGTTATCACATAGCCAGCAACCTTCCTTGAGATTTTTACCTGGACAGTGGCTCGACGTACATATACCCAATATAAAACATGCAGGTGGATTTACTATAACATCCACCCCTCAGGATGCTTCTACTCAAGAATCCATTAATACAACTGCAGATGAAAATGATAAACGCCCTCCATACGTCGAATTAGCGGTTCAATATTCACCTACTAACCCGGCCGCTAAGTGGTTTTGGCAGCCTACTGAGCAGATATTGGATGCCCATGTCAAAGTTAGGGTTGGCGGTGGGTTTGTCTGGCCGCCGCCGAATGGTATGGCATTGGACAAGATTAGGAATGTTGTGTTTGTGGCCGGTGGTGTTGGTATCAAGTATGATCTCAATTTTATCTCCTGCCCTTGATCAGAAGGGGGTATCACTGCGTGTTTGCCCTACATAAACAGTTTGGCGCGGGGTTTTAACTAACTTGCCTTCATTAGCCCGCTCATATCAATGATCTCGTATATTTACCGGACACGCTCTTGCCTTCCATCTCCCACAAGGATTCATTTCCTATACTCAACTAGAATCCCTTTATCGTCCGCTCCTATGAACGTAGCAATGCCCAATGAAACTGTGGATAAAATGCCCTTTGCTGCGGCATCTAAGATATTATTCCTAGACCGCCTTCAGCATATCAGTCGCAACTGGAACCAAACGGAAAATGATATCAACCCCCTCGACGTGCAACTGTTTCTCACAAACTTGCCCTTGGCAAACGGTGAAGGCAATAAGGTTGACGTTCACCCCGATATACTGGATACAAACAGTCAAATTACAGTTCATGGCCGACGCATTACGGCAGGAGATCTACGCAAAGCTGTGGGCGAAAATGAGGAGCTAAGGAGTAGAACGGTATGCTACGTTTGCGGTCCCCCAGCTATGACAGATGAGTTTGTTAAGGAATTGAAGAGCTTCATTATCAATGAAGATGAAGAAGCGAGGGGGAGAGTATTCTATGAAAAGTGGTGGTAATTAAGCCTACGACATGCATATAACATCAGCCGCTGGTGGATATATGTATTTTGTGGATATTTATAACAATTCCGCCGTAAGGGTGCAGAAATGAATATAGCTTCCTTAATTACGCTCCTCTATCAAAATGAGTGTTGTAAGGATTAATTTCTAAAATGTAATATCATTATAGGCATGATTTCCTACCCCCAAGGCACCGAACAATAATCCCAACCAACAAAGCAATAATATAACAAGCCCCCTTGCGCCTAAAGAAACTCAAAGGGAATTATATATAGACAACATATAAGAAGGGGCAGAAAATGTGTAACTGAAGCCGAAAGCATTGCTGATGAATAGAAGTTTTAGCCACAAAGAAAGGCATTGTTAGGAAAAAGAGAAAATAGTAACATGGATAAAAAATATCATATCGAACTGGAATAAGAATTATCTGGGAAGGTTAGTTTGCACCTACGTGTTAGTTGGCTGGTCCAACTGCTCTGCCAGCATCAACTAGCATGGTTTCATCGATTCGATCTTTGGTATTTCCCCATTCGAGTCGCTTGTACGACATGATCCTGGCTTCGTTCATATCTATGTCGAAGAACCTGATACGACGGATATAGTCATTGTATCCACCATATCCGCCAAAACCGGCACCGCCACCATAGCACATCCAGAGTGCAGGCTTTCCACTTTTATCCTTCTCAAGCATGCAATAGTCGTTGACATGGTCGCTAAATGAAGAATTAGTACCAGTTTTCTAAGAGCTACGCCTTCAAAAAAGGTACTTAGATATGTTGGATTGGGTAAAGTTCACTTACTGTCCGCAACTCACGAGCACCACATTCTGTTCTACTAATGCATCTTTAAATCCAGAATTGTAGGTTGGAGCAGTGGGTGGCTCAGTCCAGTTCCCGGTAAAGAAATTTGCCGGGTTTCGATACTCTGGCAAAGGAATATGGATAAATGCCAAGTTCATGTGGATGTGTGTATATTTTTTATGCGCAGTTCGGAGACCCTCAGCGGTTGACTTAAACCATTTTATCTGACTCGATTTCAGCCAATCGTATCCAGGGTACTTTCTCTCGTCCGGGGTATATTTATGGGTATCCAGGAGGTAAAGTGTTAACGCCGAAGCAGAAGAGGACCCCTTTCCGAGAATTTCCACAATGTAATTGCCAACGCCGTCTATCTCTTCAGGTCCTGGCTTGGAGAGACTGTAGGGTAAACGTTGCATGAGAGCCATCTGTGAGCTGCGATCTAGGTTTCCTTCATCATCATGATTCCCGAAGATAGCGGCATAGGGAATTTTATGCTTGATGAAAATATCAGCAAATTTGTAGATTGCGGTTTCTGTATCCGGCGCGGTATCACCATTGACCTGATCGCCACTTAAAATTACCAGGTCTGGCTTTTCTTCATCCAGTAACCTATCCATAAACTCCAAAGTCCGGGTATCTGCCTCGCATTTATCTCCTTCAACTTTTGGAATGGGGTCCCGACAATGTCCAAGCCCAGTAGCCAAATGTAGGTCTGCCGCTTGCATGATTTTGAACTTCCCATCCTTTCGAATCCGGGGAACCGGTAGTTCAATCTTTCCACTCTGTCCTCGCCGAACGGTCAGCCTTGCTTCGCTCTTGGAGTCCAACATGAGAGGGATATCCTTTAATTCCCAATTAGGTCGAGGGTCAACAGCGTCAGGGCCAAACAGGACATCAACCGATGTTATTGCTTTTTGCGAGTCGGTCGAATGTGGTAGCCTCAGTATCCAAATGCCTCCAGGTCGCGACTCCCATTTATTACTAGTCCCCGCACCAGGGTCCAGCCGACCCATCCTCACATCGACAAGAATCTTATCAGTCGGTAGAATGTCGTCCCCTTTCTTTCTTTGTATATGCAAATATGCCTTGGAGGTCCACCCCTGGCCAAGGTAAAGGTCCTTTTCTATGCGATGCCATATTTTAGGATCGAGTGTGCAACTTGAAAAAACATTCAAGGCAGAGCAGGTGGTTACTGTTAGCTCGGTGACAACGAGGCCGGGGTGATGGGACGGTAAATGGTCATGTATCGAAGCTGGAAGGACCCGTATCTGGCTATCGAGAATGACGATGAAGATGACGACAGTGACGGTTAAAATACCGAGTTGGATGATAGTTCGGATCTATAATGCATTCTAAGTTAGCCAAACCAGAAACTAACAAGTCTCCAAACTAAGGGAGGGAACGTTACGATTCGGCGATTCATCTTTCCTGCAGCTCCCTTCTTCGTTGAGGCGATTCCAGGGGGCAATCAGAAAATATCCCTAGCTCATCAGCGCTGCATGAAGGGTTTGTGTAAGCAGAGCAAAGGCAAGGATCGTGTTCATTGTGAATCCCAGCAAGGGAAAGCAGGATATCAACAATTCATCTGGGTACTAATTGTATAGTTGTCCGGTTTTTGTTTTTGCAAGATTTCTTCCAAGCAAACTATCAAAGGGGAAATTGATCACGGTGACGGCAGTTCGGAACGGCGCTATTATTAGCCGCGGAGTTAACCTTAACGCGCCTAGGCCATTTAGTTGATCGGGGAGATGCGATCTCTCGGGTTTTTTTAAGAGCTGCAAGAGAGTACTTCATGAAAATTTCTACCTCTAATATATTTGGTAGAAGAAAAAAATAGAATTGATGGCTTCCGTTATATATTTTTCTCGCCGACTTTTTGCAGCATCGAGGTCACCCCTATCGAGCTGTGCGCGGTCAATTCACACCAATTTCGGGACATTTCAAGGTACTCAAAATCGTGCCTGGCCAGATTTGTGTTTTCTATGTGCTAACTGTTGCCTTAAAGAGGGTGATAGGGTAATATTAAATACGACGAAGGGCGTAACCTTGACGAAACCACTCAAAAAGGATCAAAAAACCGACGTACGTGGTGGATATATTGAGCATAACCATATCATTGGTAAAGGTGCCAGAGATGTGGTACGGACACATAATGGTATATATTCAAGCCAATTCTTCTGCATAATGTGGCTTATCTTGGAATGCTAACCTTTCAATTGCTATAGGTCGTGGTGACTTTCGAATAACCCAGCCTACCCTCGAGGAATATGTATCTCTTACCCGACGACTCGTCACTCCGGTAAAGCTTCCCCGCCAATAGACGACATATTCGTCCATGTTGAGTTACGTATAACTGATGAACGCCGCTAGTAGGTGTATGCAGCGGATGCGAGCTTAATAGTTTCGCTCCTAGATATTCACACACCACCTCCTACCGGAGACGAACCGCATGACGAACCACTAGAGATTCTGGAGGCCGGAACAGGCCATGGATCTCTAACGCTACATATTGCAAGAGCTATAAATGGGGCAAATACATCTCCACCCCCCATTCCGCAAGCCACCCAACGAACAATTCTGGACTCGCAGGGCCACACCCAGGACACAGGTGAAATAACAGAGGAGGAGAATATTAAACAGAACGACTGGGATGTATGGAGGGCCAAACGCAATGCGATTCTTCATACAGTCGAAATTTCACCCAAGGTTTCAGCCCACGCCGAGAAAGTTGTGCGGGGCTTCAGGAGAGGCATCTACACAGGCAGCGTAGATTTCTACGTTTCTAGTGCGGAAGGCTGGATCCAACACCAAATCGAAAGCCGAAGCTCAAAACTTCCTCCCGGGGAAAAGCTAAAACCATTCCTGTCTTATGCAATATTAGACATGCCATCGGCAGAAAAGCGCATTCCTGAAGTTGCCCGCGTTCTCAAAACCGATGGAGTACTGGCTGTCTTTACACCAAGTATCACCCAAATCGGGGACTGTGTTCAACTGATTAAGGACCAGAACCTACCTTTTATCTTTACAAAGGCTGTGGAACTTGGAATGGGAATTAGCGGTGGACGGTTATGGGATGTTCGGCCGGCGGTTATTAGAGCAAGTTTGAAAAGCCGAGATGTGGCAGAAAACTCATCTAGCGAAGCAGAGGGTAGTCCTATAGAGACCTCACTTAGCGACAACCAAACACACTCCATCAACGAAGAAGATGCCGGTATGCACGCATCACCAGAGAGTGAGCTTGGAGAAGGGAACCAGTCCGTCAAGCATGTGATGGTTTGCCGGCCCAAGGTCGGAGAGAGGATTGTGGGCGGTGGCTTTGTTGGAATATGGAGAATGGGGAAAGCTTAGTGCCCTTCTTTTTGTATATTATACTGTACTTTTATACACTGTATTATTAGTTATGTATCTATAGAATGTTAATGATCCTTCTTAGAGGCCAAATAAGGTTGGAATAACACATTTCTATTTTTGGTTCTTAAAATAAGCTTATTTAGATTGATCTTATCAATCAGATAACAATAATGTGGTTCGACAAAGATGGAAGCTAGAACCATCACCTATGCCAATTCAATCTGTTACTTGAAAATTATATTGAGATTTCGTAACTAATAACTGACCATTGCCTTGATAATGAAAATCCATCTATTAGAAACGCCATCCAAACACGTGTGGTATTGACGTAGAAGCGTCAAGTCTATCCACGACCAGTTCATTAAAAGTATAAACAAGTATAAATCGCAACAGAAGGGTATCGATAAATTTCAAAATCGCCTGTCATACTCCATGCAGTACAACCGTAGACAGCACAGTTTCACACCGCCTTATTTCGACTACTCTTTGCCTCCTTCTCCATCTGGAGTCTTTCTTTCCTTGCTCGTTCCTGGGCGTCGAGTCCAGTCTTAGTAACCTCATGTTCCTTGTTAAGCTTCTTTTTCTGCAGAAGCAAGCTGACCAGAAACCCGATAGCGGCGAAGGCAGTGTAGAATATCCACATAGTGCTGAAACTCTTGGTATAGGCATCAAGAACCGGCTGCTTTTCATTTGGTGGAAGAGCCTGGATGATGTGGACTGAAGCACCAGCAGAGACTCCTTGCAGTGCTTCCAAGGTCTTTGGGCTGAGAAGGTGTTGAATCTGCAGAATATTATCCTGAAGTCTGTTTTGGATAATGACACCACCGATTACGACGGAGATACTGCTCGCAAGATTCCTGCAGAAGGCTATGGAAGCGGTGGCGGTAGCAATGTCGCTGGGTCTTATATGGCTCTGAATGGCGATGATGGGGGCCTGGAAGTTAGGTCCGATACCCATTCCAGCTACTAATTGGTAGAGGATGACCTTGACCAACGACCTGTGTGATGGGAGATTGATATAGAGTCCTGTTCCCAGAACTAGAACTGTGGTTCCAAACCAAATTGGCGGAAGACAAAGCCCGGACTTACGGATGAAGATACCGGTAACCGCGGAGACGATAGAAACCGCTATCACGTTAGGGAAGAGGAGTATTCCAGACTTTAAGGGCGTCTCTCCGAGCACTGCTTGAAAGTAGAGTGGAAGGAAGAAGCTTCCGCTGGTATAAATGGCCCCATGTATGAGCACTATTCCGTATGCAGCGAGAGTAGACCGCTGGGTAAAGAGCCACAGGGGCATGACGGGATAGCGCGAAACCTTCCACTGGATAAGAATGAAGATGCCCCATGCCACTATTCCAAAAACAATCAAACATATGACCGTTGGAGAAGACCAGGAATAAGATTCGCCACCATATTCGAGGCCAATAAGGAACATCACCGTACCACCGATGACAGCGAGAGATCCAAGCCAGTCAATTGCACGGAGACCAGCGAGCAACGGGGTGGTAGGGGTATGGAGCTCCAGGAAGAAAAATATAATCAGAAACGCAACTCCGTCAATGGGAACTATTTCTACCGTCAGATCCAAAGAGGGCGCAAGCAACAACCAGCCAGGCTAAAGGAGCACGACTTACGGTTTATATAAAAACACCAACGCCAGGTGGTGTACTGGGTCATAAGGCCACCAATAACGGGTCCAATAATGCCGGAGATGGCCCAGACCATGCCGATGATACCAAAGTACATGCTTCGAGTTCTGGTTATGAGATTAGCTTAGCGAAACAGCTGCTTCAAGAGACGGAAAAACGTGGAATACGAACCTCATGCTGAACAAGTCGCTCACACAGATATTCACAAGCGTAAGAAGGCCTCCACTTCCTATTCCTTGAATCACACGGCTGGCTACCAACATCTTGATATTGATACTGACGCCGCACAGGAGCGAGCCGACCAAGAAGACGACGTTGGCAGCTAGCAGGACGGGCTTCCGGCCGAAGATATCGCTGACCTTGCCCCATGATGGAGTTGACGCTGAGAATGAAGTTAATATCCAAGATAAAGCCCGATGGAATCATTAATTAGGGGTATATTTAACATACAGGCGGCACCGAGCAAATATGCAGATCCAACCCAGGCATAATCCGCCTGTGATGTGTTAAACTCTCTAGCGATGGTTGGCAACGCAGTGGTTACGATCGTCTATGGCGTTTCTTAATTAGCCTATCAACCCGCGAAAGCATGGGAAATAAGACGTAAGGAAGAAGAAAAGAAGCAAAAGAAGACTTACTATGTCGAGAGCCGCAAGGAAGGTGGCCAACTATATAAGAGATCGTTCGATGAGCATGAAGATAAGAAACAAGCCACGGGGAGGAAAGACAAGAGCAACTCACGCAGAGAGCAAGCATGATGAGAGCGACTTTGCCCTTTGACATCTTCACCTCGCCGGAGCCAGCTGGCTCTTCTTCCTTTTGCGTGTCATTATCTGGACTGCCGTTTTTCTCTTGAAATTGATGCTGATCGCTCTCTTGATGCACTTCCTGCTGCTTGTCTGCATCTGCTGTGCCAGCGTCTACCGCCTCTTTCTCGCCGCCGATATGCATCTTTGGCGCCTCCATCCTGGCCGAGCAATCTGTGCTTCCTTCAAGAGAAGACGACGAGCTCTTCATCTCTGTCGCCGCTTCATCATGCCCGCCTGCCACCGTCGCCGTAGACTCTGTCAAACCGGCCATGAGAAAAGTACTCTCTTCTGGCCGCCACTGCTGGATAGAAGAAACGAACAAGAAAAGAAGAAGAACAAGAAGAGAAGATGAAATAGAAGTATGTAGAAACACGGCAGGGATATAAACTAGTTGTATATAAAGAAATATAGAAAACGGCTCAGAGATGAATCATCTTGTCATATAATTTTTTCGGCTCTCTCTTTGCTGTTTCTCTTATATAACCAACATAACCGATACGAGAAGAGCGGGTTATGGTTCTCCCTCCTTTTCTAGCCAAATACTAAAGAGCTAGCACGTTTAAACTATCTTCATGCCGATAAATCCGATCCATGGCAGCAAAAAGGACAAAACGCGAGCCCGAGGCCCACGGTTGCTGCAGCTTGCATCAGCTTGGCCGGCCTGGCTGCAGAGTCGCACCATAAGGGCAGAGACCAGACATGTCCCCCTTTGATCCCCATATTTTGAACGGCCCCATCGCCCCAGACTTAGCTATGTATGTAGCTAGATAGTTTAACTGCTATAGTGGAATATAACTCCCAAAATATGTACGGAGCAAAGGAAAAAACGTTCCAGCCTCGGGCAGAAGATATGGCGAGACCTCAGAGTTCGGCCGGTGTACGCCCGTAACTAAAGCAGCTAATTAGTTAACTAAAAACTAAGCAATTAGCCAGTTAACTAGTTCAACGGATATAAAGATAGCAACCCGTTCATAGGTTATTCATTTATAGATGGAGATCGACCCTAAGTGCGTATGACCGGAGCCGAGTTCTTGGACTACAGAAAAAGGCCGATATAAGATCGTCAGACAGTGAAACATCGAGCAAAGTCGTCCATTTCTATTCCTTTCTTTTTTTTGTCTTGCCTTCTCCTCAAGCCAGCCAGCTCTCAGGGCTCTAGGAGTCAAGACATCATAACTAAATATGACTATTCAGTTAGTTATATAAGAAAAAAGGGGGAAGTTGTATCCTCTCTTCGTCTTTGTCTTTAAAAATTCCATTCCATACACACCGTCACCGCCGCCGTCACCGTCACAGCCATCAACCGAGCAACCAACCAGCCAACCTCAGGTTTCGACCCAATTCCCATTCCCACACCTTCACCAGAACACCAATGTCTGCAAGATACGAACGAGGCAGATCCAGAGAGATTCATGAGATAAAACAGAGAAGGAAAAATAAAAAAAGAGGAAGAGAAGAAGCGGCAAGTAGGTAGGGAGGTAAGGGGCCAAAGGTAAGGTAAGATAGAATGAAGAAGAAAGGCGATTATACAACCCTCTTTTGGACTTGGATTGGAAAAAAAACAGACAGACCAGCTAGCCAGCTATGAGGATAGTTGGCAAGGAGAGGACAAGACAAAAAAGGGAGAAGAGGAAAAAGGAGTAAAATGAAGACAGAGCAATCGAAGGGAAGGCAAGATAGGAAAACAAGGTACAGCAATATCACCACGCCGTGTCAAGGATAAAGAGGAAGAAGCAAACAATGGACAATGGTTTCCAAGAGCAGAGAGACCCGAGGAAGCGAACAATGCGTGAGAGACGTGAACAGCAAGAGGAAAAGAAGGGAGTAAGAGAATACAGCGATGCAAGAGGAACGACGGGATGAGGATGAGTTACAGAGTAAGAGAGGAAGAAGGAGGGCCAGAGATGGGATGAAAAGGGGAGGGGAGCGAGAACGACGGCAGAGATTCCGAAATAAGAGTGAGATGATATGATGATGATGATGAGCAGGGGAAGGGAGAACAAGAAGAGACGCAGAAAAGAAAAAGGACCAAACGACTTAAGCACCCTAGCTCCATCCGTTGAAAAGATATAGCTTTGCACACAATCCTTCCCTCACCCCAAAAAATTGAAAGAAAAGAGTAGAAAACAAAAAGAAGAAACCATCTCAGGGAACATTTGCGCTGTGCCTCCTCTTCTCACTCTGTTTCACTCGGCCTCGACGCCATCCTATCCACGGGATCGGTCCTTGTCACGCTCTCGTTGAGGCCCAAAGTCGACCTCGACTACTTTCCCTTTCTTGTTCTTGACAGAAAACTCCGCCATCAACGCCAGATGATCACTGGGGAAGTGGTAGTTGGGGAAGCCGGGCACACGTTGCAGATACTCCTTGTCCACTTCTCCGAGTAGTCCGGTGACTTGAAGCAGGTTAGAGGAATACCAGATGTAGTCGATGACATCGGTGAAGCCTGGCGTGTAGTTGGTGAAGGAGAGCTCGCCAATGGCAGAGTATGCTGACTTGAGGGTGAAGGGATGCGTCATGCCTTGGCGGGTGAGGTTGCCGTATAGTCGATTGCGGAGATCAGGATGTTCTTCCTCGAGGCGGCCGTGGGCGAGAAGGTTGTAGACCGCGGAGGAAGGGCGTGAGTTAAAGTCACCGCATACCAGGGTTGGGATCTGGGATGGGCTGCTGTATTCGACGGACGGAGAGGGCTCGACAGGCGTTGGTGGGCTGGCGTTTTCGTTGTTGTTCGTCTCGTCCTCTGGTTCGGAGAAGCGGAACGCCGTCTTATCCGTGCATGCAGGTATCTTGATGAACTTCTCGGCCAACTGTGTGACTTCTTCCATCATGATGGCGGATTGGACGAGCTTGACGTCTTTATATGCAGGATCCCAGTAGATGTGCGCGTTGACTACTATGATACGCTCTCCAGACATGCGGTTCTCGAGGTAGACGACCACGGCAATGTTGTCCTTTTGCCATAGCCGATTATAGATGTCGTCCTGGCCTTTTGCGTCGGGCCGTCGTACAGCGGTTTGGCCAAAGTGAATCATCGCTTTCTCAAGGAGGATGAACTTGCTTCCCTTGAAGAAGGTTGCGCACCCGTCGACGACCTTGGCTTCTTCCTCGTTCATACCTTGGGCGCGACCCTTTGGCCAGTATACGCCCTTGTAGTCGTTGTATGCCAGCTGTTCTCTGAAGAAGCCATGATAGCTGCCCTGGTCGACTTCCTGCAGACAAACAATGTCGGCGTCCTGGCCTCTGATTTCACTGAGGAGAAGGTCACGACGCAGTTCCCAGGCGAGTGCTTTTGATGGAGCGTATCCGTACTGCTGGTGCGTGGCGTATCTGTCGCAAAGGGTGTTGTACGTAAGCACAGTAAACTTGTCATGCGGGTTCTTCGACGAGCCGCGGCCGCTTTCGTCCAAAACAACCCAGTCTCGGTCAGACGGGGGCATTGGTACTACATGCAATTAGTAAACAATGAAAATATTATTTCATGTGTTAATAGTAAAGTGGGAAAAAAGGTCATACCTGGCGTCTCTTCCTTGAGATACTTGATAAGCGCCTTTGTTCCCTCCTGCATGATGCGTGACTTGAGTACATCGTTTAGCGGGTTCCCCTCTACGCCGAGGGTTTCAAGTTCGCAGAGGTAGCCCATCTCAAAAGGAAGGGTTTGTAGGTTATTATCGAAAAGCAGGAACCGCTTCAGGTTAGTGAGCATGCCAATTTCTTCAGGGATCTCCGTAAGCTCGTTGCTGGAGACGTCCAGGTGGGTGAGATTCTTGAGCTGGCCGATTTTGCGAGGAAGGGTCTTGAGCTTGTTGTGGTTGAGATAGAGCTTGTCGAGGAAAGCATAGTGGAAGAGGCCATCGGAGAGAGCGCGAAGACCTTGGCCACCGAAGTCAATGGCCATCCAGTCCTGTCTGCGGGTCTCCTTTACGGCTACAGCGCGATTACGCTCTTCGGTGCCGTTTTCGTTTGAATCGTTTTGGTGGGAGGAGAGCTGGATACCCTTGGTCTGCTGGGCAACTGATCTGGCATAGTAGTGTGGGGAATTGGCCTGTCTAGACTCTGCGGCGAGCTGTAGCTGCTGCTGCCAGTGCTCGTTCATGGGTTCGTCGACGTCGTCTTCGATGTTGGCGGAGGCGCCGTTCTGCAGGTGTGACGGAGTAAAATGCTGAGCAGCCGCGTTGGAGAGAGCACCGACGGAGTAGCTATGTTGCTGGTGCGAGAGAACAGAGTTGGATTGCGAGTGAGGAGCGTGGTGTTGTTGCTGTTGCTGTTGCTGCTGCTGTTGTTGTTGCTGCTGCTGCGACTGCTGTTGGGGATGCTGCGGGTGCTGGCCAGGATGCTGAAACTTCTGCATGGGCATGCCAAACCGTTGGTGTCCCTGGGCGCCGTTAAGCATGACCGGTTGGCCCTGGTGGCCTTGGGAGTACATGCCGAACGAGGTGACACCTGGAGACTGGTTTATCGGAGGAGAGCGCGACGGTGACGGTGTGTCCGGATTGAACTTTAGTCTACCGGTGGGCGAGCTGGTCCCGTTTCTTACAAGGTGACGTTGGTGTGCTTGGTGGTGGTGCGAGGCTTGTTGGTGTTGCTGTTGGGTCTGTTGTTGCTGGGTCTGCTGCTGCTGTTGAGTTTGGTTCTGGAAGTAAAACTGCCCGGCCCCAGGCTGGAACCGGTAGGGACCATCTGCCATTTAACGAGGCAGACGAGACCGTGGATGTGTTCTGTCGGACGGCGAGAGGCGTAGCTGGCGTAGCAACGGGAGTCCGGGCAGAGAGGCGGGCGACGGGGCAGCTGGCGGCGTGGCAGGAATTCGAGCTTGCGGTCTTCGTCTCTTCAACATGAGGGCCCAGAGAGCGGAACCTCCACGGGCAGGAAAAGCAGCTTGCGGCCAACCGTCAAAACCGCCCTTCTCGTGCACGCTTCTTTTATGCGCTAGATCCTCTCTCACTCCTGAACTCTCCGTCTGTCCGTCTTTCTATCTCTCTATCTTTGTCTTGTTTTGTGGTCCGTCTCGTGTCTGTCGAAGTCCGAAGGCACAGCCGCAGCAAGGGAGTCTCGAGCGAGTTGGCTGCTAGGATGGATGGGCTTGGTCAGAACGGCGAGCAGCAGCAGAGAGGGAACACGGAGGGAAGGCCTGCAAACGCTTACATATGTCTGTCTTTGTTCTTTCTTGTCCTTTTTTTCTTTTGACTGTTCGACTCACTCGATGCTTTTCTTCTTCTTCTTCGTCTTCTTCTTTTCTTTCGTTCTTTTTGGTTGTTTTTTTGCCTTGAAAAGGTCGAAGGTGGGAGTTGGTCACGTGGAGTCACCTGACATCGCCGGGGAAAGGCAGAGAAAAGACGAAGACGAAGAAGATGAAGATATAAAGAGATGAAAGATTGGAAGACGAGGGTAGAAAAGGTGATGGAGTGGAGTGGATAAGATGTATAGACGGTAGGAGGCGGCAGGTCTATATATGCAGAGTAGTGAATGTGTGGGAGACGGCCGTGGACAGTGACGGAAGAGTCTCTCTGTCTCTCTGTCTTGTCTCTATCTACGAACCAGTTGCTGTCTTGGAGTCTTCACTTTGAAGGGTTGAAGACAGCAGGAGCCAGAGGGAGTTTCAGCCTGGAGTTGGCTGTGGAAGAAGACATGGCAGTCTCTGGTTGACAGAGCAGGCAGCAGAAGGATCAAAGGCAGCGGCCAGAGTGAAGCAGCTTCTCTGTTCTTCTTCTACTACTACTTCTACTACTTCTACTTTTACTTCAACTTCTACTTCTACTCTGAATGGCTCGAGATTCTACCGTGGCACAGAGAGCAGAAGAATATCCGAGGCCTGTGGCAGACCTGCAGTCGTGAATAATACATATTGTGAATACCACAGGATGGCCGCAACTAGTGACAGTTGACGGTGACTAGGCCGCCCACGCCTCGAAACCGAGTTATGCGACTGGTAAACATGCAAGAGAAGAGCGGCTGGCGGTGGTCAATAAGTCGACTAGCTGATCCGTACGGAGTAGTTTAGTTGTATATATAACTTTCGGTGGGAGAGACGTGGGTGGATGAAGATATATAAAGATATATATATAAGGAGCCTAAGTCGTCTCATCTCCATAACACAATATAAATACTCAATATATACCCGTATCCCTTCAACTATATCTCTGACTGTCTGCCCGAGCGCTCTCCTGAATCTCTCCTCTCCCTCATCCTCGCTCTTGTCTCATCTCTGTCTCCTTGCCTGTCTGGCCGTCTGACCGACTTTCCTCAACTCCATCGTCATATTAACTTGACCCCTGAAGTCCGGCTATTACATATTCACTGCTGCTTCAAAGAGCGAGCAAACAGCCGCCCCGTCCCACCAGGGATCGAGGAGATACGAAGCAGAAGGCGAGCAAGAAGAAGACTGCCTGACCGGCTGACCGACTGACAGGTAGACTGACAGGTCAAAGAGTCCCCCTGCAGGCGTTATTTTCTTCCCTCCCTTCGCTTCCCTTGCCTCCTTTTTTTTTCTTGCCCCAGGGTTGCCTTTAACTTTAACGCAAAAAAAAAAAAACTAAATAGTATGGCTGTTCCCCCTGCGGGAGGCGGCTCGAACACCAGCGGCGGCAGCAGCAGCAATAACACCAGCAATAATAATAATAACACTTCCTCCTCCACGAACTACTACAACAACTACAGCAGCAGCGGCGAGGTAAAGCACTACAACTACAACCATCACTACCAGTATACTCCGCCCACTCTTGTCTCGGCCGTCGACTTCAAACATGTCTTCCTCCCTCACGCACCTATGATGTCGATACCAGCGATAGATCCGGTCCCTGCTGGCGGCGGCTCGGCCTCCTCTCCCACTCCCAACACAGATTACACCACATACCCGCTCGGCAAGCAGAATGGACGGACCTACTTTCGCGATCCGGATAGCACCTATCCGCTGCCCTGCGACGTGCCCGAGATCCACCGCCAGTCTCTGCACTCCCTCATCATCATGACCGTCTGGGGCGGGCCGTTCTGCTCCCCTACTACCGCGGATAACCCGCCCAAAAAGGTGCTGGAGCTGGGCTGTGGCTCCGGCCTGTGGACGAGTGCGTGCCATGAGTACTTTGCCAACCGCGGACAGGCAGATATCTCCTTTACGGGGCTGGACATCATCAGCCTGGCGCCGGAGCTGCAGCAGAAGCAAGGCATCGACTGGCAGTTCAAAAAACATGACCTACGGAAAAACGCCGCCCTGCCGTTTGCTGACGAGAGCTTTGATTTCGTTTTTATCAAGGATGTCTCGCTCTGTGGGCCCACGTCGGATCTCAAAGCGGACGGGACGTTGTCGGAGCCGTTGCGGGTGCTCAAATCAGGTGGCGTGCTGGAAATGTGGGATTCTGATATGGTCTACAGGACGCTGCTGCCTAACCCGCCCGTGGCTCCCGGGAAGCTGTCCGAAGAGTACCAGGAACAGGCTGAGATTACCGGTACATACACCATCTCGTCCGCCACTCCCTTCACGAACGCCCAGAACAAATATCTAAACGACTACAACACCTGGATCCAAAAGGCCTTTGACGCTCGCAGGCTCAACACCATGCCCTGTGCCACTATCGGGCTCGCCTTCTCGTCGGAGGCTGACTCGTTTCAGAGTTCCGGCAGCAGGCGGGTTGCCATCCCGCTCGGGGAAGTAAAATGGGAGCAGAAACAGAACGGCAAACCCCTGACGGCCGACCAGATGGCCCTGCGTCAGACAACCCTGCTTACCGTCGTGCAGCTGATCGAGAGCATGGAGCCCTTGCTCATGGAAGCCAGCGGCAAGGGCCAGGCAGAGTGGGATCGCTGGTGGACTGGCATGACCACCGATCTGATGCAGAAGGGAGGCGTCGCCAGCGGTGAGTGCCTGGAAGTCGGTGCCTGGTGGGGGCGAAAGAAGTAGCCCTATCTCCTTCTCCTCGTTCTTCTTCTCTTTTCTCTACCGTTTTCTCTTTTTTTTTTCTTATACCTCCCACCCGGATCAGAAAGAAAAAAAAAGTGTAAAAAATCACCTCCCTCAACACCGTCGGCCTGGACTTCCGACTTTAACTTCCAACTTCAACGCTCAGTTGCTCGGCGTTTGGTAACGCTTCTTCAGCGTCCGGTACCGTTTCAGGTAATATCTGCACGCAGCAGGTTAGCACAGCAACGCTTCTTATTGCTTTTGTCTTCTTTTTTTTTCTCTCTCTATCACCAGCTCAAAACGGGGCGCTATGAACGGAAACGGAAACACATGGGATGGGGTATCTGGAACGACAAAAAAAATATGCTGAGGTTCAACGGGGTGTATATCACAAATAGACGTCAGGAGTGGTTTTTCTCTTTTGTTTTTATGTGTTTTTTTGGTCCTTTCCTTGACCATTTTCCCCGGGTGAATAGGAGTATATCGGTGAGGTGGGAGGTTCCATTGTATGTACGTCTAACGATCTTGGGACTATATGCGGAGTATTATAATTTGCTTGAGTCACTTACAATGCTTCGACTTCTATGATTATTATCCTGTTAGAAAGAACATGAAGAAAATAGAGCCAGCTTCAACGCACCTTTCTTCACAAACTCGGCTCTTTCTATGCCCTTTTTGATCTCAGCTTCGTCCGTGATGTGCGACTGGCTGGCAAACGCCCGGTGCAGCCGTTCTCGGAAATATGCGTATCCAAGAGGATAATCTCGACCAAGGAAGAGAAGCTCTATTCCAGCACACCACATCAGCCTTTATAACACTCGCACAACCCCCTAAATCCGCTTGCAGCTCACCTTTATAGACCTTCACCACCTGGTGTCTTAACGAGCTCATCCTGCCCCCAGTAGGTCTTGCTGCGACAACTGACGTTGAAAGTAAGCCTATGCTAGCGTCCGGCCTTGCATAAGCCTGCTACCGCTATCCTTGCGTCCAACCTAATCCTTCGTCTCGTCTTCCGCGTCTTAGTCTCCCTTCTTTTTCTCGTTGTCCAGTCTCCATCCCTCGTCGTCTTCGTCTTCCCAGCGTCAACAACCAAAAACCCACCGCGGGCCAAACGCCAAGTCACGTGCCTACCCCAAACTCCGGCCCGTAAAGCCGAGGGCCGGCAAATCCAAAACCGACGTTAAAGAAACGAACCAAGATAAGAACAAAACAGACGAGAAGCGAGCGATTGATTGCTTGTAACAGACTGTAGAGCGCATAGAAGCAAGGGAGCCCGACATGTCTTCACCTACGAACCTGCTGCGAAAGACACTTCTCGCTCGCAACGCTCTCAGTTCGTCGTTTGTCAGCAGCGTACCAAGCATAGCTCCCGCCAGTCGATGCTCTATCCCTGCTCTGTCCCGAGCCTCTCACTCCCATTCGCATTCCCATGCAACCCACAGAACGGCATCTAAATCTAATACCCAGCTCGATCCCCGATGGCTCTCAAGTGTGAAAAGACGTATTGGGAAATGTATTGCCTTTGGCATGGGGCAGGATCTAGTGCCTGTTGCGGGAGGGGTGCTGGAGGAGATAGCGCGGGACTGGAGGGAGTTAGTTGCAGGTAGCGAGGGATTCTTGACCGGGGAGAAGTACTGTGGCCTCCATAAGCATAATGTTGTCTGGGGAGAGATGGTGAGTACTGCTACATCATTTTTATTCTCTTTATCTTTCTATGCGTCCCTACTGGAGCCTGTATGGTTTTGTACTGATTTACGGTTACCTTTTCTAGGACTCTATGGTAAGATACCCATTTCTTCCTTGATCATATGCGATTGTAGCTGGGTTTCACCAGCTATGTACCATTTACTTTTTATCCGTGGTATAAACGAGCTTCTAATCGGCGTTTCCATGTCCACTTATCTGGAAATAGGGTATGCAAGCATACCTACACATTCATATTCATTCCTACCAAAGAAGAAAACTAACACACGACACAGGCCATGTGAATAATGTAATGTACGTCCGCTATGCAGAGACAGGCCGAGTAAATTGGTCTCGCAACATAGCCATTCATCACGACCCCGAAAACAGCAAGGAATGGTCTCAGCTCGTGGGCTCCACAAGCATCGGCTATATTCTAAAAAGCATTAAAGTGGACTATAAATTCGTGCGTATACCCATTCAATTAATTCACTATGCACAAAACAAAATTGAACAGCCTCCTATTTACTGACATACGACATCCAGCCCATGATGTTTCCAGACCAAATCAGCGTCTACCACAAGCTATCAAATGAACCTCCGGCACCAAACGACCCGAACCCAGGCCATTTCTCAAACCTCCATCTAGACGTGTTGATCATGTCTGAAGCCAAGCAGCGTCCGGCTGCTCGATGCGAGGAAGATGTAGTGCTGTACGACTACAGAATTGCAAAGAAACTAAATACCTTGCCTACATGGATGTTGGTGCAGTATCGGAAGATTTGGGAAGCACAGGAGGCTGCTAAGAGAGTTAACAGGGGAAAGGTCCAGGATATTGAGAGAAGAGTAAGGCAGTTGGAGGTTGGTACGTGGGATAGGGAGGGTGCTGTCGAGAGTATGGGTTCCGCTGCTAGATGATGTATATAAATAGAATCCCTTTTGGTCGTTGGTTTTTGGATGCAAGTCTGATTTGATGCTTATTGGATACATATAGAAACGTAGATACGTATTCTTTACAATGCACAGGCCCAAAGTATTAACTTATTTATTATATAATTGGTAACTGCTCTATAACCTCTCCTTGTCTCGGAGCTACGTATGAAGCCTGATTACCGTGACCGTGAACCGGATTATGAGCATGGATATGAGACAGTGCTGGCGCAGGGACATGAACAGGAACCGAAGCCAGAGCCGGGGAGGAAGAAACTCCCGTCCCGTATGGCAGGAACTGTCGCATCCCATTAGGCGCGTACCGATACATCCCCATGCTCCCACCAGCAGTGATGATGGCCCGATCATCTTCGATGATTGCAGCTCGCTCGACGTACCATGGCGTAATCGGTACGCCGGTCGGAGTAAGTATTTGCATATGAATTCGAAGGCTTTCGCGAACTTCGACTTCAATTTCGACTCCATTGCTGGTTTCGGTTGCGAACTCTACGGGTATACTCTGCTCTATACCACTGTAGGTGAGCGGGTTATAATTCAATCTATACAGATCGGATCTGAATATGTTTTGAATATTACTCGCTGGCTCGCTTGAGATTTCAACATCAATGAAGAGGTTAGGGTCACCACCACATGCAGGGATCAGACGAAACCTTGCTGGAACCTGGTCGATGTATTAACTTTTTCGTGTTCTACCCTTCCATGATAAGCAAAGGGTTAGAAGCATACCTTGGGGATAAAAGCTCCTGGCAAGTAGCTGTTGTACATGGCTGACTGGGCCATTTGCATCTGGGCTTGTTGTTCACGTTCCGCTAGGTCCTGAGCATTGGTAGAGGAGATAATGCGTTCGTGCTGGGCAGTTAGACGGTTAAGACGGCTCTGAAGACGTTCTCTCTTTTGTACAGTAGACGCGAGCTCCGCTTCGGAAGTTGTGACAGCTTTTGCCATATTGGATTTAGCAGTCTCAACTTCCTGTTTGAGAGCCTTTAGCTTTGACGTCTCCGCTTCAATGACGGCCTTTCGAGCATTCCATTCCTCTAGCTCAGTACCCGGTCCGAATGATTTCTCAAGGTTCTCAAGCTGTGCTTCGATTGCAGTAGTTGCGTCCTCAGTTTGGCGGATGGTCCGTTCGAGCTGAAGGGAGCGTTGCTTTTGGCGGCTTTCGTCTCCACCACTCGATAGTCTGTGGGTCAAGCCATCTAGCTCACGTTTGACTTTGGAAAGATGAAGTTTGTGGTTGTTTCTAGAGCGTTTAAGGCGGGAGCGGCGTTCGTTTAGCTTGGCTTCAGCATTAACTATCGAGTTCTTGACGGTTGTTGATGGCGATGAAGGCCGTAGAGATTGCTGCGGAGACAAAGCGACGGGAGGAGTAATGACTACAGCTGTGTTTAGCAGGACGGGCTAAAAAGAGTGTTGGAATGCAGGATATGGGCAACTTACCTTGGTCTGTGACGGGTGCTGACGGTGTCTTGACGCTCACAACACAGACTTCCTCGTTTGTATCGACACACACAAAGCTACAGGTATATGTGCAGTCTGGCGCTAATCCAGAAATCTCCCCTCTCCAGTGAGCAACAGGTTGATCCTTGGATGAATCAGTTACCCTAGAAAGCGTAACAGGAGCCCAATGTGCGCCGTTGACACGAACGTAAAATGGCCCTGCAGCGCCATAAGCGGCACCTTCAGTAACAGCGTCTTCACTGATATTGAAATCATTTGCAGCAAATTCAATGCTTGAGGTATCCACGCCAGTAATCCAAATAAATGCGTTTTCAGGCGATACGCCATCCAAATCTTCTTCCGAAGTAGGGACATTAGGGGAGTACCAGTTACCATTCCGGGATCGTTCATATTCTCTAGTGACAGTAAATTTTGTGCTAGCCAAAGCGGCCCAAAAAGGTTGTATCCTTCTCGCCTCGTTGGCTTGACGACGTCGTTTTTTAGCAGTGGAGACCCGTTCCTTTGTATCTTTTAAACTGGAACTTGACTGTGCAGGTTCCGACGAAATGCCAGAGGATAAAGCAGTTGAAGGTTCAATAGAGGAGATATCAGGTAATGTCGATGTTCCGGCAGCAGGTGTATCCGCAGCAGACCTTTCACTACTTTTGGCTCGAGGAGAAGACCGGTTCTTGGCCATTGACCGTCGAGCCATGGCAGTTCCAGCCTGAGCCAAGATGTGTACTGCAAGGAGGCTTCCTATCCAACTAGGAGGTGAAGAACTGTCTTGACGCCGAAACTCTGCGGGTATCAGATAAGAGTACTTTGCGACTGTTTCAGGAGAAAGGAGTTTTGCTGAAAACAAATGGCCAAGAAGAAATGTCTGTATCCCTTCGCTCCGTAAGAGGTGTACGATGAGCACCATGGAGACACAAAAAGTGTTGACACCTCCGGTGCCCCCAGAGCTTCCAGCGCCCAAAGCAATTGCTACCTGAACATGGGCGAGGTCTATAGCGAAATTCTTTGCCCAATTCCACATAAACAAACCCCATACAAGTAGGCAAAACCCATCCATTGCAATCATTGTACTTAGCGAAGGAGTTCCAGCCGGTCCTTGGAAAATGTCAAAATTCGAGGTCAGGGTTCCAGTAGAGACACCAGCTGGTAGCATGAAGGTCATGGAAGCATAGAGAAACTGAACTAGGGTCAAGACGATGGGAGGGAGCTGTAGAAGGAGAATGAGAATGGCGATTGTATCTGACGTGGGACAGGCTTTGAGGATCGTCGAAGCAAGGACCAACGGATTGACACCTTTACGGGAGGAATGGGCCTTTTTCACGGCGGGAGCCGTCCTATCGGCTCGACGGGGGAAATGTTCGTCGAATCGGTCTCCGGCCGGGATGCAGTTCGCAGCTGAGTAGGTAGGGTGGCCATTTGGTGGCATGACGGCATCTCCTCCACCATTACCACCATTACCACCACCACTACTAACCATGGCGTGACCGTTGCTTCCGTTAACCTGAGCACTTCCACTTCCACTTCCACGCCCGCTTGCTTCTTTCTTGGTCATACCGGCCATACCATGCGAGGAGCCATAACCGTTTTCGAGCTGGCCATCGGGGTTTTGCGGAGTCTTAGCGGAGGCGTAGGAGAGAGAAGGCGTGGAAGCAGCAGCTACAGGCGGAGAAATAGAAGTTGCTGGTGGTGAAGAAGTAGTGGGAGGAGTCGTAGTTGGAGTGGGAGGAGTATTGCTGGAGGCCTGGTGAAGTCCGTTAGGAAGGCCATTCAGATGGCCATTGGATTTCTGTTTGGCGAGCTTCTTCCCTGGCAAGGTCCGGCCTGACTCGCTGCGCTGTCCGTGGTGATTCTTCCTCGCCATGGATTATCTATCCGCGGGCGCCAGGTGCTGTCGAAGAGCCCAAATCCACCTTGGCGAGGGTTAGCCAGAGTGGAATGGGCTGCGAGGCCACCTGCGGCCCAAGAGGCAGAGTCAGGATGATATGATCGAGGGGGACGGGGGGTAATTGGCAGATGGGGGTGCCTTAGACAGAGCCGGCCATCCTTTAGCGGGAAAGGAGAGAAGAGAGCGAGAGTCGAGAAAGCAGAGGAGAGGAGTCAGAAGAAAAGCGAAGGAGACAGGAAAAAAAAGCAGTGAGCGAGTGAGTGAGAGAGGCTGGCCCAGCGCTCGTTTCGGATTTCACAAGATGCTTTTTTTTCCTTCTGACTTTCTCGGCGGCGCGCTTGCGGTGAAAAAGAGGTAAGCGCTGACTAAGGAGTAACACCAATGGCGTGTGTTTATTTGATTAGTCATCACAGCCGCAGACCTTATTTTATCGACATCAAAAAGAGTCTGAGATATAAAAAAAAAGCGAGCGAGACGCGGAGATGCAAGAAAGCCCGTTTTGTTGCTTTAGCTGGAGAGCGCTTTGGAAACTACGCAGCAGCCTGCCTTATTCTGGCTGTTTTCTCTCCGCGGACTGGCTTTTTGCTGCAGGAGGATGACACACTTTCCCTTCCCGCTTCTTCCTTCACGTTTTGGCTAGGCAAGGCGGATGTGCCGGGAGACTCTTCCTGCCTAGGCACATACACTCTATACTCCTGCTGCCTGCTTCCCGCTCCTTACGCCTTACTCCCTACGCCTTCGCCCCGAGTAATCCTTGCTATACCCTGTCTTGCTGTCCTCTCGGCCCTCTTGCTCTCTCTCTCTCTATCTGCCCTCAATGCCCGACTTCCTCTGCCCTTCAACGCTTCTTCTTCTCTTCCTCCCCGCGACCTAAAGAAAAACTAGAAAGCTTAGACGCCTTGGCAGATCGGCGTCACGTGGGACTAACGATCTGCTTATCTAAGCTGCAGATACTCAAGCAGTGACAGGGGAGAAAAGTGAAAGTGAAAGCGAAAAGATGAATATCAAAACGTCGTACAGAGTGACAGCAGGAGAAGTAGACAAGGGTCACAGGTCGCCAGAGCCAGCAACGAGCGGCATATACGGGGCGACCGCATAATATACACGCCACTTTTGCCCTCATGCGGAGGCGCTGCGATAACGGCCATCGATTCGAGATGAGGTGTATATTTTCTCCTGCATGGGTTCTCCCCACAAAAATACCGCCTCTCGGATGCAGTGCTCGGGACTGCTCACATTTATTTCTCCTGCTCACATATGTCGCCTTGTCATCTCTGGGCGATCGACGGCTGACATGCCAGCAGCATTGGGGGGGAGGCAAGTACTTACGTACTGATGTAGCACTGCAGGTATGGGCCTGGTGAATATCCCTGAGGTTGGACTCCATCCATTCCGCCCATCTTCAGCGAACCCACCAGTCACGGAGAATGTTGGAAGGAATCCTTGCAAGAGACTAACTGCCTTTTATGGCTTCTGCACCAGGCTCTCTTCGTCTCCTTCGTATAGGTTGTTGTTGGTTGGCTGATTGATTGATCTGAGGCGCGGCTATTTCTTCTATCAAAACATACTCGCTGCTTTACTCAGACAAGCCGTCAACATTATTCCGCATTAAAGCGTAATGAGCAGGTGGCGATAGTGTGAAGGTAAGGTAGCACTGGTTTAATTAGCAGATACTATCTATAGTTGTCGTACTCGCTCCCAACGGTCGGTTTCTTCAAGGATAATGCTGGACTAAAGTTAAGCATTGACCCTGACCATATGTACTGATATTATACTCCTTTTATTTTCTATATTCTCGCTTCTCACGGGTAGTTGCTGGTAGGAAAGATGTTGAAAGGTCCCGAAATATATCTACATGGTATGGAGACCTTCTACCGTAATAACCAACCTAATACGTGCTTTGAACGCCAACCGAGACCACCGTACAAATAATATGAGCGCTAATATACAGAAAAGACGCCTTCATTCCCTTTGTTACTTTGACAGGGAAGAAGGTACGACGACCTCACCCATCTCCCAGAACCTGGTGTCGGCATATGAAAGGCACAGCTCTCTCGCCGCATGCACAGTGTCCACATTCACAGCTTGGTCAGAAAAGACATTCACCACCGTCCCGAATACAACCACATGATCTCCAACTCGCGTGGTTTGTGGTAGACACCGGCACTCAAATATGAACGGGAAATGAGAAAGCTGTGTTTCCAGCTCTTCTCCTGGTTGCCCCCCATTTATCACCAAACGCGGCGGCTCCCCGCTTTCGAATGAAGGCGATGCTTCAACATCACTGGGCGCACTGAATCGAAAGAAGGAAGTACGCTGCTCATCTCCTCTCTTAGCTACGTTTTCATATCCTTTCGAAAACTCCAGCGCCAGTCTTGCCATAGCCTCCGTAGGAGAGAGAAGGTGAACGAGGAACCGGGAAGAAGAACGAATGGCGTTGTACGTCTCTGATGGTACCTTGACATTAAACGATATCACTGGCTTTGGGTTCAGTGTCACCGTGTTGAATGAAGATACCGTCATTCCTCTGAATGCTGCATTGGACGGAGAGTTGGGATCCGTCGAAGTAACTATCGCAACTGGATGAGGTACCAGTCTCATCAACCGCCGGACTTGAGTCTGGATATTCGTCTCAGCATCAAGCCCCCTCTGGCTTTCCGTCGAGACATCATCTTCTAGTTCAATTGGCTTGGTTTTGATGGTATTCGGTATATGTGAGCTGTTTGCTCTATGCGTGATCTCGGCCTTCGCTTGATCGACTCGCTTTCGTAGGTTCGGTGGCAGGACCGGGCTGAGGGTATCGGAGATGCTCTCAACATGTTTCGATACAATTGCTCGTACTATTCCCCCGTAGTATCTGCGAGAGAGGGTATGGCATGGTGAGGGTGCGCTCGTTCTTATGGTAGTGTTATAGGGAGCTTGAAGTATCAGGAGTCTCTGGCACCGTGGCCGAGAGAAGGGGAGCATCTTCCCTATTAACCAGCTGTGAAAATCGCCTTCCAGTATCCGATTGCATCGTTCAACTAGTCCAGCTGCTCTCCCTCATCCTCGTGCATCTCCAGGTATTGAAATGCTCGTCGTCCTTGTTCCTGATCGCATTAAAAAAATGACGAAGCTTTTACTGGGCACAGGAAAAACATGCTGACGTAATCAAAAATTATCATGAGCAGCTTCAATCTTCGCGATCAAATCTTCAACTGCATCCAAATTTCACAAAACCACCATTAAAAAGCCATAACCCACCCAATTGACAGGGCTCAGTCCCTCAATCCTTCGCAAACGGTACCTACCATCAAAAAAACCATGTCCTTCCACGCCCCCGTTCTCCGAGCGGGCTCAAAAGCCGCCTCATCATCAACCACATTCATCTGCACTCAATGCAGACACGCAACCCTTCTCCGCCGTCCTAAGAGACCATATACATTCACACAGCTCATCGCTCTCTCTGATGGAAGCACATTTACCCACCGAACCACATCGCCTCAAGCTGTCTACCGATCTACACGCGACACCCGCAACGCATTGCTATGGAACCCTAGCAGTGAAAAGCTGCTAAACCTTGAAGATGATGAGGCAGGTCGATTAGCTGCTTTCAGAAGCAGGTATGGACGAGGATGGGACTCTGCTACGAAAGTATCTGCGGAGGATGTGGCTGCCGCCGAGGCTGTTGCTGCTACTGAGACTGGAACTGCGGCTGCACCGAAACAGACGGCTAAGGCGCCTGAGAAGGAGGAGATCGTGGAATCTGAATTCGAAGATGAGGACGAGGACAGTTTGTTGGATTTAATTAGCTCGTTTGGCCAGGAAGAGCCATCTGCTGGGTCGAAGAAGAAGTAAATAGGGTGCGACGAGGTGGTGTTAGATTGTTGAGCTGTTTATATGCCTTTTTTGTATTCTACCTCCTATTTCTGGCATGGCATGAACCAGGGCGAGAACGATATTGTACTATACTATACACTTTGGAAGAGAAGCAATTCACGATATTCTTGAGCCAAGTGGTTCTTGGTTGCTTCAACTGCTATCATTTAATGCATTGTAATAGAAAGTCACCTTGAGGTTTGAACTATATGGGAGCCATTACAATTTGATTAGCCTGGCCACCTATCACCCGATACTTAGATAACAATACACATCTGTAAGAAAATTTTTGTATACTACCTAGGTAGTCAAAGCGGAGAATAACGAGGAAAGTGGTAGCGTAAGGCATAATTCATTTCCGGAACTGTTTTAAACACTGTAGGGCTCATCATAGAGGAAATAAGATGGTACGATATTAAAGGATCTGTGGAAAGATAGGCGCCTTTTCTTATAAGAAAGTATAGGAAAGTGGTATAGTATCAAGATCAGCATCCTAATTCAAACTGTGAGAAGATATGCTAGTGGTCCTGTATATTTTAGGCCTCTTCCTGGTCTCTAGATGCACTGTTGCTTTCTGGGTGCTGAGGGTTTGGCCCATTGTCTTCAGAGGTGGGAGCGCCGATGGTAAGGTGAGCGGGAGCTGGCTCTTCATCGGCATCGAGCTGCAAAAGGAATGTTTCCCATAGTTCAATGAGCTAAGTGACCCAATTAGCATGATATCCAAAAAGAAATGTATGTAGATGTTGGTAAATGTACGAACCTCCTTCTGAGCTTCAACAGCACTCTCCAAGAAGGTTTCCACTCCAGACTTGAAATCTTCAACTTTTTCCCTTTCAAATCTCTCCAGCTCATTCCGCATTACTCTCCCCAAATCTTCAAACAGTAATCTTGACTGGTGAACTCTTTTCTCTGCATCCGCAACCTCCGCATGAGCTTGGTTCAGCCGGTCCTGCTGTGACTTGCCCTGCCTCAGCAGTTTGTCTCGTGTGTTCTTCTTCTTCTGCAAGTCGGACTCCGCTGCATGCCATGAATGATAAGATTTCTGACGCTGGGTGAATGCCGTCTTAACACTACCGATGAGTCGAATGTATTCGTCCATGGTAATACCAAGAGTCAGGACGTCCTGTTGCGCCTGACGCTCGTAGAGCTCACGAATGCGAAGCTGGACTTCGGCAAGGCCATCGAGGGGGCCAGAGAGGGCAGGAGACAGTTCAACGCTTGCAAGAGAATGGAGAGAAGTAGAAAAATCACTGGCGGCTTCTGCAAGGTTTTTGCGCTGGGCTACAACGGTATCGACAGCTTTTAGCAGGGCTCTGAGCTGTGTCTCAAGAGCGTCCAGGTAGATTTTTCGATCATGGAACCACTAGATAGAATGTAAGTATTAAAACAAACGGTGGATAAAGGTTGACGTTAAACATACGTCGTCATGTTCTATAAACTTGCCTCCGCCTCCAACAGATATCCCCAGAGAGCTGAACATTCCTTTACTTTGCCCGAGATCAGGCTCGCGATTTTCTTTATTCTTCACGTCCATGGTAAATGACTCGCTCTCTAGGAAGATCTTGAGATCCCCATCATGCTGGAGTGTAGGATGGGCAGCAATTTTGTTAAGCATACGCTCCAACGCCGCCCTTCTCGACTCAACGAAATTGGTATCGAATCTCCCTACTGCCTGCTTCTCAGGGGGAGGCGGCACTACGATTCCAGGGTTGTTGGAATGTAATGAGTTATACAGCCATAGAAAGTCTCTGTATCGTCTAGTGACTGTAAATTCAGGTCGAACATATGCCTTTGAAGTTGTCTGTATTGGAACGTTAATTAGATGTTTGAATGCATGGGTATAGCCGGTGCAGAGAAATGCACTTACTTTCGTCCTAACTTGGTAAACTATATGACTGCTAGTAATATCTCCAACTTTATGTGGATCTCCAACGGTAATGTAGAATGATGGCTTCGCAGCCTGCTCAACGCTGATACTTTGATTTTGTCGTTTATCGGTGGTTGACGATGCGGGTGCCGGTTGGACTGGCGGGGGGCCCTTCGCTCGCGCAGAAGGGCTGTCTTCATCAAGATCGACAGATTCCATCAGCGTTGTTACGCCTGCTGCGCTAGACGTCTGCGACGCCGAGGAGGTAGGCCGGGTATTCCGAGATGTGAACGACTCCTTGCGCGGGGGCGCAGGTCGCAGGTCCTGTGTCTGGGCATCTGCAGCTGAGAACGAGGCAGTCTCGCCTAGAGGCCCAAGAGGATCAAGGACGTCTCCTGCAGGCTCTAACTTGACTACCTGCGCGCTGACCTTACGGGGTACTCGGGGGCCTCGCGCGGCCGGTGGTGTCTGAGGAACGGAGAGTGATGTAGACGACTGCTGGGCGGCTGGCTGGGTCTCTTTAGCTAGGAATAGTCAGCAACGCAGATCAATTTAGACTGATGACTGTCTAAATGCGATACACAAGGTCATACCTGGCTCATTTCCATCATTGGCCTGGGAGTGGGAGGGAACATCTGTCAGTCAAAGCCGTCAGTTCAAGTCGTTGCAACGTCGGCGTGGAGGATTTTGGATGGTGTTCAGATATACCGCCCCATGGAGAGTCGCTGCCCTCCAAATCCATGGCCAGCAGGCTCCTCTTGAGTAATGCTTCCTGGTGCTAGCGAAACGTGAGTGGCCTGGCTGTGATAACAAGCAAGGAGGGAGTTGAAGATGTTTCTGTGCTGGCTCGAAAGCTCTCAAATAAGAAAGCTGTTTGCCTAACTAACCATGACGAAAGTGGTGTAAGTTTGGTAAAGTTACGCGTAAACCCGTTACCATCTTGATATAAATTACGCTTTCATCAACACCAAACTATTAGTATATTTGGCTGCAAGCTATTAAGCATAGGCTCATTAAAAGTATGTACTGGATAAATTCTCTAGTTATGTTCATGTCTAGCAACCCTCTTCAACCTTCTATTTTATTATTTATGCTGATTCATTGACAACCCACGGCAGGCCGTGCGAATGCATCTGAACAGCCAGTTGGAAGAGGTAATCCAGACTCTCACACTGAGTCTTTGCTTTGGCAGGAGTATCGCCCCAGACGTATCTATAGAATACCACTTAGTTTAATCTAGATCACCATGAGCAACAAGGTGGCGCGACTTACATTCCATGCCTCCGAACAAGAACAGCGTAGGTATCGGGATACTCCTCCATAGCCTTCTCCAAACTCTCGGTCAAGTCCTCCTCAAAAGCAGTATTCTCGATAATCGGAATCTTAAGCGTGTCGAAGAAACCCAGCATGCCTTTACCTTTGCCTCTGGGAATCCCCTTGATCTGCTCGATGTTGCTGATCTCAAAGCAGCCAGACTTGCCCTTCTCTCGTTCAACAAGCAAGGTGACCAGAACAGCCCATTGAGAATGGGTGTGGATGCAGCAACCGGCGCCGCGGTCAAAGGCAGCAAGGAAGAGAGGCGTACAGGCAGACGGGTTCAGCGCGGAAGGCTTGCGGATGTATTTACGCGCCGATGGAGGGTATTTGGGAGTTGGGTAAGAAAGAACAAAGATCTCATTGGGTTTGATGAGCTCCTTCTGCACGCCAGAGGGAGCAATGAAGATGTGTTCACCACGACGGATTGAAGTCTAGTAGGTAGGTTAGCTAGAAGCCCTTGACGGGAGATTGTCTTCTTTGGCGAGCTGCATACTCCACCGCCGGTACCAGTAACCCATCCTAAGCTGTAGAATTTCTTGCACAGCTCTGGGATCAGGTTCGCTGGGTGCTGAGGGTCATCCGACTGAACAAGATGGTCATTGTTCTCCCCCTCTTGGATCTGCTCTGGCTTGCTATCCGCCATTTTCACGGGGTATTCAGGCAAGAGTAAGCGTAACCACCAAGAAGTACCTTCTCCGCGACCAATTGAATGGTAATCTCCTTCTTCTTTTTCTTCCGCTGAGTGTTCTTCTGCCTGTTCTCTGCCTGCCGCTTCGTCTTCTTCGTCTTCTTCGATCTTCAAGCGGGACAAAAAACTGAGTTTCGGGTGGGATGGACTTGATGACTAATAAATGATTAATGTCCGGGTAAATACCGGACCGCGCGGTAACGGCCCGCTATATCCACGCACTGGGTACCTGGTCTACACCCACGCACTACCGCGCATCCCACCGAGGGCCGTGGCAGTAAGCAGCTCTGTCGGCAAAGTGAAAGAGGCCACCTTTCAAGCGGCACGCCCGCCCTGGTTTGACGTTATATAATCTCCCCAGGTCAACCTCGTTTCAACCTTCGTGTCCTTTCTTCTCTTCTTCGTCGTCGTGTTCGTCTCTCTCTCTGCTTTGCTCGTTTATCTGCTGCTAGCCAGCCTGTTTCTGCTCTCCCGACCCTCTTAACACAAGTTGACGGAGTTGTCTTGTTCTATCCATTGAGAACATAGCTCACAGGACTCGATCGCAATGCGTCTCAACGCCCAGCTCGCGTCCTTGCTGCTCTCGTCTATCGTGCTCGTTGGCTCTGCCCATGGCGCCGACGAGGAGCCAGCGGTAGAGAAGAAGGAAACTTCCTCTGCCATTGAGAGACCCAACTTTGTTGTACGTTTGCCGTTTTGCCTTAAAACTCACTCTGCTACGCTACCGTATAAGCTTTCTAACACGTCATGTAGCCTACTACCATCAAAGCTCCCTTCCTCGAACAGTTCACCGACAAGTGGGATTCGCGATGGTCTGTCTCGCATGCTAAGAAGGAGGATGCCAAATCCGACGAGGAATGGGCCTACGTCGGTGAATGGTCGGTGGAAGAGCCTACCGTCTTCAAGGGAATTGAAGGCGATAAGGGTCTTGTCGTCAAGAACCCAGCTGCCCATCATGCTATCTCCGCCAAATTCCCCAAGAAGATTGACAACAAGGGCAAGACCCTTGTTGTTCAATACGAAGTCAAGCTACAGAGTATGTAACTTGTCTATGAAGCTACGATAATCGCGCTGGTAACTGACATGTCCTAGACTCCCTAACCTGTGGAGGCGCATACATGAAGCTCCTACAGGAGAACAAGAAGCTCCATTCCGAGGAATTCTCCAATGCCTCCCCCTACGTTATTATGTTCGGTCCTGACCGATGCGGAGCCACCAACAAGGTATTTACTACAATTGGATCATACCTCCGAGAAAGCGGGATCTAATTCATCTCTAGGTTCACTTTATCTTCAAGCACAAGAACCCCAAGACTGGCGAATATGAGGAGAAGCACCTCAAGGCCCCCCCAGCCGTCAAGGTTACCAAGCTTACCAGCTTGTATACTCTCATTGTCAACCCAGATCAAACCTTCCAGATTCGCATTGACGGAGAGCCTCTCAAGAACGGAACCCTTCTCGAGGACTTTGCTCCTTCAGTCAACCCTCCAAAGGAAATTGATGATGAGAAGGATACCAAGCCCGAGGACTGGGTTGACGAGGAGAAGATTGCTGACCCAGAGGCCAAGAAGCCCGAGGACTGGGACGAGGATGCTCCCTTTGAGATTATCGACGCCGAGGCCACCAAGCCAGCTGACTGGTTGGACGACGAGCCAACTACCATTGCTGATCCTGAGGCCGTCAAGCCAGAGGACTGGGATGACGAAGAAGACGGTGACTGGATCGCCCCAACCGTCCCCAACCCCAAGTGTGAGGAGGGCTCTGGATGCGGCAAGTGGGAGGCCCCAATGATCCGAAACCCAGCTTACAAGGGCAAGTGGTCTGCTCCTCTGATCGATAACCCTGCCTACAAGGGCGTCTGGGCTCCAAAGAAGATCCCCAACCCCAACTACTTCGAGGACAAGACTCCCTCCAACTTCGAGCCCATGGGTGCTGTAAGTTATACTCCGTTTTGCGTTTTCTTCAGTTATTGTTCGCAAGTTAACATATCGTAGATCGGCTTCGAGATCTGGACCATGCAAAACGACATCCTCTTCGACAACATCTACATTGGCCACTCCATCGAAGATGCGGAGAAACTCAAGGCCGAAACCTACGACATTAAGCGCCCCATTGAGGAGGCTGAGGAAGAAGCCAGCAAGCCCAAGCTTAGCCCGCAAGTCGACGATGAGACCACCGTCCCATTCACCCAGGATCCTATTGGCTATGTCCGCGCTAAGATTGACCGTTTCGTCTCTCTTGCCCAGGATGACCCTATCGCTGCCCTCCAGGCCGTTCCTGAGGTCGGCGGTGCCATTGGTGCCATTCTCGCTTCCCTTCTTGTGATCATCGGCATGTTCGGCCTCTCGTCTCCGGCCCCACAGGCCAAGAGCACCGGAAAAGCGGCCGAGAAGACCGAGAAGAAGGAGGATAGCTCCGAAGCCGTTGCTGCCTCTGGAGCTGACAGCGGCAAGGGAGACGCAAAGAAGCGTGCTGCAAAGTCAGGCTAGAAGATGCCACTGGCGAATAAAACCAACATAAATATCAACAACCATTTCCCAACACAATAAGCAATGTCCGCCAGCTCATCCGCGGGGCGCTTCAAGTGACACGACGCGCAAGAGAAAAAGAACGAATTCCCTTTTACTTCTTTCCCCTTTCTCCTTCCTTGTCTTTTGTTATCCTTTTACCTCTTTATACCATTATTGCAGCTGGCGTCTTTGCATCCCTTTTATATTGCCCACTTGAAAAAAGGGAAAGAAAGTGTTTCTTATTGAACAAATCGAGGGTAGCCAGGTTCCCTTTTTCTGCTGCACTTAAAATTCAAAGGATGTGGAGCGGGCATGTCTGGATGGACGGGTTTCTTTTTCGCGTCTTCTAGAGACATAATCCTTCTATGTACCAGGCTGCGAGTTGATGCTCTGTAAAGTATCTATATCTCTATATCTCAGTATCGAATCTCAAATCTGAGCTTCTTCTTTTCCTGCCTTCCCTTTACTTCATGGCTACTTTTTTATATGCGCTTATATAATACAAAACCGGCTCTTCCGCGGCGACGCTGATTGGTTCATAAAAGCCGGCAGAAACCGCTTACCCGAGGAACTCTCGCCGTCTTTTAAGCCCCGGCCGCAACTTGCTTTCTCCAACTCACGACTCCGGCTTCTGCTGCATCTTCGTCCTACCCCAGTCAACTTCTCCTCTCTCCCTGCTCAGCTTCAACTTCAGCGTCAAGAAGACGACGATAGAGCTAGAGATATCGACTGTTATCATGGCCTCCAGAGCTGCCACCCGGTTGTCTGCATTCCAGCGCTCCCTTGCCGCTGCTTCTCCCCGCAGCTCCCTTGCCCGCTCCCTCACCACAGCAGCCCGTACCGGCAGCACCAGCAGCAGCACATCCATGATGGCTTCGTCCAGGAATAGCTCGGCTACTGCCATCCGCAGACTGCACGCCACAGCGCAGCAGCTCAAGCCCGCCGCCGCTGCAACCGCCCCAACCACCTCCGCAGCATCGACAGCTACCTCATTCCCCCAGTCCCACGAACGCATTGCCTCCCCCATTGACACCGCCAACTTCATCGACAACGAATTCACTCCTTCTCGTGCAGAGACATGGATCGACCTGTTCGACCCTGCTACCAACAACCTCGTTACTCGTGTGCCCCAGAGCACCGAGGAGGAGATGAAGGCTGCCGTTGCCAGCGCCCAGGCTGCCTTCCCAGCATGGAAAGCCACCAGCATCATGGCCAGACAGCAGATCATGTTCAAGTTTGTTAACTTGATTCGTGCCAATTGGGACCGTCTTGCTGCCAGCATCACCCTTGAGCAGGGTAAGACCTTCGCTGATGCCAAGGGAGATGTCCTTCGTGGTCTACAGGTTGCCGAGACCGCTTGCGGTATCACCACCCAGATGACCGGTGAAGTGCTCGAGGTCGCCAAGGACATGGAGACCAGAAGCTACAGAGAGCCATTGGGTGTCGTCTCTGCCATTTGCCCATTCAGTAAGTTTCATCGACCATTTGCTTAACTACTTATTATGCATAGGTTCAATAGTATCGCTGCTAACGCTCGATAGACTTTCCTGCTATGATTCCACTATGGTGTATCCCAATTGCTACCATGACTGGTAACACTCTCGTCATGAAGCCATCTGAGCGTGATCCCGGTGCGGCTATGATCCTTGCCGAGCTGGCCAGGGAAGCTGGTTTCCCCAAGGGTGTCATCAACATCATCCACGGATCTGCCAAGGCCGTCGACTTCATCATTGATGCTCCTGAGATCAAGGCTATCAGCTTCGTTGGAAGCAACCGTGCTGGTGAATACATCTTCACCCGTGGCTCTGCCAACGGCAAGCGTGTTCAGGCCAACCTCGGCGCTAAGAACCACTGCGCCGTCCTTCCTGACGCCAACAAGAACCATGCCCTGAACGCCATTGCAGGTGCTGCTTTCGGTGCCGCTGGTCAGAGATGCATGGCCCTCAGCACTCTAGTCATGATTGGTGAGACCAAGGAATGGCTTCCTGAGATCGCTGAGCGTGCCCGTGCCCTCAAGGTCGACGGTGGATTCGAGGAGGGAGCTGACCTCGGCCCTGTCATCAGCCCCGAGAGCAAGAAGAGAATCGAGGATATCATCGCCACCGCTGAGAAGGAGGGCGCTACTATCCTCCTTGATGGCCGTGGTTACAAGCCCGAGAAGTACCCCAACGGTAACTGGGTTGGCCCAACCATTATCACTGGCGTCAAGCCACACATGACCTGCTACAAGGAGGAGATCTTCGGCCCCGTCCTTGTCTGTCTCGAAGTCGAGACCCTCGACGAGGCCATTGATCTCATCAACGCTAACGAGTACGGCAACGGTGCCGCCGTTTTCACTCGCTCCGGCCCAACTGCCACCAAGTTCCAGCGCCAGATTGAGGCCGGCCAGCTTGGTATCAACGTGTAAGTTTCTTCTCTTTCCACGAATTTGCCAGTTTAATACGTAGTTGACTAACATTCCTTCCCACCATAGTCCAATCCCTGTCCCACTCCCAATGTTCAGCTTCACTGGAAACAAGAAGAGTATTGCTGGTGGCGGTGCAAACACCTTCTACGGCAAGCCTGGTCTCCAGTTCTATACCCAGCAGAAGACTGTCACCAGCTTGTGGAGAAGTGAGGATGCAATCAGCAACAAGGCAAGCGTTGTCATGCCCACTCACAGTTAATTGATTCCCTTTCATAGAAAAAGAAAAGAGAGAGCGAGAAAGAGAAAGAGAAGAGATACACACCCAGTTCTAGCCATGCCCTTTTTTAAATGTTCGCGGATAACATAAACTTCTTCTTTTCACCATAGATTGTCGCACATTTCTAGCTTAGACATCCTCGACCAGCGTACCAACTCGACCCTCAGCCTCGTGGCTGGAATACGCAATTTTGCTACGATATGATCCAGAATATATATACGTGGTAGTAGCTTGTGTCTCGATAGTGTTTGGAATTCAAAATGAGCGTTTGCTTGACACGATTTAACTATGTTGTAAAGAATGTTGAATGCGATACCAAATTGTTCATCCCTTGTCTGTTGAAACAAGGAGAACCCCGAAATTTAAAGAGAAACCAGTCTGTCCTTCATATACTAGTATTTCACCTAGTAGTCGTCTCCCCGAGAAATGATCTCCTTGCAGTTGGGCCTGAGTAGAACAGTCTATTTAAAGACAAGGTTAGCTAACGTATTAATCCACATGCAAGGAGGTAAACTTACGTGTTCGAACTGTGCAACATATGAACCTGGCACATCAACAAGCGGCGCATAGCACTCAACAATATCATTCGAGATGAGTGACCTCATACCAAGATGGTAGTTCTTCACCCCCATATGTTCAAGATACCGCCTAGAAAACACCAGCGTTCCAAAATTCTCACGGATAGTCTTCAACAGCGACTTGGCAGATGCATGATGGAGACCAGCAGTGCTAGCATGTTCGTTGAGCCCGTATCCATATACTCCAACTTCATCCCGGGTATAGCCCTTTCCGGTACTTCCAAAGGTTTCAATAGCAAAAACATCACCCTCTTCCATGCGTTGAGTAGTTTTGGACTTGACGAAAGGAACCTGCTTTTCACCGTGGATCTTGTAGCGCAGAATGTTATGGCCTGTAAGGCTACGGAGGGCCTTGACAGGAATAGCCTTCCCATTGATCTCAACTTCATAACTCTCCATCACTTCTTGGATTTCTCCACTGATGTGGTCAATTCGAGCGTCAATGCCGGCTTCCTACATATTGGGTTAGCTTAGCACCACACACTTCTGGTAAGAGTATATATAGGCCCAGTAGATACCTTGAGCCCGGTATTGGTGGCTGCTTTCACGGCTGTAAGCAAATTATCGTATACGGGGTTAGAAGCCACCGTAAATGCACTGTCTACAATCCTTCCATTGACATGAACACCAAAGTCTATTTTCAAGACATCGTCGTGCTTGAGGATAACCTCTTTGGCTCCAGGATTAGGGGTCCAGTGAGCGGCCACATTGTTGAGGCAGAGACCAGTCGGGAAAGCCAAGCCAGCTTTCAGAGCATCACCGGTTTCAATTCCTTGGTGGCCTGTAAGCGCGCGGACACCAGTCTCGATCTCCTCGGCCAGTTCACTCATTAAAATGCCGGGCTTCGCGATCGACTGCACATACTGGCGGACTTGACGATGGACTTCAGCCGCTTGGCGATAGTCAGTCAAAAACTCATCATCCATATTATGAATGGCAGCCTGATGGCGGAGTTCCTCCGCAGTTGTGCGTTGAAGATTGTCATTGCGAGCGGCATATTCGACAATCTCGCCCTCTGGGTATCTTTGGTCGTGGAAGATGCTGGGCAGAGACACACGCGGGGGAGTTGTCTGCTGTCCCTTTGACGTCTTCTTCTTTTTCTTCTTGTTGCTCTTTCTTTTTCTCTTCTTGCCATCTACGATCCCAGGTTAGCAGCAGCATGTTAACAGGATGCGAAAATGTAGTTTACTCACCATTATTCGGCAGAACACCGGATTTCAAGTCAGCTCCAATCCGCTGATTGTCACCGTCGTCGTCCCCATCCTCGTCCTCGTCGTCTCCATCAAGCATGCCTTGAACGAGACCACTTGCTGCAGCCGGCTTTGGAGGGTTGGTAGTAGCAGCGACACTACTACTGGGCGATTCTGCTTACGGCATTAGCATTGGCTTGGACAAGGCAACAGGAGCTTCTTTTGTCTTACCATTTGGGCCCTGTCGATGGCCGTCTGGTGATTTGGATCCCATGGCTTACTCTGTCTTCCTGTCATGAAGCACTTGATCAATCTGTAGTGTGGTCGTGGTTGATTGTTCTCCCAAGATTTCAACTGACGTTTAATCGAGAGTCGCATGTCTGTCTTGGCGTATCCTTCACTATTTTGGGTAGCCTCGGTCTTTCCAGTGCCCCAAACTATCATTTAGATAAATGGACAGATTCAGTTTCCCAGTTAAAGCCCGTTTCACCAAGGCATTCAAGTCTTTTAAGTATTTATTTAAGTATGGATAACAGCGGATATAAACTTGATATAAGAATATGTATTACATTTCGAAACTATCCAAAAAGGAAAATATTTCTAGATAAGTTCCATGCCCGGAATCCAATCATTCACAAGGGCTGAAAGCAAGAGATGGATATAACCAAGTCCCATCTAGTCTATGAGCAGGTATGCAGAAACCCGTCAGGCTGCGCGAAGATCGGCTCTGAAATGCAAATGGCCTTTTGAGGGCATACATGGTCGATGATAAATTACTCATCCTGGCCAATATAGCGATAGACAAGTCTGACTCTGCTGCATTGGCCGTCCTTAGCGACGGCGATACGGCGAGTATAGTATCGGATGTCGTTGATCACCTCAAAGCCCCAGACCTTACGAAAAATTAGCCGGGAAGAACATTTTTAGATATATCGAGGAAAGGAAAGGGGCTGCTATGCTATACCTGTTCGGCAGTCCAGCCGTTGTCGATGCTCTCAACCCAGCTCTGCAGGAATGGCTCACTGCCCTCAGCCTCGTCGTCAACAACCCAGCCGTCAGACGCAGATCCGTTAGCGAGGACATCTCCGTTGAAAAACTTGGCGACGGCTGCGTCTTCTTCCTCCTTTCCGACCTTGGTCTGTATCTCAATAGCCGGAACGGTCTTGGAGCCATCCTTCTTAGAAGCGATGTAGCGAGTCCGGCCCCTGACAGAGCCGAAAATGTGGTCGGTGTGCTCCCTTGGTACCCAGCCAAGCTCGCGCTTCTCGGTCGTGCCAGAGATTCCGCCAGTCAGCGTCTGGGCGATGTCGATGTGGACAGCATCATCTTCTGTGTACTGCTTGACATGCAGAGTGACAGTGGCGAGGCCGATGGCCTTGCGGGTGAACCATGAGATTCCTTGCTAATAGCCTTGTTAATACATGTTCAAATATGTAGTATCTAGAGGGAAATCGATATCTTACCAGAGTTAGAGTGGGATCAGTGCTGTCGGAGAGAGCATCCTAGTTTATCCGTTAGACCCCGCGACAAAAAGCGATGGGAGGTGGTTTCCTCTTGTTGAAGCGGGCAATAACATCCAGCCTCTCCAAGGGATCGCGCATCCAGCAGAGACGAGTCTACTTACCATGGTCCATGTTCCGGTCAGGTTGTGAATAGTAGCTTCCTTTGGGGCGGCCATTTTGACGATGTGATGTAATAACTAGATGTGGTAGTTAAAGATAATATGCAGGGCGAGCAGTCCTGCGGTCCAAATAACTAGGTATACGATGAGCAGAAGAGGAGAAAGACGAGAAAGACGATGCAGAGAAAGAGGAAGCCCACGACAGTTTAAGAAATGCCTTTTAAGAGCGTCGTCTGAGTATCAACTAGTGATGGAGAGACGGTAAGCCTCGGAATATCAGGAGTGCCAGGGTAAGTTCCGAAGTTTGCACTTATTTATCATGTGCAAGTGACGGCATCGAGCGTGGGGAAGAACTAAGAACTCCGCCCCAAGAGCATCAAGAGCACCAGGAACAGAAGCTGAACGCGTATTCCACAAATCGCTGGGCTTCGTTTGGCGCCCTTTCTACGGAGCAGCTATTCCGTCCTGAGTAGAGATGGGGTTTGGCTGCCACCAGCAGCGCGCCGTCGTGGCAAGCACATGTAATCTCCATCCCATCCCCAGGTTCCAAGCGTTGTGAATGCCGCCCCGGGGAATCTCCCGTCCACGGGACTAATATTTGTTCTTTCTTCCCCCTGAATTGATTGTGTATATGTGCGAACAGCGCGGAAACAATAAGACACAGGGGGAGCTTCCAGGGCCCCATCTGGAATCCCCGAAAGTTTATGCTGGTGTCTCGCATTCTCGGGGAGTCTTTTCGCGGCTTGTGAAGAGAACAGATAGTCAACATCTTGCTAGTTACTGGTTAGTGAGTAGCATCATGGCATAGAAGTGATACGCTCTCATCTCTGTGCTCGTTTGCGGCGGGTGGCAAGAGCATGATGTTGTGTTTTGTAGCTTTGCTCAAATAACTCTTCACTACACAATATAGTTAAAGGAAGTAAATTAATTCATTCTCCAAGCTTATCTATATACCACTGTAATACAGATTCGTTTTTCTCATGGCTTCATCCTTACCTCTTCTAAAACTTGGCCAGTCCCTGAAGGGTACTCTAGGCGCTTATACCATTGCTAAGCAGCTCAGCGAGTTCACTTGGCTAGGGAGGTACGGTCATTCATATTTCGGGGATATCTTCCCGATATTACATAGTTATCCTTTTGTTTACATTCAATCCTTGTTGATAGAAATGCCGGTCACCCCGTCGTCATCAAGTCCGCGCGACATTTCCGTATTGCAAACGAGAGAGACGTCCTGAGGAGATTCCAGGCCAGGACACACCTGCGCCCCCTGATCGATGAAATCGTCGACCCAGCAGGCCCCCCGGCTATCGTGCTGAAGCATCTTGACGATGACCTGCTCAATGCCTCAAATACTAAGAAGCTTAACACCAAGGAAATCAAACATGTATCAAAGTGTATTCTTGAGGCGCTAGACACCCTGCATGCAGATGGATACGTGCACACAGGTCAAGTTCGCCCTGATACTAGTTGTAACGCTCATTCCTAACAACTAAGATTCTTTACAGATATCAAAATCGATAATATCCTAGTGAATTATGCACTACCCCCCTATAGCGACGATAAAAAACGCTTCACTGATGTCCAGCTCGCGGATCTTGAGAGCACGGTACATGTGACCTCGCGCTTCTGCAGAAACCGCGATGGGATCGGTACTGCTATCTGGCGCAGCCCAGAGGCACAAATGGGCCTGCAGTGGGGTCCGCCAACTGACATCTGGTCCTTTGGTGCTGTCGTTATCTCTCTGATATGGGGCGACAACTTCCTCATCTTCAAACCCAAGTTGCCGGACGACCACGACGGATATGAACTCGAGATCATCGCTAAAAATTATATCTATTTCGGACCGTTCCCGGAAAAATTCGTTGAGCTTACCGATCAGGCAACAATGGCGGCCTTAGCAAATGTTATAGATCCCATCCCGGCTGAGAAATTGAAGCCCTTTGCACGGGCTAGCCGTCGTGAGATTCCACCACAGGACAGAGAGTTTGTGCTGAAAGTTATGAAACTTGACCCAAGGGACCGGCCAACTGCGAAGGAGCTTCTCAAAGATAAGTGGTTTGATTCAATATGAGCAATCCGTGGTCATCACAATAAGACTTAAACTAAGGATCGTAGTTATATGTCTAGTGGTTATATCTAATTATCCACTGGATTAAGGTCGGTGAAGCTAGAAAGATAGGTACAATAAAATATGGGCGCATAAGGTAGGTAATGGCATAAGACGGCGTCTATTTTGGGCCTCTACACTTCACTAGTAATTCTAGTTTTTGTGACTTCTCCTAGTCCTCGCCATACTCGCTTTTCCAAATTTCTGCGGTATTCTTAGCAACATCATCGCTGATATCTTTCCATGGGCCTCCACTGTCCAGGTAAGTCGAGGGAACGATATCTAAAGCATGCCCGGCCCACACACCTTGATGCATCCCCTTTCTGGCCATTGACGTATTATCCTCCGTGGACCAGCACGTCCTCGAAAGAATAACTTCACCGTAGCCAGGTGTATCAATAAATGGGCCGCGAGTGCGCCTCTTATTCAACGCAACAGCCATAGGACGCACAAATTCTCGGGTTGTCAAGTTTCTGAGAACCCATTCGTGGCTGGCGGGGTAGAAAGTAGAACCGCGCGGGTGTGCTACTTCAAGAATGTCTGCCGGGCGAGGATGTTTGTGCCTATGTTCAAGAGCGACGTGTAGCAAGTCTTGGGGAAAATATACATCACAATTTCCGACGATGTCGTATCGAGCATCGGCTATGCTGTAGAGATTGACAGGCTGCCCAGCATACTTATCAGGCACGCCGTCCTCTAACTCATCCAAGTCCAGCCCTTCCTGGAGTTCATCAAAATCCTCCGGGAGTAGCAGCCCTTCAGGGTAAGCCACATTTCTACCACAGTCACTTTCATCACCGACACAGATCACGGCTGTCCCAGCCCAACCGCCCAAGCAGGCGGCAAAACGCTGTCCAATTATCGATTTCGCTATCGCCCAAAATTTCTCGCAGGTAAGGCCCAAGATAAAGACATCTGTAATGTCCAGAAAGTCGAAAATAATGCGGTTTATCTCAACTGGAAGCTCATGGAGCCGAGAGCGAGCGACTTCGTGTCGTGGAAGTTTCTGTGAGTGGGATGACTGCCGTCGTCTTTTTTGCGGGACTACTGACCCCCGAACAGCGGCGGGTATATTTCTAGGCTCGTCGCCCGTGAATGTTGAAGGAATAACAGGTCTAGCAAAGTGATAAACAAGGGCAGATCCGGATCCGTCAAAGAGGATTTCACCAAGCTTGCCCCACCAACTGAGTCGCTCGCGACGGTGAGGCGCGATAAGGCGAAAGTATTGGCCCATTATTCTTGAAGGACGTTAAATGGAGAGAATGCTCCGATTGGAATCCATACAGGCGAGCAGGCATCAAGAGCTTGGTCCTTGGCAGAGTATATGCGCGTAAATGGAGTTTTAAAGCATATCTGGAGCTTGATTGAAAAGACTAACCATTTGTGGCTACCAAATAGGCGTAGCGAGGCTGACTAATAAATAATAAGCTTTAACCAATCTTTAGCTTGGCTTTATTTTTGCCGCGCTTAATCTTAATTGGAGCCTAGCAGATACATAGTTATTCAGGGGTATAAGTAGAACATGTACGTTCCAGTCTGCTAATTCTATTATAAAGATAAAAAACATTATATCCGTCCTAAAAATAGTACTTTTGTCGTATATTCGATCATGAATTCGTTACTGCGACTCTCCATTACAGAATTCTGGTTTGACCCCCGCAAAAAAGAATCTGAAATGACCGTGAGATGCAGCGGAAGGTGTTATTACATAGTTATGCTGCCTGATAAGTTCCGCGACTCTCCCGCCATTTTAAAACAATATCTTCGAGATGCCGAACTGAATGCGGATAAACGAGAGCATTACACCCTCTACGACTATCTGAATTCAGAGACATTTCACTATTCACTTCTAGCAATCAACGACACCCTCATCTCTTGTCCAGAAGAACCAGTTTTATCACAACAAAGACCACATGGAGCCGACCTGCAGGGCTATGAACTCGGCGCAGTGTGCCACTCATATCAGCCAATGCAAGTACAAATTTGTTCCGATCATCCTAACTCTGAGGGTGTGCTCATTGAGCTCCCTGAGAAGGTGCTCGTGGATTGGAGGATCTGCTTCTTTAAGCCATTTGGCGGCGGAGAGAGGAGGAGCGCTCTCCGTGAGCTCGAATGCTATAAGCGCATAGGGGACTTGCAATGCAGTGTGATGGTGCAGGTTCCTGCCTTGTGTGGCGCTGTTCAGGACAACTCGCGGTGTTTGGGGCTGTTGCTCTCTTGGGTTGACTGTCGCCGCATAACATTGGAATGCGCCCTGCGCCCCAGCACACCAAGAGCTCAAAGGCAGAGGTGGGCGAACCAACTGACAACCACACTGCACCATTTACATAATGCTGGGATTATCTGGGGTGATGCGAAGCCGGCGAATGTTCTGGTTGACTCCAATGATGATTTATGGATCATTGACTTTGGAGGTGGATATACTCGAGGCTGGGTCGAGAAGGATAAAGCAGGGACCATCGAGGGTGACAATGACGGTCTAATGAAGATTAAGGATTGTCTTTTGCGATAAGCTAGCTATTAGCCCATAGAACTAGACAGGATTTGAGGAGGATTAATATTTCTCTAAGGTACATCAGTTACAGATCCCCGCGCATACAACGAACACTTTATTGTATGGCATGGAATGGAAAAAACGGCGGACGTTAAGAGGGTGTAGTGGAGGGTAAATAGTTTGGGTATTTCTTGTTGAGTCTGGCTGCTTTGGGTCCTAGGATTTCTCCAGAAGCCTGCCAACGGCTACGCTATTCTGAAATGCGACAACACCGCGGTGTTGCCCTTTTCATATCTATGTCACCAACAATACGAATCAACTGTTAGAGAAGTCAACGCCCGTTCAAAATCCAGTTCTGCCATGTATGGGCCACCCCCAAGCCCTATCACAAAGCTGTACCACCAGTAATCTTTCGGAATGAACCTTAGTGCTGTGGTAAAATCCCAATACTCAGGATACCAACCGGCTGACTCCCAGTCCAGAAAGCCTGTAATTTGTTTATTTTGTACGAGGATGGTATGATGCTTAAGGTCACCGTGTGTGAAAACAATACGATGAGGCATCGAATCCATTTTTCTGGCACGATCAAGTGCGTCGTTGTATTCCGTTTCTGATGGGAATCCGCCTGACCAAGCAGTGCTCCGGAGGTATTCGTTGAACTTTTGTTCCGACTCGGAGGGGCCACGAGATGATTAGGTACACGGACGCTCCTAATAGCTGTACCTACCAAAGAGCAGATCCTGTTCTCCCCCCACGGACTTTTCCATCTACGGATTGTTTCCAAATAACCCTTTAATTGCAATTGGATCGAGCCTCGTTCGGTGTCAGTTAGCGTTTTGTAAACACGACCAAGTTCATCACCGGGAATGCGAGTCATCAGAATTGATATTGGAGCATGCGGAGTATCTGGACGATCTCCATAGCAGATCACCTTCGGAACTGGGAGACCTGCTCTTCTGGCGGCCTCCATCGTCAAGACTTCTTCTAACCGAGTACCATCGGACCACTTCAGAATCAGCCCAAATGGAAGCTGAGCAATCTGATTATCAAAAGTAGCCCCAACCCAGCGACAATAATATTCAGAGAATAATCTCAGATATTTGTGGATGATACCCCATAATCAGCGCACTTTAGGATGGGACGCGCGAGGTGTTTCTGGTATTTCACTGGCCACTGTACGTGAAATGCGATTTGGCCAGGTAAAATCTGGCATTAAAAAGCACGGTAGTAACGAAAACCCCACCATGATCAGTTGTATAAAGAAAGTGCAAGAGTTTGAAATAGAGTTTGAAGGGAGAAATAAGGTTAATGACGTTAAACTACGCTTTCTAGATCAACCCGGGATAGGGACAGCGCCAAGCCTTGTCCACGTGATTAAATATCTTAGGTAAGGATGGAAGGGCCAGGGGCCCTGTGGGTCATCACGTGATATAAACATCGCGCGGCGGGAGATTTGAACATGAAGATAAAGCTGACGAGCGAGGTGACAAGAGTCAGCAACACCGTCAAAGCGAGGGACGGGAACCAAGAGCTGCTAAGATGGCATTTAATAAGAAATATGCCGGACTCCCTGATCTGGTATGCGCCCTTATGAGAAAAATTGCATATGATTGACCGCCATTTGCTAACATCTGATGATAAGGACCTTGCTCCCGATATCTATGAAACCCCCGAGTTGACTGACGCTGCGACGCTACCGGTAATAATATCTCACGGCCATTACTAATTCCGGGAACTGTGTACTGATAGGATGCCATGTTAGACTACCACAGTACGCTCATCTTCACCCTTCGACCCAGAACAGTCCTTAAATCCAGAAATCGATGGACGTCGATTACGAGTTGACGAAGCTCGTTCTCATTTCGAGCCTGTTCGAGTCGATGCTAGAGATGTAGACTTCTCAGACAGCATTGCATCTAAGAAGAAATCTTACCGAACGATAAGGGGCCCAGGACGTCAAAATAGAGTGGAGCTGGTACTCGGGGATCTTAGCGACGAAGAGGATGAGACTCTTGAAAGAAAGCTTGCTCGGCTACGGAGGGAGACTGAGGAACTAAAGGAAGAGCTTGCTACCAGGAAGGCCCAAAGGGAGGCCGCAGAAGATACGGAGGAAGTTGATGCAAGTGATGACCATGATGAAGGGATCCTGGAGCTTAGTCGGACTTTGGATACCCTCTATACTTCTTCTAAAGGGGCCGGTCCCACGGCGGAGGCTGCGTTATCCCATAAGCTCTCCACAGACGTACACGACGGTCAGCGTTCTTTGGGCCAGGGTACCATAAGTGGTGATGGATCATCTACTCCCCAGCCTGGCCCTAACTCCTCGATTCTATCACAAGCGGCATCTTTTGACGCACGGCTTACACTGCTAGAAGCAGCTCTGGGGCTGAAAAACACACCAGTACCAGTATCACCAGACGACCCTTCGGACATGGATATCCAGCCTATTCTACCATCTCTCAACCATCTTTCCTCTCAGCTCTCGACGCTCAGCAGCACGCTTACCGCTAATCACAATCAATCGACACATGCCAATCAACAATCTGGCCCCTTATCCGTAACAACAACCCCACACATTGAAGCATTGAGCAGTAAAATCCGCAAACTCACTGCTGACGCCGAAGCGCTTACCACTGCCCGACAGCGAGCAACCGATGCAGCTCGTGCCGCCTTCTCTGCTCGTATTGCCGCAGCAACATCTGATGAGCCACAACCGTTCATGGATCCTACTCTTTCTACCTCCGCGGCAGTAGAGTCAGACGCTGCTGCGTCTGAACAAACTGCCAAAATACATGCCTTATACACAACACTGCCTACCATTACCTCCTTGCATCCTTTGCTCCCTAGTGTATTAGAGCGGTTGCGTTCTTTGCGTGCTATACATGCCGGAGCGGCGACGGCTAGCCAGGACCTTGATGCCTTAGAACAGCATCAGGCAGATATGAAGAAGGAAATAGATCAATGGAAGGAGGGACTAAAAGCGATGGAAGAGAAGGTCAAGGAAAGTGAGGAGACCATGAAAGGGAACATGGAAGTCATGGGCCCTTGGGTCAAAGATTTAGAGAAAAGGCTGGACACCTTGAATCAATAATCATGATTTCCTGTGTGTTGATTTCAAATTTTCCTACCATACCCCTAAGTTGCTGTTCTCACTGTGATCTATATATTACAACTTTACCTAATTATGGCGGACGATAGCGACCATGCTATTAAGATTTATTTTTAGCCTGTATAGCGATAATGCTACGGAGCCAATAATTAAAAAGGTATTTTAAATAGTTAACACATTTTTATATGGGTAATACTTTACACACCATACCTAAGCACCTCCCTCTTCCCTTAAGGATACTAGGTATTTACCTCCTCTTCCCGGGCCTCTCCCTGTACCTCTCCCTGTGCCTATCTCTAGGCCTTGTACTCTCGCTAACTAACAAAATTAAAGGTACGTAGTAGTAGAAAAATGAAAGGAGAGTAGTAATAGTAACTAATACCTTAAGTAGGACATTTAATAAGAAAGCGATCTAGAGAGAGGCTTAAAAAGAGATATTTAGAGAGAAGTCTAAAGAAAGAGGTTTATCTAAGTTTGTTTACAAAACGAATTTCGATAGCATGGTCGCCATCGTCAGCCATACTAATGACATCTCCCTGACATGATACTTCTAATCGTACAAAATAAAAATGTAAAAAACATCCTTCACTATGGTATAGAGAACACCTGATGCCCAGAACACTTATCTAATGTGTTTCATGATTCTGATCTTTGGAGCCAATCGAGCTTCCACCCACCAGCCACGCGTGATATGCTTTCTTGCACCTGCTTTTATTGCCTCCCAATAATCAACTCCAGTATCCCCAAAGAACTTCCGCAGAATAATGGTCTCGACACCACACGCATAGCAGTCGTCAGTACCTGGTCGAATAATACGGACTCCATCATATCCATAGGCATTATCAATAGGTTTCCAGTCACCCATCCCCTGAAGAACAGTCTCATCTTCAACAAGGGCATAGTCAATTCCATCCCAGAATTTAGAATCTCTCTTTTCAAGTTCATCTTCCGTCTTGTCATATATCCACCTCGATTCTCCTGCTTTGAGTTCTGGAAACCCGCCAGCGTTCGAGCCGGGTAGATGAACCATTGGAGACCTGGGAATCGGCATTTCTAAGAAATGAGTTGCTCCAGTCTGGCATGTATATGTGTCCATGTGTACCGTGATGACTGGTTGAGAGTTATGAGCGAGGATATGCACTTGCTTCATGGCTGCTCCGCCTGGGTAGTTGGCCATGGAGATGGGTAGGAGAACGAGGAATGAGATGGCGAACGAGGCCAGGGTTAAAAGGACAAGCGCGGTTGAAAGAAGGCCGTAAATAATGGATTTCGCACGGCGAGCCCAGATGTATGATGCCCCAAGGGAAGCAACTCCGGTCAATGGGGGTATTGTGTAGATGATAAAGCGCCATTCCTTATGCGGTTGAAGACTCATCACAGCAATGAAGCTGACGAGCGGGATGATGATGGAGCGAGTAGCTTGACGTAGCGGATGAATGAGGCAAGCAAGGGGAATACAAACAAGATAGACCAGCGGGTTTAAAAGGAGACGAGGTAAAGCACTGGTAAAGTAATGGTGCCACGGGTCGGTACCCCAGTTGGAAGCCTTCCCCTGGAGCACGTTGTATACAAAACCAGTCAATTCAGGCCAGAGGGGGAATTTCTGCCAAAAGAATGAATCGATCAGTACGGTGATCGTAAGGCCAATTAAAACACCACCAACGCCTGCTGGGATTATTTCCCGGCGTAGCCCTATCCGTCCCTGAGCCCATAGATACACCGTCGTTGTACCCAGTAAGACGGCGATTTCAGACCGGAAAATAATTCCTGCAATAGTGAGCAGGTAGAGCGATAATCGGTAATTCCTGCTTATACGCCCACTTTGTTGTGCATGTAGACATGCCACGAAAAGGGAATAGGCAAACGTAGCTATTGGTCATTGGTAAATAAAAATAAAAACGGTAATATATAAGAAGAGAGCAGAGTGTATGCATACTTATAGGTAGCGCAAACATATTCGGAAGGGTTCTCGAGGCGTAGTACATGACATGGAACTGACTACTTTGGAACAGGAGATACCATATCCCAGTAGTCGGTCCGAATGCCCTACTTAAGGTACCAGCAAACCCTCCTAAAGCAAGGAAGTTGATGAACCACAAAACCCCGCGCACTAATAACTCCGTCAGCGTGAGGCATATATATAAGCAAAGGCATTGAAACCAACCTATGGCTTGAGGGTCACCTCCTGTGATCCGTATCACCGGCTGAGCAACACCAGCTAAAAGGACGGCACCAACGAACGTCCTTGGGACAGAGCCAGGGAAGCTAACATGATCATATTGATTAAGTACAGGCAAAGGGTTACCCAGCGAGGGCACCCCGTACTTTAATATATCATGGGCTGCTTGGATATTAAAGGACTCCTCAACCTTGGTAAAAGGGGATAGCCAGAGGAAAACAGTGCCAATGACACAGCTGATTACCAGTGCAAACACGAATATAGGATTCTGCATATCATCTGGCACCGAAAGGTTAGATGATATTTAAACACCAACCAATTCACATAAAAGATACTATGGGTATAAGGATGGAATCATCAAGTTGTCAAGCTTGTTGACATCTGGGCCTTTGATGCAGTTGTGGCCCCTGGCGTTGCGAAGCACAGTCACGTGAAAGCTTCCAGCTTCAACACGTCGAAGGATATTCAACTCCCAAGGCCGCTACGATATCTTTATCTTCGACCCTTTGCGCTGCGTCTTCTACTCTTCCTAACGAGTGCTTTCGATGTGAAGGCGTTCTGACGCACTAGATCTTCACAATGTTTTTCTTCGGTCTCGGAAAGCTGTTTCAAGGTACGCATTTTACGCCCGCTCCGCTGTCGAATACATTGCGTCTATCTATACCACAATTCACACGCAACACATCTACCTAAGAACGCTACAAGAAACAACCAGAAGACTAATAGGCTACTTCTCACATATAGTGGTCATACTCATAATAAACGCCATCGCAATTCTATCTGAAGACCGCTTCCTAGCACGAAGTATACCACCCCCCGCCAACCGCCATCCACCATCGCATACCCCCTTGCCTCGAGACAGGTTACTAACTGCACTGATGAAGTTGGGTGGAGTCGGACACAGCACGATGCAGGTTTCGGCGCAACACACGATAGTACCAGTATAAAAGCGAAATCCGCCGATTTAATCGCAAGCGTCCGGACAGTTATGAGGAGTATGTCTGCCACACACACACATACCCATCCATGCATACCCTTGTGGGAAGATTTGTTCTGACGCCACGCCTATAGTCCCGTTAATCGCTATAAATATGCTGGTTATATTCTACGAGTTGGTTCTGGGATGATTCTTGCTTGTGGAGTTATAATGAATTCGAATCGTTTTGGCGTTTACAATGAACATATTACTTACTTTTTATTCTTCCCGCCGCTGCACTCCGAGATCCATCGCCAGCGTCGATAGAGCTTCTAGGAAGTGCACTGGAGCGTTGCATTAACCTCCATCAAGGCAGGTTAGCAGCTGTAGGCTCCGAGCTGGCGCGGGGCCATACTTCATTGTCAAAAGTATAAGTGATAAAAGTGATGCAGGAGTAGGAAGCAAAGGAAAGAGGAATAGTTTGGAGGTAATCTCCCTCTGGCTAAAAAAGACCAATGAATCAAATCAATCAATCAATCGTATTAACATTTAACATTTCATTAGCTACCTAACTTTAGGTATGTAGCCATGTACCTAGGTAGCCAGGCTATATAAAACATCAACGTCAATCAGCATCAACAGAATACTTTTCTCTCCGTCTGGGTTGCGAGTATTCAGTTTAATCATAACGTCTCTTCTTTTCTCTTTGCTTTTTTGGCCTTCAGTCGAAGCAAGGTGGGTTTGACATGACATGCCGCCGTGCGTACGTAGGACGGGATGCTAGAAGCGCAGTACAGAACCGATCTGATTGAGTGGAAAAGACACTTGTGGCTCTGTTCTGAACGGTGTAAAAAGATGGGAAGCTTTCGGTTTGGTATCAAGTTGTAGTTGTAGTTGTAGATCGTGAGATAGATGGGTGGAGGGTGGTTACATGGCGCGTTAAGTAGCGAGGGAAGTGTAAGGCTCTATATACAGTCCAAAACGGGTAGAGGCAGAAGAAAGTAGGTAGGTATGGATAAATCACACACAGCAAATATATGCATGGAAGAGAAAAGATGGTAAGAAGGAAGAAGAGAGAGAAAGGGAAAAAGGTGACGTGGTAACCAGCGACTCCGCGTACAATGAGTTGAAATGAAAGATGATGAAATCGAAGGTGAGACGCCGATGAAAGCAAGCAAGCCCGCCAACCAACCAGTGTATGTATGTGGGTATGTATATGGCAACGCAGATATGTGGTACAAATGCGAGATGATTGATGGTTTGAGAGTGAGAGGCGGGTAGATAGATAGTTGTATATGTGTAGATGTTCAGGTTATAGCACACTAAATGACTTTTTGCGAAGGCTGAACCTGCTTCGTCGGGTGGTGGGTTGTTTCGGTGACGGAGCGGGAGGCGGTTGAGGCAGTGAAGTAAGCTGTTGCTGCGGAGGAGATTCAACCTGTGCGAGTGTTTTAGACCCAGACGCAGCCCCGGGAGCGAGAGGCTGGTCTGTATCTACGATGGCGCTGGACGATGTATCGAGTTCCCGGTGAGACTGCTGGAAGTTTTTGGGCGTTATGGTGACGTTTGAGGCGGCAGGATTGCCGTTCATGGTGGCAGAAGAAGAAGCAGGTAGATCAGGCACCTTCTCTTTCTCCTTGTCCTTGCTGCTGCTGTTGTTATCTTTGTGTTTCCTGCTGTAACTGAGAGTTCGGCCACCGATTTTGAGCCTACCCAGTCCGCCTGCGATTCCGTTGATGCCGTTCGTGAAGCCATTGGCGATTCCATTGGCGTTTCCGTGTCCGTTCCCATTACCATTAGCATTAGCATTGCCGTTGCCGTTGCCGTGACCATCAGCACCGTCCGACGCACCCTCAGACGACAGACGTTTCTTCTCGGTCGACAACCTCTTTTTCTCCTCCTTGGCCGTGAGCTTACTTGCGTCCAGGGCGGATTTGATCTGTTGTTCTTCCATTTTGGCCAGTTCTTTCTGACGAGCCTCTGCTTTCTCCAACTCCTTGCGTTTCTGTTTTTGAGTCTCTCTCTCCTGGGCCTTGCGGTCCTTTTCTTCTCGAGCCCGTTCCTTTTTGGATTGGATCTCAGCGGCACGGTCAGGAGTTCGGGACATCAGAGGTATACGAGGAAGAGAGATGGGCAGTCTGTTGGAGGAGGATGGCGTAGGCGCAGTAGCTGTCTGGGTGTTGGCTGCTGTGGTCGGGAGGGCAGTGGGCGGGGTATCGTCCATGTTGGACAGCTGCGGTGCGCTGGGTATCAGTTTGATGGGGTTGTATGAGCTCGAAGCCGAGCTGTCTGTGCCGGGAAGTTGGGGTACAGCACTGCGAACCCGACTGATATCCTGCGGTGGCTGTACCGGCTGATGTTGTGTTGCTGTCGCTGCTGTTGTTTTCAGGTCGAGGGCGGCCACAGGTGCAAGTTCGGCATCTTGGGACTTTGCAGCTGCAGACATGCGCTCGTCGCTCTGCAGTTCGCGCTGCATGGCCTCGAAGGTAGTTTCCTGGTAGAACAAGACATACGCACAAGCCTGGCCGGGTTTGTCGCCGAAGAAATTGCGCACGTAGCTTTTGTCCACGGGTTCGACCATCTCGTCGTCGAAGAGCAGCCAGCCCCTGTCTTCAGTTTTGATGATGGCCACATAATGACCATGGTACGGTCCACCGCCGATATGCACGACAACGGCATAGAGCTCGTACAGCCGGTCTGGGTCCTCGGCATCGTCGGTGGTATTGAAGAGTCGTAGGTAGTAGGGGTACACGACACGATGGAACAGCTTCTGTAACTTCTGCTGATCTTCGGTGTACTTGAACCGTTTCAGGTGCAGGGCCAGTATCCTGGGCAGACGCTTTATCTTCATTCTCTTTTCTGCTTCCTGCAGACCACCACAGTTGTCACAGTGGAACTTGTTGCGTTCGCAGAGCATCTCTTCCTGAGAGAATTTGCGCAGACATGATGTTACGGAGGAGTGCTGCTCTAGGTCGACGGAGAGATCGAGGAATGCCTCATCGCGCTGAGACTTCTTTTCGCAGGTAAGACACTCCGTTTCGGAAGTCAGCTTGCCCTCGAAGAGCTCGTGGACCCAGCGAGTGCTGTAAGGGGTCTTTGCGCTGCCACCACCGACAGAGGTAGCTAGTGTAGTCGCGACTGAGGCTGACGTTGCCGTACTTGACTCTGAGTCGGCGTCTGCTTCGAGCACGGAGGTCCGGTTTGCCTCGGCTTCGACATTGTTGACCACCTCGTTGAGCAGCAGGTTGAGGAACTCGTGAGCGTCCTGGTGCATGGCCGTCCGGAACATCTCGTTTTCGCGCCGTAGGACGTCGAGGAAGTGCTGCGGTCTGACTACGCCGACGCGTTCCTCGCTGGCCGCTATGGACTCGAATATATCCTTTAACGAGGTAAAAAGGGACTCTTGCATGCCATAATTCTGAGAGTTATCTGTTGTCTCGAGGACGGGCAATGTGTGCATGGCCACTTTCTTCTTGTACTCGGGCGAGTCCTTGTCCTCCGGCTTTGGGATCTGGTTCTGCGGGGTGATGGTTGGTCTGACTCCATTGTTGGTAGCGAGCTGCTGCTGTTTGAGCTTGGTCTGGAGCAATGCTTCTTCGAGCGAGATGTCCGGGTCCGGGTACTTGAAGTTGGTCGAGAGTGCGTGTTTCAGCGACTCTGGCGGAGAGCGCTGCGGGTAGTTTATGACCGACTCTCTGAATGGAGCAGAGTAATATAGACATTGTAGGATGGAATTGCAGTAACTGTGAGAGAAGCAGAAGTAGAACTGTTAGAGAAGACGTCGAGAGCGAAATAACAAGGCATTGAGCAGGATCTCAGGCTAACCATGTGTTGGCGAATGGCGCCTAGAAGATAGTTAGCTATACCCTGTAGAAAGAAGAGGAGACGGGAGAAGAAGAAGGAGATAGACTTACGTTCTCCATGCCAAAGAACTTGTCGCTGCCATCGCTTTTCAATGGCCCGGCGTCCGAGAGGAGCTTCTGCAGCGGCGTCTTGGGCAGCGGCGTCGGGTCCCTTTTCGACGTTGCGGTGCCGTTGGCGGAGGAGTTGCTGTTGGCCTGATTGGAACAGAAAAGAAAAAAAAGAGAAGAGGTCGATGTCAGCCAAAGAAAAAGAATGATGTCACTCCATAATAACGACGATAAAAAGATAGTCTGATAAAGGAAGAGTCCCAACATACTCCATTGCCTCTGAACTTGCCGAAGAACGAGCTCATGATGAACTGCGAGCTCTCTAAGCCTGGCACTTCCAGCTCTCACGCAGCCAAGCCCAGGGCCGGCGCAGAGCAGCACAAGGAACGAGCGAGTATATTATAAGATATGAATAATAGTGCAGTAGCATGTAACCCGAGGGCGAGTGTTAGCGGAGAGGTAGAGATGCGCGCTGGACCATCGGGATAAGAATAGGCGTGGCAGGAGGGCGAGAGGCGTCGTCGAAGAGAGAGCGAGAGAGCGAGACGGAGCAAAGACGGGGAGAGAGAGAGAGAGAGCAAAGGGCGGATCGTATCGTATTTCGGCGAGAGCGAGTCTGTCCTGTGTCCAACTGGCAACGTAACTGACTTGACCTGACTTGACTTGACTTGACATGTAATGGACAGGACTAGGCGACCCAAGGGCGGATCTTGCCGTGGGTACAGTCGGGGTAAAAAGCCGACCAGGGCAGCGAGAGGGAGAGAGAGCCTCAAGGGAGGACGGGAGGACGAGGACGAGAAGAGGAAGACGGCGCCAGCAGCGAGTCGAGGGTCGAGGGTCGAGGAGGGCGAAGGAAGACGAGGAGGATGTTTCAACGCAGGGAAGAAGGAGTCAAGAAGAGACAGAAGAGAAGAAGGAGAGAAGAAGAGAGAGAGAATAAGCAGTTAAAGTAACTAAAAGTAACTCGTTTGGTTAACTTAGTCGAGACGGAGTCTTGGGAGGAGGGAAAGGCTGCCAAGAGGCGTTTGACGAGGAAGAAGAAGATGAAGATGAGACGGAAGAAGAAGAGATAAAAGAGATAGAAGTAGAAGAAGAGAAGAAAAGAAGAAGAGAAGAAGAAGATAAGAGTCGCAGTGCAAAGTCGCAGCGAAGTCGCAGCGAAGTCGAGCTGGTGACCGAGAGTAACTAAGCAGCGCTGACTGACTGACTGACTGGCTATGGCGAGGTACCGCGGGCTGGGCGGAGTTTTGGTACAGCCAGAGGTACCTTCGCATAGTCCATGATAGCCAACCACTGACAGACAGACAGACAGACAGGAGAGCCAACCCTGCCATGCGCCGACTCCGTAACTCCATAACACATGGCAAGGAAGAGTCGCTGGCCAGGTTAACGCCTTAACTTCCGCTAGTTCTGCGTGTTTCTCGTACTCTGGGGACAGGATGGTCAGTTATTCTTCCGAGTGCTACACAGATGCAGACGCGGACAGGCATCTGCATTCTGGATTCTCTCTACAGTACACCGGGAGTGGAAGCTGGCTTCTCCTCTCTCTATTCTCTTAAGGTGCTTCTTGTAGCCGCTACATGTAGTTAGTAAGAGTGTCAGGCAGTAAGAGTGAAGATAATGACATCTGATGACAGGCGGGCCTGTACGATCGTGACACCGTTCGCCGATTAATATAACTATATAGATACATACAGCCGGCTAAGGAGCTACTTATGCGAGGACGAGCAGGGCCTTTCTCTCTTCGTCTACTCTCTCCCTCGTCGGCTTCGTCTTCTTCCTCGTCCCGTCTCCCCGTCTCTCCCGTTTTCGTCTTCCGAGTGACTTCGCTACTTCCGAGCTTCGTCACTTGCTTCGTCCTTCGCCTACCACCAGACAAGCTCCGCCTCCCTCCTTCTTGGTCTCTTAGCCTGTGGTAGTGCAAGGCTTGCCCTCCCTCCCCTTCCTCTGTCACTCCCTCCTCCCTCCCGACTGTGTGAGGCCGTCCAGGGTTCCTCTCCCTCCCTCTCTAGTCACCACCCTGGCTGCTGCATTTCAAAGCAGCCCGCATATCCCAGGCCGTTCGGTCCTCCTCCACCTCCTCTTATAACTAACTAGGGAGGTTACCATCCCTTGCTCTTCCCGACTCACGGCTTCCACTCCTCCTCTCCATCTCCATCCCATCCCATCCCTGTCCGGCTTGCATCCCCCCAGGCGATTGGCGAGAAGATCCCGCACATCCACTCCCAAGTCCCCAAGCAGCCAACAAGCCAAACGCCCGCCACGACGGGAAAGGAAAGTGTATATATATAGTGCTGTATAGTTAGTAATGTAAGAGGAAGTTAGAAGTTAACTTGGGGAGGTCGGGACATAGTTAAGTAACTTGCTTCGATCGTCGGTGGAGGACAGAGTTCTTCTGGAAGGGAGGGAAAAAGGAGGAAAAGGAAGCGAAGATCCACGTGGGAAAAGAGAGGGCGGGCCCCCAGGGATTATGCTTGTCTATAACTAGGGACTGGACGGTGTTAGTGGGAAGGAAAAGGAGGGAGGTGGGAAGTGCAAAGGACGGAAGTGTGGTGAGACGATGAAGAAGTAGATAGAAGATAGTAGATGACGATGGGTTGAGTTTTGTCGAGTTGCACGGAGAAGCTGGACTAGTTAATCCTTCCCTTCTATAGCCTGCCGTTATGATAGATCTAGTCGAACTATTAGGGCCAAGTAACTGTTGTTGTCGTTGTTGTAATCATCATTGTTATAGTTGTTGTGAAGAGAGCAAAGGCCTCTTGCGCCTGGGGATAGACCGCCGATGATGATCACCTTCAATACTCGATAGTCAGTTACATCAAGTTAACTGGACGAAACCCTTGCCCAGTCATATAGTTGCATTACTTGATCCAGATATTGCTGGTCATACAGGACGTCGCACATCCTCCTGTGCTTCCCTCGCTGCCCGTTGATGGCTCACAGTGTGTGAGATAGCGAGAGAGAGAGCTGTCGTTCAGCCGTTCTCCTTTGCCACCAGAGCTTGGATCTTAGAGTGCCATGCTTAACTGACTAGCGACGCCTCTATGCAACTAACTGAGCTAACTGCATAGTTACTGTACGTGATGTCATAGCAAGTCACAGCTGAAAGGCCCGTGTATCAAGCTGTCATTCGTTGCCAGTCGACGACCAGCAGCGATAGTTGTTAGTTAGGCCAGTCAAGAGACACAGATGATGCTCTTAGTGTCACGGTCGTTTTAGTTTAGTCAGCTAGTTAGTCATCTTGTTAGTCAGCTTGTTATCTCCAGCTTAGATAAGCAGCGGGGTCGATAAGCTCTCTAGTTTTTTCTTTTCGCATCGCGGGGACTGTTGGCTTCCTCCTTCTTTTCCTACTGCAATTATTCGCTTCCAGTCACTCAATTGAAAGGCCATCCTCGTGTCCTTCGTGTCCTTCGTTACCATGGCGGAACAAAAGTCAGGTAAGTCTCTCTCTCGTTGCTGGAAGGGTGGGGGAGATGTAACTAACTGGGAGCCGTAACATTCGGCACTCCACATACACACAGCGATTCTATCTGTATACGATAAGACGGGTCTCTTGGACCTGGCCAAGGGCCTCGTCGAGCAGAATGTCCGCATTGTGGCGTCTGGAGGCACAGCTAAGATGATCAGGGATGCTGGCATTGCTGTTGAGTGAGTGCTCTATACTCTGTTGAAAAAAAAAAATGGAAGAAAGAAGAAAGAAGGAAAACAAAAACAGTGTTAGTTATCTAACAAGACTATTGATAGCGACGTTTCGTCGATAACGCAGGCCCCAGAGATGCTGGGTGGCCGTGTGAAGACCCTTCACCCAGCTGTCCATGGCGGTATCCTGGCACGCGACATCGAATCCGACAAGCAGGACCTTGCAAACCAGAAGATTGCGAAAGTGGACTTTGTCGTGTGCAACCTGTACCCGTTCAAGGACACTGTCGCAAAGCCTGATGTGACCGTTGAAGGCGCCGTGGAGGAGATTGACATCGGAGGTGTCACTCTGTTGCGTGCAGCAGCAAAGAACCATGCTCGCGTGACTATTCTAAGCGACCCTTCGGACTATGGCAACTTCCTGAAGGAATTGGCCAGCGGCGGCGTGACTGAGCAGACTCGAAAGCTGTATGCTCTTAAGGCATTCGAGCACACCGCTGACTACGACGAGGCCATCTCTGGGTTCTTCAGGAAGAAGTACGCCGGTGAGGGGTCTCAGTATATTCAGCTGCGTTACGGAGCCAACCCCCACCAGGCCCCTGCATCTGCCTTCGTGAGGAATGGCAAACTACCGTTCAAAGTGCTCAATGGAGCACCCGGATATATCAATCTGCTCGACTGCCTCAATGCCTGGCCACTCGTCAAGGAATTGAAGCAGGCCCTCGGATACCCTGCCGCTGCTAGCTTTAAACACGTCTCGCCAGCCGGTGCTGCCATTGGAGTACCCCTGAACGAGAAGGAGAAGCAGGCATACATGGTCGACGACATCAAGGGAATTGATGAATCAGGCCTGGCACAGGCATATGCTCGTGCACGAGGCGCTGACCGAATGTCCAGCTTCGGAGATGTCATTGCCCTGTCGGACGTGGTTGACGTGCCCACCGCAAAGATCATCTCCCGAGAGGTGTCAGACGGTGTTATTGCTGCGGGTTACTCGCCCGAGGCCCTCGAGATTCTGTCCAAGAAGAAGGGCGGCAAGTACCTTGTCCTGCAGATGGACGAGAACTACACTCCACCAGACGAAGAGACTCGATCTGTCTACGGCGTGCAGCTCTCTCAGCGCCGAAACGACGCAAACATCTCCCCCAAGGCCACATTCAACACCATCGTCACACCAAAGGGCATGAGCTCACTGCCTGAGGGAGCACTAAGAGACCTCACCGTTGCAACCATTGCGTTGAAATACACACAGTCCAACTCAGTGTGCTATGCCGTCAACGGACAAGTGGTTGGCCTAGGCGCGGGCCAGCAGAGCCGAATTCACTGCACCCGTCTGGCAGGCGACAAGACGGATAACTGGTGGATGCGATTCCACGATCGAACGCTTGGTATCAAATGGAAAGCTGGCGTCAAGCGGGCGGACAAGAGCAATGCCATCGACATGCTGTGCTCTGGTCAGATCCCGCGCTCCGACGTCGAGAAGGCAGACTATGAGCGAGTGTTTGAGGAAGTTCCCGCTCCCTTTACCTCCGAGGAGCGTGAGGCATGGCTGGAGAAGCTCACTGAGGTTGCCATCTCCTCTGATGCTTTCGTAAGTCCCTCTCTCTCCCTGCTGACTTGAGACCATTAATGGCCAAAGAAAGAAAGAAAGAAAGCTAACGTGTATCTGTAGTTCCCATTCATCGACAATGTCTTCCGCGCCGCCCGATCAGGCGTCAAGTACATGGCTGCACCGAGCGGCAGCCAGAACGACGGCCCAGTATTCGACACTGCTGAGAAGCTTGGAATTGTCTTCGTTGAGCAGCGTATCCGCCTGTTCCACCACTAGATCTAGCGCCGGTAACTCGTAGGATATATAAAATAAGGAGGAAAAAATACACCCTATCATAAATCACCCTCTCTCTATCCAGAGTATTAATGAATAAACTTCACAGCCATCCACATAGGTGCTCCGTAGGCAGGGTATAGAGTAATCCAATGCCATCAACAACTTAACCACCTATCCTATCGTACCACCTCTCTAACCAACCTTCGTACTCCCCTGATACACCCCGTCATACCCTTCCACCGGCTCGCTCATCTGATGGAACACAAACTGTCCCAGCCTCGCTCCCTTATACACCCGAAGCCCCGCCGGGTTCACCACCTGTAACATTGCTCCCACTGCACCCGTATACCCAGCATCCATCACCCCAGCATTCAACACAGCGCCAGACCTGAACAACGAGCTGCGCACAAACAACTGACCCATCACATCCAGCGGCACAGAGACCGTTTCATTGAACTCAACCAGATACGAGCCGGGTGGTAGTTCAAGCGCTTCATCATGGTGCTCTCCCCCGCTGTGGCTGCTGCAGTTGATGGTGGTAAATGGTATTTCCTTGGTGGATGCTGTCTGGCGGTGGGAGTTGTTGAGGTCGACGGAGCCCGCGGATGTCCAGGTCAGGACTCTTTTGAGGGTGAGGTCAACGCCGCATGGTTGGATTTGTAGGGACGGAGAGATGAGGCCCTGGATGATCTTGCGAGATACCAGAGCGTGGCCTGGGAGGATCATGTTTCTTTATTTATTTCGTGTTTGGTTACGGGTTGGTATCTAATGTTGTTGGTTTTTGGCTTTGGAATGTTTAGCGGTGATGCGTTGGAAGAAATATAGAGTACTGGTCCCTGGTTTAGACATCAAACCATCCTTAGTGGTGTAGAGGTAACATAGCTCTCTTTCACAGAGCCGCCCGGGGTTCGATTCCCCGCTAGGGAGACTTTTCTTTTTTACGTCACTTAATATTATTGCTTATGTAAGAATTTTTTTGGCAGGTTGACATGTGAGGAACGAGGCCGTCTAGAAGGAAATATATGACAAGCCCGTAAGAGGTGCTAAGGACTCATTCAGATTCAGAAGATTGTTCGTTCCACCATGCATATATGTACTCATAATCTGTTGCAGCTTGAAGACGCTGGTTTTAAGTACCATCACGTGCATAGTTACCAGAAAGCGTTCAGGGGATTTAACCAACAGTTACTCCGTACATTCAAAGTGGAAAGTTATAGATAGGTCTTGATATACATGGGTGTGAGGGGTCAATACATGTTGACCAGTCAGGACTTGCTTATACGGGATGTGGTAGGTGATGACATACCGTCTCCCATTTGGGAAGATGGAAAAAATAACCGCAGCCTTGGTTGGTGCTGATAGCAGTCTTAACGATGGAGCAAAAAGACAAAAAAGTAAACTTGAATACGCTCCCTAGCGGGGAATCGAACCCCGGGCACGAGTGTGAGAGACTCGGATGTTACCTCTACACCACTAAGGACGTCTTGTTGTGGGAAAGGCTCGTCAAAATGGCAGATGAACAGAGTGGGTAGAATCAAAAGTCAGATGTCAAAAAGAAAAAAACTGCATGCCAAGATATGTATGTCTCCACCCTCGCGGCAAAGGGAAAAATAGGAAGAGGGCGACCAGGGTTAAGCGAGCAAGCAAAAAATGTAATCAATATAAAAAAAGTTCTCCCTAGCGGGGAATCGAACCCCGGGCGGCTCTGTGAAAGAGAGCTATGTTACCTCTACACCACTAAGGACTTGTTATTATGTAAGAGGTTCGGCGGAAATAATAAACGGCTATTCTTGGACTAGTGCTTGCCATCAACGATTTCAATACACCAATGCAGCGTACTTTTATCCATTACCCTTCCCTATGTATTGTATATCGTACAACAGTGGTTTAGATAAGACTACTATCTCCTTATACAAGCCTTTAGTTGAGCTTTCTTGTGGTAGAATGAACAGGACCTCGTGTGGTTAGGAGAATTTCTCAGCATAAAGATGAATTATGTCAAATCTTAACTAAAAGTTGATAAATAACATGATAATAACATCTATCAATGTAGCCAGAGGGATAAATATCAGCAGTCCACACTTCTCCTCGAAGCTGCTGTCTAATATAGGCCATACAGCATGACGTAAGCTTTAGTAGCACGTATATACTCTTTCGGAGCTGAAAATACTATACTTCATTTTCAATTTACTTCACGATTTGACATGAGCTGGCCAAATTCTGCGAACATTGTTTATCCCGGCGGCCACTTACTGTCACCTCGTACAAAGTGTCACTAGTGAAAACCTGCCATGAAACCAGCAGAATAGGCTAGAGAGCAGCAGCCGTCTTCATCGCTTGGAAGTTGTGTCACTGCTTGTGTACCTGCTTTATTGGTACATCACCACTGGCACTGCAGGTACTGGACCAACTGCCTGATTCTGAGATACTCAAGGACGCGACCTATCGTAGCCATCTCTTCCCCATAACCTTACGAAGTAGTTAAGCAATAAGACTCTTCATGAAGAACAACCTGCCACTTCGACTTCTATTAGGCTGTCTAACATGGCTCTAGTAGGTACCTAGGCAGGAGGTAACACTAACCATCCCGCAATATGTTTTGTGTTACCACTATCAAGCAGCAGCGGGTGCCCCTTCCATCCAGCCATCCTTAGTGGTGTAGAGGTAACATCCGAGTCTCTCACACTCGTGCCCGGGGTTCGATTCCCCGCTAGGGAGCGCATTTATTTCTTTTTTGGTGCTGAATTTTTTTACTGCGGGTGGAGATTTTATTCTCCGTCTATCGATGCGCTTGACGGCTGCGTGACGCATGAAAATATGAGTCAAGCACGGCCTGACAGTGTATAATACAGGTACTAAAGTCCTCAATTCCTTCCTTTCTCTTTTTTTTTGTTTGTTTTACTTTACGATCGTTTTGAATGCTGTGCAAGCGAGTTTTGCGGGTTTTTGGCTGCCGTCGACTATCCGTTCGAGCCCTCCCCTCCATCCCAACTCTAAAGTCGAGTACAAGCCCCTCCATCTTCGCACAACGCAGTTCCTCCTCTTCCTTTCGCCGATATCACGGCCACTCGCACCCTCCAGACCAGCTAGACACAATGGCGCCCAAGGGCAAGACCTCGTTTACGCTCAAGACGCCCAAGGGAACCAAGGACTGGGCTGGCCCTGATGCTCTCCTGCGCGACAACATCTTCAGCACAATCACTAATGTCTTCAAGCGTCACGGTGGCATGGCGCTTGACACGCCTGTGTTTGAGCTGCGCGAGATCCTGGCGGGCAAGTACGGCGAGGATTCGAAGCTGATATATGACCTGCAGGACCAGGGTGGAGAGATATGTTCATTGCGATATGACTTGACCGTCCCCTTTGCTCGATGGCTGGCCATGAATACCGATATCCGTAATATAAAACGATACCACCTGGCTAAAGTGTACCGACGAGACCAGCCGGCTATGACAAAGGGAAGGATGAGAGAGTTCTATCAGTGTGACTTTGACATTGCTGGTGCACAGTTTGACCCCATGGTCGCCGACTCAGAAGTGCTTAAGATTGCAACGGAAGTGTTTGATGACCTAGGCTGGAAGGGGAACTACACGATTAAGATTAATCACCGGAAAATATTGGATGGGTTGTTTGAGGTGTGCGGTGTGCCTCAGGACAAGATCCGGACCATTTCCAGTGCAGTGGATAAGCTGGACAAACTACCATGGGAGGACGTCAGGAAGGAGATGGTGGATGAGAAGGGCCTTGACGGCGCTGTAGCTGATAACATTGAAACATATGTTGTTCGAAAAGGCGGACGGGATCTCCTTGAATCATTGCTGGCGGATGAGAAACTCACAGCCAATGCTTCTGCCAAAGCCGGGTTGGATGACATGGCCTTGCTGCTTGGATACCTTGAGGACTTTGGCGTGCTGGATAAATTCTCTTTCGATATGAGCCTTGCTCGTGGCCTTGACTACTACACCGGTGTCATCTACGAGGTCATCACCGAAGGCTCGGCACCTGCAACCGCTACTTCTGCCCCTGAAGCTCAAAAACTGCAACGCCAGGCGAAGAAGGACAAGAAAGTAGATGCTGACGAGGACAGGTCTAATGACCCTTCTGTTGGCGTCGGTAGCGTTGCTGCAGGTGGTCGTTACGATGATTTAGTGGGCATGTTCTCACCCAAGGCCCAAATCCCGTGTGTTGGAATATCGTTTGGCGTTGACCGAATCTTCTCCATCACCAAGGCCCGCATGCAGCGCGAGAGCAAGTTACGAAACAGTGAGGTGGATGTATATGTCATGGCATTTGGCGGTAAGGGGTTCACAGGCTTATTAAAGGAACGAATGCAAATCTGCAAGTCATTGTGGGAGGCCGGCATCAAGGTGAGCCTATGTAGAGTCATCTTTATACTTCTTGAAAACGTTCTAACAATTATACAGGCCGAGTTCCTATATAAAGTTAAGCCAAAGCTTCCCGCCCAGTTCAAAGCCGCTGAAGCCAACCTTGTCCCCTTCGCCGTTATCCTAGGTGAAGATGAGCTTGCTGCTGGAAAAGTCCGTGTCAAGGAGATGGGTCTCCCAGATGGCCACCCTGAGAAGGAAGGTCTGCTGGTTGACATCGCCTCTCTTACCACTGAAATTAAGCAAAGGTTGGAGAAGAAGGCGAATGAGTCCGGTGTACCTGCAGATGCACCTGCAGGTGAGCAAGAAGACCTAGCACAGAAAGTAAAAGATCTTCTGTAAGCGGGAAAAGGGAAGGAGTTGAAATATTTTTTTAAACTATTTCTTTTAAGAGGGGGCAATGCATTTTCTGGAACTTCTTCAAGGGTGCAAGGATGTGTTGTTTATTGATTATCGGGATACCACCTTCTGCGTATATACTACCTTCGCAGATAGATTAGAAGCTTTACTTTTTATTTTGAATACTCCTCAACCTGATAAAAAAAGTAAGTTGTGCCTGAGTTTGTATGGACTACGCGAGCCTAAAAATTTAAACCTTATGGTACAAAACCTATATTGGTACAACCGGGTGAGCGCATCTACCTCCAAATTTATAATAATACAGTATAAAGAAGGTGTTCAAGCAGTCGAAGCCCGCTTCATGATGACCTCTTTCAACGCTGACAAGCTATTCACAGCGTTGAGGCCAACGCCTCTTGCCCACGCAAACGGCCCATAGCCAGGCACATTATAAGCCTTATGTAGCAGATCACAGGCGCCTCCAATACCTGCATTCGTAATCCATCTATCAGCTGCATACTGTTCCAAGCTAAGCAGTGAGCCAATATCCATTCCGTGTTTTACAGCGTACTCAATCGCGCGATGGAGTGAGATGACGTCGCCGACTCCGAGATTCAGCCCAAGTCCTCCGAGAGGGTGTATGACATGAGCTGCGTCACCCACTAATGCCACTCGTGGTGAAATGTAAGTTGACGCGTGGCGGAATCGTAACGGGAAGGCAGCGACCGTGTTCGAGTGAACGGTTTCAACTTCTGGCGGCACATACGATGGGACAGGGGTATGCTGCAGCCGCCAGGACAGTTCGTCTGTATGGTCATAGGTTGTCTCGGAAGAAGCTTGAGTCTGGCTAGACGGCAAAGAGAACATGTATTTCAAGTCTGTTATGGATAGGCGGAAAGCTGCATTTACCATTGTTGTAAATGCTTCTGGTGATAGCGACTTCAGATATGCAGCGTTCTGGACAGTGGTTGACCAGACAAGTGTGGCATAGTTGTTTGGTAGAGGGAGCATGGCAACCGGACCACCAATTCCAGGGAGAAACCGTTGATATGCAGTGACCGGTCTGGAGGAAGAGGCCGCTGAGGGGGAGAGCTTTAAGGTAGCAACGACACCGTGTCTGTCATAATCCCATCCATCTGTCGAAATACCGGCAAATGACCGCACAGGGCTGTTGATTCCGTCTGCTCCAACTAAAAGCCGAGCAGCAATGGTGGGAAGGTTGGAGCTTCCTTCCGTCGAAGATGAAGGGGATAGAGTGAGGACCGGCCAGGCGGAAAGATCAGGTCCATCGGGGATATCAGTGCCGTTATTGATAGATGTGACCTTTGTCGAAGAGAAGATCGAGACATCTTCACCAAGGGATTCAATTCGCGACAGCAGGCCCCTTATTAGATTCGCATTCTCCGTCATCGTCGCAATTGTCTTTGAAGACGTATCATGATCAATTAGGCCTGGAGGCCAGTTGAATGAAATATTTGACCCCGTCACTCCATCCCACACTTCCATCTCCTCGTATGGTTGCACTCGAGAGGAATCGACATGCTGCCAGGCGCCGATACTTTTCAGGAATGCAACAGATGATGGCGTGAGACTGCTAACTCGGTTGGAAAAGTTTTCGGAATCGAGGTTCCACCTTTTGGCCTTGGTGATATCCTGGCTTTCGACGAGGGCGACTTTGAGCTTGGAGGTAATCGGAGAAGACCCTGTACGTAATAACTTAGCTAACTGTATTCCTATGAATCGGTAAATCGAGGCACCATTGGCCTAGGTAAACGTACTCAATGCCGTGAGCAGAGCTAACCCTGCCGGACCCCCTCCAACACAGACGATGTCATAAATCTCAGGCTGCTGCGAAATACTAGAGGCAAATCCCCTCCGCTGTGACTGGAGCCCACGCTTACACGAGGTGCATATATATGGGCGCAATGCGCCACCTAGTAGCGAACGCATCTCTATCACTGGTTATTGCTGATATCGAACCATGAACGATGAAGCTATGGAAAGTTCCTTGCTGGATGCAAGGTTAAGCTTCAAGTACTTTGTCTTAGTCAGACATTAGTCAATATAACCGCTTGTTACCCAAAAAAAAAAACGAAAAAAGAAAGTGACAAGGGTGGGATTCGAACCCACGCCCTCAAGGAGGACCAGAATATCTTGTGGTGGTGATCACCGCTGATTATTACTGATTAAGGTTAGCCTTAATCTGGCGCCTTAGACCGCTCGGCCACCTTGCCTGTTCATGTCTATCACGTGGAGACGTCGAGTACTTGAGCCTAAGCAGGAGCGTTTATGCACCCATGATCCGTGTGAACAGTTTTGTACCAACACAAGTGAATCCACTACAAACACGAAAAACATGATGGCTCCTTAAATTTAGTATACTGATTTAAATTGCAAATTTGATAAAGAAACTGCTATTTTTTGGTTATAATATAGCCTTTAAAGCTACTTTTCAACGATTTATACCCATTTCCATCACACAAATAGCAGGATGTCTTCCAAAGCACCATGTGAGAATGCTAGCTTTCTAGTAACAGTGGCAAACACTGGATAGATACGTTAGTACGGATACTATATTCAATATCCCAGAGTGATCGCTGTCCTTACTTCGAGTTGCCGGGGGCGGGGCATCTTGCGTGTCCTTTAAAGCCTCTGGAAGCACACTACAAAGAGGACGAGTTAGCCTTCCAGTAACTAATGTTGTTGATGGGAGGAATGAATGTCATCTTACGCCGGGAGAGCAATCCGAATCCTGGTAGCAGATATGGGGAATAACAATGATACCGAGGGGTAAAGCAGCTGCAACCTCAGCTGCAGCCTCAGCTCTGGCAGCAACCGGCACAGCAGCAACAGCAGCAACAGCAGTCTGGCCAAGGACGGCAAGAGCTGCGAGAAGGGAGCAAGAGAGCTTCATGTTGGAATAATTGGTGGCTTGTTTGCAAAGGAATACAGATTTTAGGGGTCTCTGTGGATTGGATTGGAGTAGATGGCTCTTGGGAAATCAATGCTCATCTTGATGATGGACATATGCTGATATTTATATCCGGCTGAGGCATAGCAATCATCGAAGTAGTGAAGCAACCATCAACATTTCCTCTCTTTGTTTGTACGTGCAGTCTTATCCTTTGGCTGCTGTGCATTTCGTTGCACTACGTCTCTTGTGGAGGCTGTGGCGCATTGCCCAAGTATTGATCTCTTGGATTGCGTTTTCATCGCCGAATGCGGTCCCTTGGTTGGAATTTGGCAGACTAATATGACTTCAACATTGCTAGGAAAAATACACAGCCATCATGCCGTTTTACGCGACAGTCGCGGTATTGTGATGCAGATTACTATGAAGCCTCCTCATATTCATTATACAGAAGTAGCGGATATTGGGGCTTGTGTCAATTGACGATCGAACGAACGTGGACATCGTGTTATGAGATTCATTATATTGAACATGCGTCCAAATGGCTAAACTCGGAAGTTAAAAATATATTAATAGTAGTTACATAGTATTCTTACCCTGCTGGTTGCGACTGGAAAGGCTTGATGGACTTTTCCCCATACTACAAACGGTTAGGATGACCCAGGGACGACCGCCGTGAGGCACAGCTATATGCTATGCTTCGATATGTAGCACGGGATGTGAGATGTGGTTGTAAGTTACTCCATAGACAAGACAAAGAAAAGAAATCCAACAAGATCAGATCGTAGTAAAGAGGACGTCGATCAAGTCCAAATGTCACCATCTGGCAAGTAAAGAACGGTGGAAGAAAGAAGAATGCTGCTATTAATTCATATTCTCTGGCTCAAATACCATCCAAAAATCATATAACGCCAGTCATGACTGAGAACCAAGAAGGCATGCTAAAGTGAGAGCCTTGGAGCTCTAGTGCCAAATTTCATCTATACGGGAAGAAAAAGAGAGTAACGATGAAGCAGCTCATGCAGGTCCAACCTGAGGCTTCTTTGCTTTCACATCATGCTTTCCGCCCACATCATCTCCATCGGCTTCCATCTCCACAATGAACCGTTCCCAAGTGGCTAGGACCCCTTGGTAGAAATCGACGTGCTTCTGTGTCATTGCGCCCAGCGTATCGCGAAACTCGATTGCTTTGATACGTTCAAAGTCGGAAACTTCACGTACAACTTCCTCATCGAACATCTCAGAAGTTGTTTTGGCACTTTCCACTTCACGGGTTAATTCGTCAATTCGAAGTTCCAGTTTTCGGACCTTCTCTCGGCGCGATTGTTCGTGATCAACGCCCCTGATATCTTCCATCTTCGATCGGATGAAAGAAGCAGGGCTACTTGTTAACGGGTTTGTGGCGTAGTATGAGGATGGGTTGTTGGTCAGATTGTCGCGCTCCGCCACGGCTTTGTTAAGATAATCGATCAACGCTTCATGGTCAAGTTGCTTCTGCTCTCTCGTTTTGAGCAGCGATTTGAGAGATAAGATATAGGCCTCCATATCTCGAAGACTACCTAGGTAGTTTTGATCTGTATGTTCCTTCAGATCTTGAATACCGTAGGACGTTTCCTCTACGCATCCAGCAAAAATTTGTAGCGGGACCTCTAGCTCAGGTTCTAGGGGGACAAGTTTGCGGAATTGCACAGCAAGTTCGGCGTAGTCAGCCTCCAAGTCGCTTTCACGCCTTGCAACCCGCGCAACGATTTTCTCAACGTGGCCAAGATCCTCGTCCAGTTTATCTGCCTTTTCTCTTACTTCCGTAAAGCGTTTATCTGGCTTATGAACCTTGGTAAATGCGTTCACGAACGTATCTGCAAAATTGTCGAAGATATTACTTCCGCCATCTGATGCATTTGTAGCGCTACGGGATGGGCGCATCCGCATGTGTTGGTTCCATTCTCCGGATTCAAGGAAGGTGACCAAGATTGGAGCTCGGCGGAGAACGGGGTGGAGGGTAATTCTCTTGATAAAACGGTGGAGGGACCAAGCACGGCGCTGAGTGAACTCGGTACCAAATCGGTCACCGCGTACATATTCCATCTTATGTTTATCTGGCAGCGGAGGAATGGCGCAAGCAGGATACTCCCGAAACAACGTATTGTAAAGAAAGTAGAAGTCAGTGAAGCGCCGTCGAACGCTGAAATCGGTTTTTTGGAAGGATTTGAAATTGGTCTATCTATTCGTAAGTAAAACTGGCCGTGAGACTTGTATCAAGTCTTGTAGCAACAGGAAGGGAGTACTGACGTGAGTTGATACTAGGTAGGAAACATAGACATCTTTTGTACCTTCGTTCTCCTTCAGAGGTGTGTCTACTGTGCATTCAAGCATACCATTATCCAACGCAGCGGCAAATGCGCCATCTTGCACTGGAGAGAGTACTTCATCCCCCGTAGAGCTTATTCGCCGTTTCCCATTGGGGTCATCCCGCGAACTGGAAGCATTATCGATATCTGTATATGACGTAGCTGGTCGCGAGACATCGCTATCTCCGTCATTCCTCCAAGAAACACTGTCGAAATCATTGTGGTCCATGGTTGATGGCGATGTATGCGTGCGGGGAGTTTGATAGTTTATGTAGGAGCCTGAGTCGACCAGGGCCTTGATCTTCCCTCGAGTTTCACGGTAGGTCTCAGAGCAGGGTATGAAGTGACATATCAACTCTAGACAAAAATACGCATAAATGAAATTCCAATTAATAAATGAATAAATGTGCCCGTTATCTCGCAGAAGTGCGCACAAAGAGGACGTCGGCAGCTCTGTCTCTCTCTCTTGTCTTCCGCTCTTAACGACGGCGAAGGAGCCAGCTAATATTCACGTGATATGATGATGTCAGGGTCGTCCATTTCGGGCATAGCGCCTGCCCCGAGCTTTCTTCACCTTTTTGATTCGGCTTCGACCTTTTTCGACGTTCAAGATGGTTTAGCGGCGCTTGATATTGTACCAGGCCGAGCGGACTGGCTGATAATTCAGTATAATGATTAGCAAAAAAGAGCCTTAGGCTTGTTCTTCATGGAAAGATACACAAGTTTCCGCGCCAACATGGAGCCCCGTGGCGACTACTTCGTCTATCGGAATAGCCTACCACTACAGGAGTAAACAATATCTTTAACTACAGGCCCTTAACCGCCTTCAACGGAGATGATAACTGCAAGACTGCATGGAATCCCCTCATGCAGGGCCTCCTAGCCAAAACACCGGCTTCTTGCTGAATTATGAGGTTCTGTCACGCAGGCCTGATCCTGGGGCGGGATGTAAGACGTCCAAACGGATCCTCCTTGGCTCGAGACACGCTGCCACACATTTTTCTGTTCCGAGGGGATACCGGCTATGAGTATGCTTGTTAGTGGGGAATCATTGCGCTGCAGTGACGAATTGGCACCTCTGCTGATATTTATAGCTGGTGCTTATGTATGTGAGATGCAGCGACAATGCACTAGTACATAGCAGCAAATCTTCAGACCGTCAGACCCTGGAGATATCGAAGCCCTTAGTGGGTTGAATAAACCCAGAAGGAGACGGTTTCCTACACTCGCCGTCTACCCTGGAGAGTGATTCTGTATGCACCCCGAGAATGCGTATATCCCTTGTGCATTTGTACTTGTTAGAAACGACCTGGCCCGGCTGTGTGTGAGGTGTTGTACGCCAACCACAAAACGTTTTCTCAGTTATATTGATCAGCTGCAAGACGGCCACTCGTCAACCAGCATGGAGATAAGTTATGGGCGGCGGATCAGAGTATCAAACTTTCTTATCCGGTGAGTTGAAGCCTAAACAGCAGCTCCCGTGCGACCAAAACTCTGACCTTTTTAAGGAAAAGGAAAAAATGAACAGCAGTGATAGGCTGGTCGCGGAGTTTCATTTAGCGCTGAGAGGAAGTCAAAAAAACCTGCTGCTGGAGAAGGAAAGCGCAGAGCATCGTTCGAGGATCTGCTCAGACGTCAAAAAAATATGTATGGCGTCTGTATCGCAGCCGTAACGCGGAAAGGGCGATTGTGACACTAGCGCCACTTTTTCATGCAGGTTGCTATTGTTCTCTGCAGAGAACAATAGGTTATTAATACGACCGCCCTGGTTTTCCCCACAAGCCAAAGAGCAAACCACTCTGTCGGTAACGAACTGGCCATTGTGATATCGGGATATAATACGCTTTCCAGGGAGCAGCAGACAGAACGGTGCATCGCAGCTTCCAGGGTGGATGAAAAGATGGATGAGCAGGGCCGCCCATTGGAAGCCTCGGGTTGAAGGCAGCACCGCTGGGCTGCTTTCTTTTCGAGCATCTCTTTGGGGCCGTCATGATACGGCCCTCTCTGTCGGTGTGCTTGCGCTGGCCTTCCTGCTTGCCTGTCTGTCTGTCCGGAACTATCCCTAACCCCCCTCCGGTGCACAGCAGCCGCCCCCTTTTTGGTCAAGGGCTGTGGCCGATATACCAGACATATATAACCTATACTCGGTCCCAATGTGTGTCCCCGGATCCTGTTAGTTTCCCCCTTGCTTTCATATTCTATATGTTCTCCCTTTCCTTCCTCTCCTTGTCATTTCTCTTGTTCGTTGAAGCATGCTATTTTGAGTTTTTGGTTGAGCCCTCATCCATCCTCCTGCTCCCCATATCTATACTTTAGTTTTTGAACTGTTTGCTTTGCACATGTATAGAGTTCTTTTTTTTCGCTCTTTGGATGGGTTTATTCAAATGTGCGACTCGATGCCGGTTGACAAAGCCTTTGTTATGAGCCAGCGGCCGTTCAATTTCCTCGCTTTCTTCAGTCGATGGCTCCAGGCGTTTACCGCCAGGCTCTCTGGAAGACAGAACTATCGGCCCTTAGCGGAACCGGAATCCACACAAGAACACCCAATCTCAGTCGTCTGCATATCAGACACGCACAACTGGCAACCGGAGCTGCCAGATGGTGATATTCTCCTACACGCCGGCGATTTGACAGTCAACGGCACATTCGAAGAGCTCCAGGCTCAGCTCACATGGTTATCCGCCCAACCACATACTTACAAAATCCTCGTCGCCGGCGAACACGATGTCCTCCTTGACCCTCCATTTGCTCAGCAGAATCCGGATAGGTATCCTTCAGTGCCGGGACGAACAGTCTGTGACCTGAACTTTGGCAGCGTCATCTACCTCCGAGATTCCTCCGTTACACTACAGTTTCCAGAGCACGGCAATGGGCGCGAAGTTGCAATCCATGGCTCACCGTCCATATCTTCCAGCTCACGTGCAGGAGCATTTCATGTTCCCCGGGGTACGGATGTATGGACTAGAGCAGTGCCAGAAGGCACCGATGTCTTGTTGACCCACGAACCACCGTCAAAACATCTGGACGGTAATCTCCAGAGCGGCTGTGCGTTCTTAGGCCAAGAGATCGAACGAGTAAAACCTCGTCTTGTGGTGTTCGGCCACGTTCATGACGGATACGGTGTGAAAACCACCAACTTTGACGAGAAGGTCGTCCCAGTCGTGGAAGAGGCGACTAATCGCCAACGAAAGGGCTGGGGACCACTCTTCAGGGCCGCATGGGAACAAGCGGGCCATCTATTTGAATATATCTTCCCGGCAGTAGCTTCTTCATCAACCCCAGAGATTGAAAAGCCTAAGCCTGCCGTTACCACCTTAGTCAACGCTTGTCTTATAGGCGACCTACTTGACGGGAACGACAACATTAATGAACCGATAGTGACCCATATATAACACTTTCCTCGTTTATATGATATCTATACCTCTATGATTTCCTATTTCATCTTGTCTGGAGTCTGGGAGCCTGGTGTCGACGATAGGGACAAACACTGGCGTTTGATCATATATTACCTTACTTATTTATTACCATTTCTGCAACATTTTATATTCCCAATACTACCATCTCGGGTCGTCATGCATAACCCCATTTCTCTGTTGTACATTTAGCGCCCAAAAAGATGCCTCTTGACGAGTTGAGCTGGAACAGAGCATCTTTATCTTCGCTGCGTTCCCTGTTTTCTGCTGCTTTTACTTTTGCCCGACTAGGTTCGGCCCGGGATCATACATATCCTCGCATTTATTGCGGTATGTCAACTCACCCCGAATTCGCAGGTGAATGGAGACGCTTTTATTTCTCGCCGCGGCTCTTACATTCGTATAGAGCTTATCATAGCGACCATTACGATGATTTGCTGCTTATTAAAACAGTGTTGGAATTACTCCAGTCTGTCTGGAGAAGGTAGATCGACAGACATCATATGCAGCTACAGAGCTCTGTTAACTTCATTATAATTGGCCATATTGACGCCCTCCTGGGTACTGTACTGTATTCACTTAAATTCTATCCAATAGTGGAAAATAGTTTGCTAGCATGGTCTCATCCCGGTAGTTCTCAAAGTCGACCCTATTGAAACATGAGGTTTCATATCAATACAGCAAGGAGCAATGCATACCCATAAATGTTTTAAAAAATGAGAAAAGAGTACACCAAAACCAAACTCGGCAAGAAGGGCATCAAGAATCAAGCATATAAGAAACCAACGCCAATGAAAACATAATTATGGTGTTTACATGTATAATATATCCACGAAAAAAAAAACAATTAGAGAAGATGGAAAGAGAAAAAGGTTAAAAGAGGACTTGGTAGGAGAAGACAACAAAAGGGGAATCACTCATGCGGTCAAAACAGTACAAGCCATACTAGGATAAGCTGGTGGAAGAAATGAGATGCATGTCTATAATGATGGAAAAAGGTGGAAAGCAAAATATCTGCGTGTCATCTTCATGATCTAGTTGTAGACTCCGGAGGGGTAACTTGTGGTCCATCGTCGTGGTAGGAGTCATCATCTTCAGCTGCATCCGCATATTCGTTCGAGTCTTCATCTTCGCTGCTGAATAGAGGGTCTTCGTCATCGCTGTCGCCGGCGAATGCATCGTATAGCTCTCCTCCGCGACGAGTGCCCTTTTTGCCTCCGACACCGGCACCGCTGAGTGGGAAACCTTCATCTTCGTTCGCTACCATTTCGAATTCGTATTCATTGCGATTGTTGCGTAGGCGTTTTCGACGCTGAATCCAGAAGTATATGCCCAGTGCGGTGCAGAAGATGAGTATCAGGGCGATGGAGCCGTAGATCCAGATCTGGGTATGTTTTGAGACACCGAAGGTTGGGAAAGGCGAAGGGAGGAAGTTTTCCGCTCCTGCCGAAGGTGCCGCTGCGGTGGTGGCAGTAGGATCTGGGTTTTTGGATCCTGTTGGTTTTGGCCGTGCTGGTCGGTCAATATGATCGGTAGGACGGAATGGAGGGCTGGTCTTAGTTGGCCCTGGCTGAACGGAAGCCGTGCTGACGTGGGGGGCTGGAATGGCGGTATCATGGTCGTGGTCATGAGCATCGGGGAGAGGGTGTAGTTTTTGAATGCTGGGATCGATAGATTCTCCCCATAGAGTAAGACGCCAGTCAAGGAATGTTCCGTTGTAATTGTTAACAACGGTATCCTTGACAATGACGGTCCAGACTCCTGTTCCCTTTTCACCCCTATATGAAAGTTAGTTACGATACTTGGCGAGGTATGAAAGGGCGAAACTGGAGGGGAAGCTTACCAATGAGCAACAGACATGAAAGTCCAGTCAACGTATCCAACTCTTTCAGAGTCTTTAGATCGAGTGGTACTAAGGTGACTGACGACACCGCTCGGGCTGCGAAGCTCGACGCTGAGATCACCGCGACGGGTATGGTTGACATTCATAGTGACGGTAACATGTTCAACTCTCTCCAAGTTATGTTCCTTCAGCATCTCGGGAGATATATCAAAGGAAGTGGATACTCCCTTTTCGCCCTCTGGAATATCATGATAAACCTTCAACCATGGTGAGTGGAACCAAGCTTGTGGCTTGACGAGCTTCCATGTTTTAGCCAGGTGAACGGTAGAATAAGCATCAACCTTGCCGTAGCCAAAATCGTGGCTGAACTTCTTTCCTATGGATGTAGTCTGCCATCCCTCAGAAGTTTCGTTTATAGGAACTGCAGTTTCAACAAGGATGTATTGCAGATCACGCCAGGTCAATTCTGGACGGACCTGGAGAGCAAGTGCCATGACACCAACGACCAAAGGACCGGCTGCGGAAGTTCCTCCATGGGATGACGAACAAGTGTCGGATCCCACATCGGTGGTATGGATGTATCCACTGCTTCCACTGCTATATGTCACAACCAACTGCGCAGAGCATGATTCGGAGTAGTATGGGTGTTCATTGTTCCAATCAACAGAACCAACAGTAATACTGAAGATACTGTTAGTGTAGCCGTCAAAGTTACAGTTATCTTCGTGACCTGCTCCGTTTCCGGCAGCAAAGACAAAAACGGAGCCCTTGCCGCCACGACCCTTTTGAACACCGTTGGCAATGGCTCGACGGACCAGGAGTCCCGGTGCATCCATCGTCATACCATCGTCAATTGGGCCCCATGAGCATGAGTAGATATGATTCTCCTGGAATCCGTAGTTGACCGCTTCGGCTTCGTCTGCATCGTTGATGTATTTCGACAAGATGCGAATCCCGGCAACTTTGCTATCGTATGCAACGCCCACACCACAGACATTATTGTGAACCGCTGCAACTTCGCCGGCACATCTAGTGCCATGCTTATCATCATCGAGCAAAGGCCGTGGTTCCTCCTGCATCTCGTTAAAGTCGTAGGAGCCCTTGGCAAAGTAATTATCCTTTAGATCGTTGCTGTACATATCCAAGCCATCGTCAACGATGGCAGAAATAGACCCCTTTCCTGTGATACCTTCTAGCCATAGACCGGTAACATTGAGATCGTTTCCGGGGGTGAACGGGTTGAAGAGATGCCATTGTTCCTTGAACAACGGATCACGTATGGCTAAGGCATTTGCAATCTCACCCTGCCTCGACTGTGCCTCAGGGTCTGGAGTTTTATCAGGTATACGCTGGTTGAGCGCAAGGGGAGGCGGAGGCACTCGTTTATGGAGTCGTTTCTTCAGCGTCAGCTTTTCTGACCACAGTATCCCATCCAGTCCGTCTGTGCCGGCAGGTTCTCCACGGGCTTCCAACGATCTCCGGCGGCGAGACCTTCTCTGCAGGTCTTCGAGTATCTGGTTCAGGTCTGCACCTGTGTCCTTTTTTATAGAAAACGTGTGGTGTCCATCCAACTCTCCTATCTGGCCTTCATGCCGGGCTCCTAGCAACTGTTCTACCCGGGCGGGCGAAACCGAGGAGTGTAGATGGACCGCAAAGTAGTCGTGGGCGTCGTAGTCTCGGCGGTATAGCGCAGCATCGACAGCACCGGTGCCGACCAGCAAGGCCATAAGATGGAATACGTTTCGGAGCTTCATGATGGGCGTCTATTTTTGCGCTCTGGCGAATACCGCAAGAACCGGGGGGTGGATTTGAATCCGGCGGAATTATCGATTGGCGTGCATTCGACTCGGCCCCGGATGAAGAGGAGCCTTGTGCCTTTTTTTCCTATTATGACCTCGAAGGACAAAGAAGGAGAAAAACTAGCAGGCAACAAGCAAACCTGCGAGGCCTAGGAGTACAAGCGAGAGAGCGAGAGAGATCAGAAAAAAAAGCAAAGGAGAAAAAGACGCGGAAGGGAGTTTTCGAGGAGCGCCAAAGATGTTTGACTTGAAGTTCTTGGAGCTGGAGACACGTTGATCGTAAGCAGCTCAAGCGCAAGACAGGGCGGACTCTCGTGTTTTTCCACCAACAAGAGCAACGCTTTGCTGCTATTAAGTTACGCTTCTTCAGAGACACTCGACTCCTGCTTAATCTTATTGTTCTGGCTCTTCTACTTTTTCCTCAGGTTGCTCTCGAACTTGTCGCTGCCCCTGGTGCGTTATTGGCAGGTCTTTTTATGATACATACGGCATAGACACACTGGTGTGTCTCGAAACACTACAAGGCGGCCCTCTGGCGTCCTTTATCGTCTGTTCCCTTACTTGCACCCACTGAGTATCTTCATCCTCCTCATCGTTATCGTCATTGACTCGCCTCCCTTTGCTCCTATTTTCCTTTCTCCTTTCCTCCTTTTTGCCCCCTTTTTTTTCTTTCTCCATAAAAAGAAGAAAATCGATGGAGACGAAAAGTCACGTGGAAAAGTGTTATTCACATAGTCTTGTGATTCATGATTGGCTTATTTTTATATTAATATCCATTTTAATTGGTAATAATAGCTTTAATACAGCCAATGATTAATAAAAATCTAGCTGCTTATTTAGCCAATAAGATGCTGCACTGCCTCACCGGACAGAGTTGAATATCAACTTGGTAGCGACAGCATTTCTCGTCTGCGTTGTGTGTTACATGTTGGTGATAGACCCGACTCTTAGTGAATGATATAACTATAGGTAGCCAATGAGAGAGCCCAGACCCTATGTTGTTTTCTATTGACTTGGCGGTGGGTTTGGGGCTCAGGGGGATAAACGTCTCGCTGGCTTCTTTGGGTCGAGGAGCAGACTATGGATACACTTATATTTCTCACAGCTGAGGCGCGAGGGAATTCTCTACTTCTGACAGCTTTGATGGTATCGAGCAGGAGCAGAACGGCAGTGAACCAGAATCACCTATCCACCAGGCCGTGAATTACGTTCGTGACATTCTGGATCGTCTACTTTTATTAGAGACTACGGTAGAAAGACTCAGGCTGGAGGCAGCGAGAATACCGTCGACACTAGATTTTCTCTAATCTCTAGTCTTCCTCGGCCATGGCTGCGCGGATCCCAAGGCCTCTGTCCGTTATGGGGGAACGATGTCAAATTTGCTATCAGAACAGCTCCATATGGATGTTGCATGGAGGACTTATCCAGAGTTTGGGCATTAGTACATGGTTCCAGACGAGATCGATGATATCCTCCTGTCTTTAAAAGGGAAGGTTAATAATGCTCTGGCCGCTAATACACCTATATAAAGGAGAGTATATTCGAATACCTGCCTGTTGCATAAACAAAAGCGCAAACGGCGTGGGATTCTTAAATATATCCATGTCCGAGTATCTATAATCTATAATATCTATAGGTCTCCTGAGAAGAAAGGGATGAAGTAGGAGGACAAATACGAATAGAAACGGGTAAATCCTCTAGAAAAAACGCAGCTCTTTGTTCCTTTTTAACGCAAGAAACAAAAGTTCAAGGATATAATAAAATGCATATAATGCGGCATCATTGGCATAGTAATATCATGCAGCAACGCAGCACAGCTTAGTTCGCGTAAATCTTCGCTGTGAAACCATCTTTCGCTAACCAACGCCTCTGTGCTTTATTTCGGCACTTCGAGCAAACACCCAAAACACTTGGTCGTTAAGTCTGGCCCGCCTGGGGTTTGTTCGGCTGAGGACGGGGAAGTCCGTTTGAACCTGGTGTTTTCGGTGGGCTGAGATGGCTCCTCGTGTTATTCCTGCAGAGCAGGCACACAAATATCTCCCTTGCGTAAAGGCACACCACTCCCTACCGCAGACCCTCCTCTAGTTCGTGATTCAAGCGAGATCTAGAGTCAACCCTTGAAAGCCAGCCAGGGCTTGATGGGGTTCATGCACAAGCTCCTTGCGTTAAGATCCAACCATCTGAGCCAAAGCCAGACCGTGTTACCATCATGTCGATGCTAGCTGGGTCTGCTCTCGTTAAAAGTGTCCAAACAATGCCTGCGCAGTTGATGTACAGGGGTACTCCAAGCATCTCTCCGCAAGATGGAGATCTCTTTGAGCATTTTCAACACATGGTTGAAAGGGATACCAAAGAGGGGACGTATTGGTCGGGAAGATCAGGCCAGATATAAACGCGATGTCCATCCTCGTTATCGACAGCCCCAACCTACAAATTTTCATACATTACTACAGAACATTTCAGACCTGACGGTCCAGAAGCAGCTCTTTCGAAAAACTACAACCCTTGAGCAATGGAAGAAATCAAGAATTTACTTTACCCCCTGAGCCCGCCATGCCGTGTGCGCACACGGCCAATGGAAGTGCTATGTGTCGGTCCTTCTCGGAGTGGCACCTGGTCTCTGCGAACCGCCTTGATACATCTCGGATATGTGCACACATACCATGGATATGACGTTGTTATGAATCCGCCGGACGATAAAGCATGGTATCTCCTTCATCGTCAAAGACTGAGGCACAATGAAACTCAACTCAATACAACACAACTCTCCATAACTGCCGCAGATTTTGACCGAGTGATCGGCCACTGCGCTGCCATTACTGATCATGCCGCGGCAGTTTTCGCACCAGAGCTTATCGCAGCGTATCCCAAAGCAAAAGTTATCCTGAACACACGCCGGGATGTTCAAGCATGGCATAGAAGCGTCATGAACACAATCATCGTGCACTCGAGAGACTGGACATTCTGGCTGAAAAGCTTCTTCCACGCCGAGCTATTCTGGGCCCAGCAAGGGTATTATCGAGGTACCCTGAACTGGTTTTACCGAGGAGATTTTCAACGAAATTCCATCGATGTTTTGATGAAGCATCGTGAACAGGTGCGAAGTCTCGTGCCAAAAGACCAGCTGCTGGAATGGGATGTTGAAGACGGATGGGAACCACTGTGCAAGTTCCTCGGTAAGGAAGTACCGGACATCCCTTTTCCAATAACCAACGACTCTAGCTCGTTCTTTAAGAAGTGTGATGAGTACTATGAGGCGCAGGTTTGGAAGGCCACTCGAAACATGTACATCTTCTTCGCCTTCCTGCTCTGCATGGTCATTCTATATGTCGTCCTCCCGTGGCAAAAGTGACCGAAGATCCTGTGGCCTCCCCGATTTTTCCCGCTCAAGACATCGTTCGATCAACGTCAAAGCACTCTTCGAATAAATGACATATTAGATTTTATATAGTGACTTCATTGACGCCAAAAAAAAATAAGGCCAAAAACTCAGGCGGCAAATGACGCGCCTCATTTCGCTTATTAACATGGTTTCCGTGCACAGAAGTTTAAAACAGCCGCCTATAAATCATTTAGAGATGGCCAAAAAATTAAACACTCTCTTCCTTCTTCGTTGGCATTTCGATTATTAGGTGGGAGAATGCATACTTGATTATTTTTTTCTGACGTTAATGATGTTTATAATGGCGAAAAGGAGTCCACGGGTTGTTTTTTTGTGACACCGTTCCCAATGCTACAAACTTTTTTTCGTTTTCTGCCCTGATGCCCAAACCCACGAAGTCACGACATTTTCTTATTATATGATTTTTTTATTATTTCAGGGTATCATCAAGTGTTCATTTAGGCGTATATTAATATGTTTACGTTTGTTATAACGACGATTGTAGGGTGGTTTCTGTGGTTTATCCCTAACGCCGTTGTTCGGCATACCCCTCAAAGCTGGCTTATCAATATCTCGCACCGTCTGGAGCGTGGCCGGAGAATCAATAATTCCAACTGGGGAGACCCGGTTGTTAGGATTACGCATAATATCGTCGTTAAGTATGGGGCTGGTGTCTCTCCCGGCGAAGCGGCAACTCAAGAATATGCCTACCAACATGTTGACCCCAAGATTGTTCGAGTTCCGAAAGTATACCGCTATTTCCAGCACCGTGACCCCTTGGATGCCAAGCTGAAAGGCTACCTCTTTATGGAATATATACCCGGTCAAAACCTGAAAACTTTGAATAACATCGGCCCAAACAGTGAAATAACAAAGAAACTGACGAAAATAATCATCCACCTGGGGCAGATAACAGGCGGAAGTGTACCTGGCCCTGTTGGCGGCGGGATACCCCGAGGGGCCCTGTGGGGGGATAGCGGTGCAAAGAGGGAGTTCCAGTCCCTAGAAGATGTGAACGACTGGATTAACAAGCGGATGGAAACCCTTGAGGAGACCATTGACCTAACTCCTTATCCGCTTGGCCTTTGCCATATGGACCTATGCCGTCGCAACATGATACTGATGAAAGATAAGTCGCTATGCCTACTCGACTGGGGCTATGCTGGATTCTTTCCACGGTTTTATGAAATGGCAGCCATAAAATGCGGCAATGACCATTATAGCACCCCACTATTTGAGGCCACTTCCAGAGCGATAATTTTGACGGAAGAAGAGCTCCGGTGCATGGATTTGGTTATTAGAGCCCGGGATGCCAGCTTCCAATGGACGTTGTGAGTTAACCTGAGAGACCTTTTCGAGTCACCACTCTAACTATGATGTCTTAGTGATCGGCATCTTTATTGCAAACCTTCTATTTACCCGAACTAGGTGAATCCTAGATACTTACTTAGCCCATTACACCTATAGATGGTATTTCCATGAGGTATCTCTATGATTACAGCACGGATGTACGAAGCTATATTCCAAAACACAACTAGTTATTTACATACGACAAAGGTAACTACAGTTATTATACATACCTTTTACTTTCATCGCATATTAACTATATGGTTGATTATTCCTATATTTTTAGGGAGCATTCGAGTTTAAGGAATTGTCACGAATCTGCACTGAGTGTGATTTCAACACCATACATGTCCAGCTCAACTCGATACACATCACCAGCTCCATCTCGACCAGCCTCCTCGGCCAATAACAGTCCTTCAATCGACAACAAAGGCTTGTTACTGCATGAGATTTATTAGCTATCTCATGCAAAGAATGAAAACAAAGACACTCGCATTGGTCCGTTAACTAGCCTCCACTGCTGCATCAACCGATGGAGCATAAAAACGCCCCAACAAGTCCCGTCCAATTTGTCTCTCGAGGACACTTGATATCCCACTAAAATGCCATGCTGCTGGACATCCCGTAGCTTATAGTTTTGGTCGCTTGTTCCCTGTAGATGTAGACGTATGTATAGGAGCATGTCTGGTGGCAAACGACGACTTAAACGACCAAGCTTTAGTTAGATAAGACGCCGGTAAAGCCGTTTTTCAACCATGGATCTCACCTTCAACGTCGACCCAGACAGAGGCTCTCCTCCATGGCTATAACGATAGCAATAACCCGCACTAACATGTAAACAGCAGCACTTGCGCACCGCGAGCCATCCCTGACAGGCGGATGCTGTGTATGTATGCAGGGAGTCGAAGCCGGGCGCCCAATGACGTGAAAGCGCCGCCAGCCACCGCAAGGCCTGTCGCACCGCCGACGTCGTGGCCACTACCTTCGCAGCATCGCATCGCCGTTTTCCCTCTATTATTGACGAGGCAAGGAACTTATCATCATCCTGCACTTCGGCCGCTGCTGCTGCTGAGTTAACCGCTTGCCCATTGGAGTCCTTAGCTGGCGTCTCCTTCATCAAAGGCACATCTCGCGTTCCTGCAACTAGTTACGGCTTATCGTCACTACGTATCCGGCAGATCTAACACCTAACAACCAACTACTTTTTTTTTCTCTCACTCCCTGGAGAAGCATAACCCTGGAGCTCCTCTCAGGTCATTGGCACCGCTTTAATTTTACCATACTCTAGTGCTGGACAAGGTAAGTCTCGGCCTTCTAGCTGGTAAAATTCCCTTTCGAAGGACATCTATAAACTAACTCGTCCCAATATCAGCTGCCGTTCCGCCAGACCGACCTTTTCTCCCGTCCCCTCGCAAGACCCAAATCGTTGTTGAAATTGAATTTATTATGCCCGTAGAGGCATCGAATTAGAAAATTTTCATCGAAGAGCAACATCTTGATAGTACTCACCGCACAATGGCTTCCAGAAGAGCATCCAGACCGCATGACGAACCCCAGAACTACAGCCCGGCCCACAGAAGCAACGGGACAATGCATAGGAGTGGCTACCCAGACCAGCCGCTGATTCAAGATGAAGATGAATTACCGTACGACTCGGTCTCGCCCAATGGAGCACAGGACACCCTTATGAACCCGCCCATGAGCCCTAACGGCGCATACCAGAAAGTAAACTCACAGTCAACATCGATACAACAAACCCCAGCATCACCAATTATGAACTCACCACCCCAATCACAAGCGAGCGCCGAGTCCTCGCCTGTAGTGCGCCAAAACTCACAGACAGCCTCTAGACAGAAAAAGGCAGCAAAGGAATGGGCTCCTGCAAGGTCACCACTGAAAAAACTAGAATTAACGCTGAATGATATAAGCAAAGAAGAAAAGCGTGCAAGAGTCGAAGAGGCTGAGATGCTTCTGAGGGAAGCTCGAGCAGGCCTCCAAGGCAAGAAAGTCAGCCGTGATGCAGGCGGTAAACCACATCTCGCTCCAGACAGCGGCAGGAACAAGGAGAACACGTTCAAACCCACAAATATTGAAGAAGCCGGCCTCCTGAGAAGTTTAAGCACTAAGCAGAAAGACAAGATTCGTGAAAGTGCTCAGATGGAACTAAAAAAGCCAGATCCAGACCAGCTCTCTGATAGTCAAGCGGGCGGGTTCGAGTACGAGAGAACTCATCCCCCCATGGGCTACGACTCACCTTCCTCTTTCAACGATCGTGCACAAGTATCGGATAAGAATCACTATAGCCAGCTGCCAGGAGCTCCACTGCCGAAAGGCAGCCAAGGGCAGCATCCAAGAGACCTCTTTGAGCCTCCCATGGAGGAGCATAGCTCGGGAGAACCTTCTCCCCAGACTGAAGATGCAAAGAATGGCCAAAGCAAACAAAAGCATGCATCAGTGTCCTTTGCTGTTCCCCCACCAACGCCCCCGCCGGTTTCTGAATGGATGCATGCGGTAGTTGGACGGTTATGTTTGAGCGATTTTGACCTCCGGATGCCAGAGATGGACAGGGACTGGAGAGGACGGGGAAGCAGAGGGGCCAGAAATGCGCATAGAGGGATTGAGAGTGGCCTACCTAGAGTCTCACTCAAGAGTATGTTGATGGAGCATATATGATTTTACCCCTTATTTTCTATATGCTAACTTATGCACCTCAGAAAACACACCATTCAACCCCCCTCTATATCTAAAGTGTGGACCTCTCCTTCGATTCACAGGCACGGCCAAGGAGACGGTAGACTCGCCGAGTGGTCCCTGTGACCGAGAGATTTGGCGAGGATCTATCTTGATTGTTACTCAGGACTCTGCATCGTTCTATGATACCCCACCGACTCTAAGAATATTCTCGCAGCCAAAGGAGTTAATTCCACCACCTCCACACAGTGTTCCTGGTGAACATGATTCGCCCCTCGCGCCAGAATACGTTGATCCTATAGCCGGCCTAGGGAAAGTAGGCAGGAATGGTAATTTGCTTTATGTCAAACCTGTGGACCATATAGAAGAAGGGCTGGATCTTTGCTATGATGAGACGGAGGAAGGGTTATTTGAACGGTCCCCCAGCCAAATTGACTACGCGGCTAATCGTCGTGTATCAATCCCGCCTGACACCAGGATCCAAGGTATTGACGGAGAAATGGTTGGGAAATACAAGGTGGTTAAAGCCAGCCGGATATATGTAGACCCTGGCAGAGACACTACGTTCTGGCGATTTAGTCTGGAAATCGAACTTGGGGACAAGGAGGAGCATGTTGCATACCGTATCAATAACGGGTCCGTGGTCGGTTTCTGGGTGCCTGCCAGGGGTCAAACAATGAACATCTTATACCACACTGGAAATGGATTTAGCATGTCAGTCGATACGGACAAGTACAGTGGTCCTGATCCGATGTGGCGAGATGCCCTTAATGCACATCAGTCTCGTCCATTCCACGTCATGATTGGCGGAGGGTCTCAAATTAACAATAACCCCATTACCGTGGAAGCTGACCATTTCCGAAAATGGTTGGAGATGAAAGGGAAGAATGAAAAACATGAATACCCCTTGAACCTTGACATAAAGGGGGAACTGGAGGAGTTCTACCTTGAGAATTATGCAGCTTGGTTTTCCCAGGGGCTGTTTGGCATGGCAACTTCCCAAATTCCCATGGTCAATATGTGGGATGATAACGACATTATCGGCGGCTACGGCTCCTTTACGGATGAGTTGATGAAATCTCCTGTTTTCTCAGGGCTTGGAAATGTTGCATTCAAGTATTACTTGCTCTTCCAACATCAAACTGCGGTCGAGGAGACGGAGGAGCACGAACCAAGCTGGCTTCTTGGATCGGCTGAAGGACCTTATATCCGACAAAAGAGCAGAAATCTGCTGATGAATTTGGGCGAAAGAATATCGCTTTTGGCAATTGATTGCCGTACTGAACGATCGGTAGGAAATGCTCGTTTCATTCAATTATAAGCGGTATCGTTACTAACTTGAGGCTATGCAGAAAATGGACATTATGATTGATGAAAGTTATGACCTGATCTGGGACCGATGCCACCAGCAGATTATGAAGGGGGAAACAAAACACTTACTAGTGCTGGTTGGAGTTCCGGTTGCATTCCCGAGACTTGTAAGGCCCCCCTTGACTTTCTTTCCTATGTGACTGAGTAATACTAACAATTGAAATAGTCATTAATTGAGGGAGTTCTCAAAGGCCCCGCAAAGGCTCTTGGGCGAAATGGCGTCTTCCGCAACCCAAGCACTAGGATCGAAAATACTTCGGAGAAGATGGACGACCAGTGGACTGCAAAACAACACAAGCTTGAGCGGAAATGGCTGATAGAAGATTTGCAAGAACTGGCAGCGGAGAAATCGATGAGAGTAACTATACTAGGGTATGCATCATTCATCACGTTGTAAAAAGAAAACCCCTATACTAACGTCCTTTTCTTTCCAGCGGCGGAGCCAACCTTGCGGCTGTTGGGCAGTTCTATTCCGACCCCAATCTACAAATTCCCAAAGACAAGGACTACAGATACATGCCGAACGTAATAGCTTCCCCGATAGTGGACGCGCCTCTCTCAGAGATCATGACCGACACCCTTAACAAACGCAACAAGGTGCATACGCTGGACCTCAAAACAGTCGAGGACATGCGAGCAATGTTTTGGCATGATGTAGAAGGTCAGCCACGAAATAACAAGCGACTGCTACCCCGGAGAAACTGGTGCTCTATCAGAGAATACACCCCAGGTATGTTACTTACTCACCCCATTACTATTAAACGAGGTTGTAAAAAGAAGCCCTTCAAATTACTAACGGGCCGTCGGTAGGATGTACTCCTCCCGCTACACCCCCGCCCGAACCCACTTCCCCAGCTTCTCCGGCGTCTTCTGCGGATATGCGCCCCGGAAGGCTAGGGAGAACGCTTTCGATGTCCCGTGGTGATAGGCCGGCCGGTGGACTCATGCGGCGATTGTCCCTTAAAGGCCAGCGTCCACAGATAAGCCATCCCATTCCTAAGGACCAGTTTACACAGCGTATGAGCTACGATGAGCCCCGACTACGAAGGGAGAGTATAAACCAGCTTCCGGAGCAGACATACAGTGACGCCAATCTCCCACGAAACCCGAGCTACGGCGACGCAGACGGCGACACTTCTTCATTACCAAACAAGTTTGTTCGACGCCGCACCGATCTCAGCATTCGAGAGATCAAACAGGCAGCAAAGGGCGGTCCAGACCAGCATCACTTTATTAATATTGAAGGCGGGTTACATATCACTTTCAATTGTGAGGTCAAGCCCCGAGATCCGGCCGGGATCACAACTCCTTACCATGTTCTTATCCCGGCACTGTCGTTTGATGGAGAGTTCGAACCGAGCATCGAAGTCGAGAAAAAGCAATGGTGGAAACTCGGGCACCGCAAGAACAACAGCAGTGCAGCACAAATTGATGGTGCTGATCCAGCAGCAGGAGCAGTAAAGGCGGTGGATGACGAGCAGCAACAGCCGCAGCCACAGTTACAGAAACAGCACCACCAACACCAACACCATCACCAGCGGCGGGTCGAGAGCGATCCCTACCGCCACTATGGCGGTCCCGATCATAGGGAAGCCGGACAAGGATACTATGAGGATGAGGATGATGACGATATCGACGTCCGGGGCTCTCCCCGCCACGCGCAATATGCAGCCCAAGGCGGTCGATCGGGCGAGCTGTCCTCCCCCAGAGTGCTTCCCCAGCCGCCACAGCAGACTCAGGTCAAACATCATTATTTCAATGCTGCGACCATGGACCCGGCTAATGGCGGTGAGCATGGATACGAGGGGATAGAAGCATATCGTCCGAGGAAGAAGAAATGGCTGGGGATTCTTTGAAATCCGGCGCGATCGTCCGCTGTTCTAGACAACGAGACAAGATCGCAGCGGCCACTTACTCAGCAGTTGATCTCGCCAGCTGCTGGTTAGGCTAGCACGATGCAAGATAAGGAATAACGGGGGGTGGGTTAGGAGAAACGAGGGGCACCAGTCTGTCTTTCTCTAGCACGTTTCATGCATGTTTTAGTTTTCTGGATCCTTTTGTTTAGAGGCGTTCATCGGTTTTACTGCATCTTCCAGCCATACAGAATGCTATCAGCGTCCCCAAACGAGATTTGGCAGCCACCGATTGGCAGCTCGCCTCGGCCCGCTGCAGTCTCTCTGGCGTTCCGAGACCCCTATTGGCCTCCTCGCTGCTCTTCTCCAGCCTCTCCAGCTGCTGTTCATACCCGTAAGCTTCTGGATCCCCCGTATCTTCCTCCTATCAACTGCGGCCCCCTATCGCCTCCGTATGCAAGGGGCTGAAACCTATATCACGTGACCTGCGCGACTATCCGATATTTCTTTTTCGCTTGATTGGTAATTTCGAACGTTCGAATTTCTAAGACTGCGACGTCGAGCGTTCCTGCGCGCTTCGAGACACTCAGCAAACCGCCAGCCCACGCCAGCATCGATCGAGCTCGCCAGCTGCTGGTTACGGATTACGGATTACTACTCCAGCAAATGTCAGACTGCCCGCCGGCTAGTGTCTGCCCCGGTCCTCTTCGCCTCTCGCCGTCTCCACCGCGCAAACCCTGCGGCCACCGCTTCCTCTGCTTGCTGCTCGCGGAGCCTTTAAAAGCACCACCGCCACCCTGTTTCCCTCATTCTTTCGCAGATTCCCCTTCACTACAGTCCAATCCAGCGTTGGACTCTCTTTGGCCGCCGTAACTTCCATCCAGCAACGAACAACCGCTTCACACCCTTCTTCCGCGTTCAGGAAAAGCCCAATATCAAACAGAATGGCTCACACTAAGGTCGTCAGTAAGTGGACTGATCCCCCTCCCTTTGGCCCCCCCTCCTCCATCGGCTTGGATAATATGTGAGATGTGGACTAACGAAAGGATAATAGTCATCGGCTCCGGCCCTGCCGCCCACACCGCCGCCATCTACCTCTCCAGAGCCGAGTTGAAGCCGGTTATGTACGAGGGCATGCTTGCTGGTGGCACCGCTGCCGGCGGTCAGCTCACCACCACCACCGAGGTCGAGAACTTCCCCGGTTTCCCCGAGGGCATCACCGGCCCAGACCTCATGGACAACATGCGCAAGCAGTCTGTTCGATTCGGCACTGAGATCATCACCGAGACCATCAGCAGAGTCGACCTCTCTTCCCGCCCATTCAAGATCTGGAAGGAGTACGCTGACGGCCCTGATGCCCCCCCTACCCGCACTGCCGATGCCATCATCATGGCTACCGGTGCCAACGCTAAGCGTCTCAACCTCGCCGGTGAGGAGAAGTACTGGCAGAACGGTGTCAGTGCCTGCGCTGTCTGCGATGGTGCCGTCCCAATCTTCCGTAACAAGCCACTCTTCGTCATCGGTGGTGGTGATTCCGCCGCTGAGGAGGCCATGTTCTTGACCAAGTATGGCAGCAGCGTTACCGTCCTCGTCCGCAAGGACCATCTCAGAGCTTCCAAGACCATGGCCACCCGTCTTCTCAACCACGCCAAGGTCGAGGTCAAGTTCAACACCGTTGCCACCGAGATCACCGGTGAGGCCGCTGATGGCGGTCTGATGACCCACTTGAAGATCAAGAACGTCGCTACTGGCGCCGAGGAGGTCGTTCCTGCCAGCGGTCTTTTCTATGCCGTCGGTCACGAACCTGCTACTAAGATCGTCAAGGACCAGGTTGAGTGTGACGCTGAGGGTTACATTGCTACCAGACCCGGCACCAGCTTCACCAGCGTACCTGGTGTCTTCGCTTGCGGTGACGTCCAGGACAAGCGATACAGACAGGCTATCACCAGTGCAGGTATGCATTTACACTTATTCTGAAGCAGACTTTTATCATAGACAACGTTGCTAACAGCTCTGTTTTTTAGGATCTGGCTGTATTGCCGCTCTTGAGGCTGAGAAGTACATCTCCGAGCTCGACAGTGACGTAGAACCTGCCGCTGCTCATATCGCAGCTATCAAAGAAGATACCAACCCCCAACTTTAAATGTGCTTTTCTGCGTTGAAGCGCCCTCATGACATGATTGCATTGATACATTTCCTTTAGATTTCGCATTTATGTAGATATCCCTGTTCTCAATAGACAGACCCTTGTTTTATTCTCAAAACCTTGAATTTCCCGTCCTGTCAAAAATGCCATTTGCGTTAGTAAAAAACGCTGTAGACTCTTCCACAGAGCACATAGTCCTCGTGCTACTCACTATTTGTCCTTGTTACATATCAAACCACGGTTATATATCAATAAGCAACGCTCCGTATTGTTGGATAAATACTTGGAGAGTAAATAACCACCTAATGTACACTTGGTCAATAAATCAAACGCTCCGCCCAGTTTTCCATCCGTGCATGTTCCCCCCTGTTGAGCAATGTCCAGGCTCATAACTCCTATATGTCTCCCCCCTGGTATAAAAACTCCCATAATGCTGACTGACTGAAAAGGCCGGAAAGGTATGTACAGCAGGAGAGGATATGCTGCAGCTATCCCTCAGAGCCTCCTTACCTTCTGCCTGCCATCTTGTATCCCATTCGCAGGATAGTTATCCCGCATATTCTGTGCAAAAACCTCAAACGGATTCTCTGCACACCATTTATCCTTGATCTCATATGTTCGCCGCTCCCCACTCGACTATCCTATCTTTTCCATTTCGCAAAGTCCCCCTCGTTTCGTCTTTCGATGAACCCTCCATCTGGTCTAGATATGGCTTCTTGATCTCCTCACTTCATCGCGCCACATTTGGCCAAGTGCTTGTCGGATTTCGTCTCGGGGAGCCTTTGCATTTTCTTTCCCCGTAGCTTTGATTTTGGCATTGTCGCATTCAGTCTTGCAAACATACCAGTAGTCTTTCTGGTATAGCAGGAATGGGTTCAGGGCAAGTTTGCGTGGGCGAGGTTCTGCTGGGCCAAGCTCGGAAATGATGGCTGCCCACATGGCTTCATCGTACGCTTGTCGCAACACGTCTTCGGATGCAGGTGCGGCGGCCGCAGAGAGTGATTCGTGAGACACGCCGTTAGGAGCAGACACGGGTTTGCGTTTCTTCTGCGGCGAAGCGGAGGTTGGAGTCGTTGGCATCGAAGCATTATTTGAAGCCTTATTCTTTGCTGGCACAAGAGGCGACGGAATATCAATCGGGCCAAGGTATGACTCGATAACTTCGCTAGCTGCCCGTAGGCCAGAGAGATATGCTCCATGGACAGTTGCCGGGTGTGTTCCACAAGTGGCCTCACCAGCGAAATATAAAGTACCAATAGACTTGGCCATTGCATCGTAGTCACCGGGTAGTGCCTCAGCCGCTACGTATGAGTAGCTTCCTTGCGCGAACTTGTCTTGGCCCCATCTAGTTACGATGGTCTCGAGAGGATCGGGAACGGCCTTGTCTTTGAAGATGTTTCTTAACTGTGAGGTGACCCCCTTTATTATCTCCTCGTCGGATAATTTCTCGGCCTCATGGGCTGATTCTCCAGCCATTAGGGCAATGAGCATGGGTAATCCGCAGGTCGCCATACAGTTCCAGAAAAGATAGAACTGTCCCCGATTAGCACGGTAGTCATCCTGAAGCATGCTGTTTTCAACCGTTGGCTCTCTTAAGAGACCAAACATATCCCTTTGCATATCCCAGAAAGGTTCTTTGAAGACAAGAATGACTTTATTCAACAAGCCGAAACCAAGGCGTTTGATGGCATTGGTTTTCCACTCTGGTAGTGCTGGGTTAAAAGCCACGGATGACCGCTTCAATACACCAAGGGGAGCCGTGAATACCACCTTATCGGCGTAAATTGTTTCCCCATCCTCACACTCAACTCGAGTTTTCTCATTCGAGGTCGAATCAGCGTTGTACCATATTTTAGACACAGTCTTCTTCGTACGGACGTCTAGTTTTGACGGTAGCGACCATAGTCCTCGTGGTAACTGCTGGTATCCACCGACGACCTGAGCATGTTCTCCTTCAAACTCATTGCCCATGTCTTGATCCCAACCCGAAAGGCTGAGCTTTCCAACACTGGCAGCATTGGCATATTCAAGATTGGCAAAGTGCCAGTTCAGCAATCTCATATCTTGCGGTGTGAGATCGAGAAGCTTCTGGTACTGATTTATCGCATCATCCATCACCGCGCCAAGGCTCTGAGTACTGGATGCATTGGCAATTTCATCGAGAGATAATGAATCAGCCGTGGAAACGTTGTTGCGCAACTTCCAGCCCATAGCTTGACAGGTTGTCGCTGCTGAATGCTCTTTTGTAGGCTGGAGCTCAGAGAGAGCTGGCCCAGCTGCCGGCTTAATATCTGTCGTCTTGTGTCCAACGCCTCGTCGTAGTCTGGCAGCTGGCAATAATGTGCCCGTAGTCCCAGAAGCTGCAGCATCCTCGTACTCTCTTATTGTTATTCCGTCATCAGCAGATGTGTCTCGTCCAGAGTCAATTAGCTCTCTGTCCCCTTCCGCTGTGGGTATCGCAACCGATTTATGGCGATATGTCCCTGACCTATCTAGTATATCATTATACAGCTTTTCTGTCATCGAATCTCTCATTTCATCGACAGGAAGCCCATTTGTGTCATATATTGTTGAAATATCACGGAGTAGATGGTAGCGTAGCGCAAGCTGGGCACGTATGATTGGGTCCAAGGGATTACCATGGTCAAATCCAACAATGATGTGTGCCCCCATTTCGGCAGTAGGACGGAGTCCCTCGGGCAACTCTGTCGTCTCAAGACTCCGTAACGGATGAGAGTATATTCTGCCACCTATCCGTTTCCGGCCCTCTAGGAGTATTATTTTGGGAGTTACTGAACCGCCATAATAATGTTGAAAAAGCCCCTGTAGCTGTCTGGCGCATCCCAGTCCAGCCATACCGCTCCTACTATCGCAATTGTAGGACCATCTCTTCGTCGCCCGCGTTTCTGAGTGGATGGGCATTTAGGTATGTCAATGCATCCGAAATTTATATACCCATTTCGGACAAGCCAGTTATACGCAACTGAGGCGAGTGGCATCCATCGAGAATCCTTTGCACAGCCCAGTGCCTCATCTTCGGTGACGCTGAGCATGGGGTTGCGTGACCACAGGCGTAATATACCATTCCGAATATTAAGGTATGCGGTGACATGTAGATGGCACAGGTGGTCCTGCAACAGCTCCTGTTCACCCTTGTGAAGAGAATACGGATTTAGCCTGGAGATGTAAGCAGATTCTACACATTGTTGCCCATATACGGAAGATGGGATGCGTGCAGGTATCGACGATCTCGGCTTGACTCTGTTTGATAGAGCAGCGTAGTCCGTCACCTCCCTCTCAAGAGTTAAAGTAGAGGCCGGCGCGGTTGATTTCAGCTGCGCATCTGACGTTGGAGAGGGATTAGGAGGTAATAGCGATGATTCTGATGTCGACGGCGTCGATCCGCTGGGAGGCGCATCATGGCCGTCTCCTTCTCCTCCCCCCGGCCTTGTTTCCCTCGATATCTCACTAAGACCAGTAGAGCTGGATAATGATGGGGGAATCGACGAGGACAGCGACGAGGACTTGCTGTCTGATGCATTCGAGTCCTGGCTCCCTTCTTTCCTCCCCGGTGTGATATCTGCGCTGCCTCTGGTGGCCTCCCCTGATGAGTGTGGCAATGGGGCCACGGACCCTGTTTCCGTGTTGTCTGCAGGCTCAGCTAGCACATCCTTATCCTGCTCGTCTTCAGCGGGATCCTGAACATGCAGAGCGTCGTCCATGGTGCGGTGCCTGGAGAAACGAGCGGCGCTGGTGCTGCGACGTAGCGGTTCGTTCAAGTCCTGCATTCGCGGCAAGGGAAAAAAGGTCGACGTCGGTGTTGGTGGAGAAACTTTATTTTTTTGGTCAAATTTTCGGTGTCACTTTTGCAATCAACCATGAAGACATCAAAGACGCCCGTGAAGACATCGACAGCATCGCATGGATAGGATCAATGATTTGGACGGACATCGTTACCCTTAGACGCAATGATTTATTATCCCTCCATATACCTGGCTATAAATTAAATATCCAACTCTCTACCTGGTAACTCCTGTCGAATCTATACGCCTCTGACCAAACCATCGTAGGAATAAATGCATATACAAGTTATCAATATCATATCATGGGAAGCAAAAAGAGACCATTAGCTTCTATCTCGAGTCCACATGCCGATGCAGCTTATAGGTCTCATCTTTGTCGTCCCCGTCCCCGTCAGCAAAGATATCTGACTCGTTATCCGTAAAGTCATGATAACCAGGGTCAAGCGCAACATTATCATCATCAATATCGATGGCCACGGCATCATCAAAACCAACTGCCTCTTCTTCGTCCCTTGCAAGGGAGTCAGAATTTGGGTCATCAGCAAACCCGTCTGGCGAGGTTGTCGTTGGCCGATTATTGGATGCTGGACCACGGAGATTGGCGCGCTCTTCAGCCTCAAGCTGTTTTGCGCGGGCAAGAGTGCTAATTACCACGAGATACTTAGCAACAGTTGAAATTTGTGGAAGAGAAAGCTATAAAAGACGTACCGCTTGTAGATGTACCAGCCTGTGAAGACGCCGACTGCCACACTCACGAGAATGCTAATAATATTGACAGCCTTGGAGCCAGCACTCATTTCTCCCCCATTCTCTGACAGGATCCTCAATCTGCTTCCAATAAAGGTAGGAACAAGAAACTTGGGGGAGATGATGGCCGTTGCAAGTCCGTACATGAGCGGACTCACGGTGGGGAAGGTCGAGACTGCGCCGTTGCATAGTGAATACGGCAAGGGGCATAATCGAATCATGCACAATAGCTTTAAGCCATCATACTTGAGGGTCAATGATAGTGCAGCAAACCGTTTGTCGTGCTTCATAAGCCTTTGAACAAACTTAGACAAGACGGTGCGTGATACATAAAAGGAGCATGTCGACCCAATAACAGTGGCGCACGCATATATCGCCCATCTATAAAAATAACAAGGTTAGATCAAGAAGTACTTCCCGACGGATATCGGATGAAGGAAGGTAAACGTACCCTTTCCAGACGCCGAATATGAAGCCTGACACCGTTCCAACAGTCGACCAGCCCACCATCGGGGGAAAAGACATCAAAAATGTACAAAGCCACAATATGAAGTATGCCAGCGGTGCATTCTCCCAGTCTTTGGCAACAGGGCCCAGCCATGCGAATATCTGGCCCGTAACAAACATGAAGCCTAGCCCAAGGGCGATCACACCGAGTCCGGCAAATACAGTCCCTATCTTTTGTAATATGGTCATCTTCCCAAAAGTTTCCGATACCCGCTGGTATGATCGTCCCATCCGGTCGATTGCCCGGTCACGAAAGCCCGTTGGATCTGATGTAGCAGAAGGCATACCAAAGAGAGAGCTCCGTCTCCTGTCTCTGCCTAAGCCGGTATGCGGTCGACTCCATGGTGGGTGTACGGAACCCGGCGAAGGCGATGGAGAGGGTGAAGGCGAAGATGAAGACCGTTCGCCTGCCATGAGAGGTGCCGCGAGGGTCTCCGGCGTCGAGCTATGTGCTGCAGCCATGTGCCTGGTGATTGAGCCGGCTGCTTCGGGAGAGTGGGCGAGGCAGGAAATCCGGCGAGGAAGAGAAGGAGATAAATAGTCTCGCTTCAGCGCATCATTCCCGGCGTGACGCGTACTTCTATATCTCCAGTTCGTCGCAGGAGTCGCCAGCGTTCAGGTCTTTCGTCGATTCGTATTGGGTGGGAGAATTCGGATTCAGCTTCGGGACTTTTGTCGCTGCCTGGTCGGGTTGTTTGGTAGACAGTCGAGATGTATATAAACAAGCCCGAGCGAAAATGTCAACTCCAACACAGCGAATGGCTTACTCCGCAACTTCTGCTCTTTCTTTCTCAAGTCCACTGGCAAATTGACGGCTTCAGGTTCTCTTCTCCTGTGCTTTTTTCCCTGGTTTCAAGCGCCCAAAAAGATCGTCCATCAACGCCAGCAAGGCTTGGAGATCCTTCAAGGGTTTCGAGACTCTGCGCTTGATAAGCCTTGGCACGCTATAAATAAATTAAGCTTGAATAACACTTGGGAGATAAAAACACACCACGTCGATGTCATGTCGATGTCGATGTAAGTATTAATGCTGCCGACTTGAGGATGGCTGGAGGGAAGGTAGGCACATAGCAACCTGCGTCCAAGTGAGTTCTGGCGCGGTTAGTTAGTTTCATACTAACGCTGACACGTCGACAGATCCCCATCCCGCCCACAACCTGGCGGCCGGCGTTGAAGATATACAGGAAAGACCATCTCGCTGTCCATACTGATGATGGCGCTGTCGAAGGACGCTTACTACGTCTGATACTGCTGGTACTGAGTATAGGTATTCTTTAAGCTGCAACCTGCAACCTGGTGGAATCGAGCTTTCCCATCATCCACTCTACAGATGAAGACCCCTCTACACAACACACGCTCATCGGGAAAATAAGAAATCATTAAACTTATTCTCATCATGATGAGGTTACATACTCTCACCATACATGGTCAAAAGGTCAAAACTCATAAATCCAGGGCAGAGGAGAGTCTCAAAAAACAACGCACTCAAGGAAAGAATACACGGTACCATGGCCAAAATGAAGACAGGCTGTATGCACTGGCAGCGTACCCTTGGTGCCAGAACATAAGGGCAGTTGTACCACCCTTCATTGATCACTAAACAAAGACGTACGGAGCTGTCTTAACCAGGTGTACCAACTTATTGGCCGTGTAGCTCGGAGACCCTGCACACCCGTCTCCGCGGATTCGCTTAAGATTATACAGCTACATTCCTCTCGGCAGATTGGCATTGACACGCACGAATTGCTCACCTTTGGGGGGTGCGGACACTAACCCGAGCCTAACCTCAAGGGTCTCCTTGCTATAGGTTGATGGCAGATGTGATTGGTATATAAAAAGGACATGTGGGATGATGATTCACCGGTGCAAGTTAGTGGTTTTTTGCTCTTTGATTTTCCTACAGAAACATGCCATACTCATTAACCATGGATAAGGTGGGCCAAAGGACACTGAGTTTTGAATTTAATCATTAAGTTCATTTCTAACAAACCGTCCCACTACTTCCTCTTTTCACATCTAGGGTCCTTGGGAATGATGACTTCAGCTGACAGCCAAAGGTCCCACGGCAGCTGATGCATCCTGTGTTTAATTCTGAACCGTGTGATGCTGTGACTCCTCCTGGGAGGGCGCAAGTACAAATCGTTACATGAAAGGAGGGGCTATCAGGTAACTAGAGTTGTGATTGATTTCAGCCCTGGCTATAAGAAGTACATCCATTCACATCCCTGTACTTAACGGCTGATTTGCGTTACTTAAAAACACTTTATGCTTCCAGCCCCTGGGGAATATATGCACCTACTTTCAATTAAACTCAGGCTTTTGAGTCCAGGGTATCAAATTACCTTTTACTCTAGACAGTGCTCATTGCAAGTAATATGTTACCCCTCAACCCTGTTTTTAGGAGCCTGTCACTGAGTATGGGGGTAGAAGCATCTCCGGTTTGATGCCTTTCGCTAAGGAATGAAAGCATCACATTCGGTTGGCCGTAATTGCAATAGCGGGGGAATAGGACGAAAAGGTGGTACTTCTACGGTATGACAAGCCTATTGCTGGCATATAGGAATCTGTAAGTAGTAGCTGCGGCTATGAACGTGGTATCCGTAGATCATGACATTGTGGCTGTGATGCCTTTCTCCTTTACCAATCACCAAGCGAGTAAGGGCTACCCGAAGCTAAACATGTTCTTCTGGTACTGGGTGCCCTGGCCCAAATCGAAAGCTCAAGCTGGATTTCTGTTGTCATACCAGTACTTTTTCAGCTGCAGACTATAATACTAATTGAGGTAATGGTAAGACCAAAGGTCACATACTTAAGATTCGACCGCAAACCTACTTCTTCTGGGTATTGCAAACTTATTGCGTTCCTGGTGCATGGGTAGGTTATTCTCCAGTGAGTGAGTTGCTAACTAGTGTGTCTATAGCTGTTATTCAGGATATGCAAAATAACATTCGATTGGGCTAGTTTTCCAAAGCGAATGCATTTTTCCGCGGACAATACAGCAGGACAAAAGTGGATATCAAAGATCTAGATGCAGCCCATTTGGATGTATCTAGGTTGCGTCTATACCCTCGCTACATGCTTTCTATGCATCAGTAATACTGAGTAACCTATCTTCAGCTACATCGAACCGGCAGCAATCACTCTTTTTGGGGATATTAAGCGATAAAACTCAAGGTAAATGGTAATCGACTGCAGGAAGACGGTAAGAGACATGAATCAATTGTCTTAGACGCCAAATCTAAAAGCTCCTCAGGCATCCGTTGGAATCCGTTGGGCAGCACAGGGAGTACCCCCGTTAGAGTCTCATCTCAGGAAAGATAGCTGAAATTTTGTGAGGTAGCCTTGGGATTGGTAACGAGGCCGGTCCTCCCTCTAACGAGGGAGCACAGCGGGGCTTAAATACTGCAATGTGTGCCCGCTGCTGAAGTGCTCCCTTTTCCAAACTCCAAGTTTCTGAGAGCAGATAGGGTTGCTTTTATACACCTGCAAGTCCATCCTTTATCCTCCTATTACCGTTGAATGAGCCAATGTCCTTGGAGTAGGTCCTAACACTATCTTAGATCACTGCCAACCATCCGACAAACAGGGTATACGAGCCACACAAAAAGCGTCAAAATGCGTATTGGCAAGGCCGTGGAGAACGCTCTCCCACTACTGAACCAGATTGCTGCTTCAGCGATTTCTTGGTCATCGGGGAGGATTGACGTCTTCGGCCTGGGGACGAACAATGGTTTATACCATAAATGGTGGAACGGAAGTTGGGGTCCATCCACCACGGGATGGGAATACCTAGGCGGCGTTTTCTCTGCCGAGCCAACCTCTGTCTCTTGGGGCGAGAATCGAATTGACATTTTCGGAATCGGAACGGACAACCAAATGTATCATAAGTACTGGAATGGGCAAGCTTGGGGCCCTTCACAGACTGGATACGAAGCCCTCGGCGGAGTATTCAGCAGTGAGCCAACCGCCATTTCATGGGGAGAGAATCGCCTTGACATCTTTGGGCTCGGAACAGACAACGCTTGCTATCATAAATGGTGGAATGGACAAGCCTGGGGCCCTTCTCAGACCGGCTGGGAGAATCTCGGCGGAGTGTTTGTCAGCAAGCCTGCAGCTGTAGCATGGGGAGCTAACCGAATCGACCTATTTGGAATTGGAACAGACAACCAAATGTATCACAAATGGTGGGATGGATCTAGATGGGGCCCTTCGACTTCTGGCTGGGAGGCACTTGGTGGAGTATTTAACAGCTATCCTGTCGCGGTCGCTTGGTCTGAAAACCGTCTTGACATCTTTGGTATTGGCACAAACAACGGACTTTTCCATAAATGGTGGAATGGACAAGCCTGGGGCCCCTCTCAGCTAGGATGGGAGAACCTTGGAGGTGTTTTAACCAGCCCTCCATCTGCCGTTGCTTGGGGCCCAAACCGTCTAGACATCTTCGGTACCGGTACTGACAACCAGATGTATCACAAATGGTGGGACGGCTCACGATGGGGAGGATGGGAAGGCCTTGGCGGTGTTTTCAGCAGCGGCCCATCCACATGCTCCTGGGCAAGTAACCGCCTGGATATCTTCGGACTCGGGACCGACAATGCGATGTACCACAAATCCTGGAGCGGACGATGGGGACCATCACAAACTGGCTGGGAAAACCTTGGAGGTGTTTTCAACCATTAGAGAGGAGAAAAGCACACCACTCAACATATCCATCTTTCCTATCACCGGTTATATAATGGACAAATGCTAGTGTATTGGTGAGGATATTCGGTGGCTTTCTATCCCGCTCAAACCTTTGATCATGTTTTCAGCCCACTGATACTCTCGTTTAAAGTGATTTTTATCCATGATATGTGATGTTTAAGCAGTAGCCTAATAATATGTTGGGCTCAGACGCCTCTATACAAGCTATTTAACAATACAATGGTGCGTTCCGTTTTTCTTGTAGTTACCTAGGTATGTTGTCATCGACTGTTCAAGCGCGGAGTTCAACTGGCCACGCGCTGAGTTGTCCAATCAACTTTGTTCAGTTGCCGCAAATGTGGGCCGCGGATGCATATGAACCCGCACGTGACTCACTAGCGACCTTTACGACTTTGCTTAATCGCAACTTGATATAAACCTCAGTTGTTACTCAATTGATCATGAGTTGTTGATGCATACTCGTGTTTGGCATCTTGTTTCCCTATATTTTACATCCTTCATGTCTATTAACTAACATTGACTGACTAGATGAGCGTCTCGTACACCAGAACTAGAGTAATTTTAGTTGTGAGTGACGAGTTCTAAGACCTCAAAACACAAGGCAAACCATCCAAACGCTTCAAATTTTTCTCAATAGATTTCTCAGTTATGAGTCACCTCTTGGCTTGAACTCTAATTACATTTTTCTACAAGTATAATTTCTAATCTCCTTTTTATTTCTTTCGTTCTCTCTCTCCCGGACTTCTTCACCCACGCATTATCAAGCGACAGATCGCTCCATCACTAAAGAGAATGTCTATATCCCTTCCTGGTTTCTTCTGCTTATAGCCTGTGTGAACGCTCCTTGTTTTTTATTTTTCTTTTTCATATACTGTTGGAATATTCCATTAGCTACGACTCGCACTCATTACCCAAGGATTCCTTGGGGTATTAGGCTTTTTTGTCCCCTGTGGTCCAACATATACAGTTGAGGGCACAGCCATGTTGTCTTCAACCACTGTAGCATTTGCATCCCTGGTGGCCTACATTGACAACGCGCCCCAGTGGTTTCGACCATCGAATGATGGGAGGCTACGTTCTTCAAGGGGCTCCAGCGAAGACAATGATGAGGAGCGTCCTGACGGCTGGGTTGATCAGGACCTGAGGGCTGGGGGTCTAATCCTCACGCAATCACCCAGTGTCACGATTTACTATCCTACTGCTAATAGCCTCCACCGCGAAATTATGGGTGTAAAGTCAGAGCTAAGCAATAGCATTCGTACTATCCTTTATGAAGCGAAGCTTAGCCTTGCAATCTGACCTTTTTTTTTTTTTTTTTTAGCCCTCTACCTACGGTACGATAGGTCGCACCAACTTTGCACCTTTACAGCCCTTTGTCATCTACAGAACTTATAAGCTTGGAAGGTCCACAGAAACCACTCGGGGGTCGCTCTCAGGGCTTAAGACTGCGCATCTTAACGTACCTGACGGCAGAGGTGGGATATCCGAGGTACCAACTTTCGAGTACTCCATAACTAGCCCGTCATCATGCTTGTTTTCAGATCCCGGGGACTCAGGTGCGCTGGTTTTCGATTATGATTCAAACTGCATTGGCTTGGTCTTCGCATGGAATCCAATCTCGAGGGTTTCATACATAACCTTACTACCAGATCTCTTCAACGACATCAGGATCATCACTGGGGCCTTTGATGTGAGGATTGCTGAGTAGCTTCGTCCAAGCTGCTTTCCAAATCTTCGACAAATTGAGGAAGTGGGATATTTAGAGAGTAATTTCTAGGTGGGCTATGATGAATTCGGTGGAGGATACTAGGAATGTTCTAGATGACTACTGAATCTTTCAAGCCTAGCGACTACTTGAAATGGATAACGAAAAATCAAATCCAAACAGAACGAATAACTGGTATTTTGTATCTTACTTGGAAATCAGGGAGCAGTTCCCGTAACTATTATAATACATTGATGATACCTAGCATGCTAGCTCAAAATTAAGGGGTAAAGGTAACGGTTAATACCTGGGTCCGACAGGTGGAATACACAAACTTATACCAAAAAAATGCTCCTTGAAATGCTGACACATAGAAATCATGACTGATATGGCCTCTTCTCCGAACCTCTACTTCGGCATGTAATTCAAAGAAAAGCCCCCTTTTCTCCGTTCCTGATCCCCATTAATGGGCTAAAGCGTTGCCCACGATGCTAGGGTGTAAATACTCCTCGAAATATCGTTGTAAAAAAGAAGCCTCCTTCTCCCTGGATGCATATTGTTACAGTTTCAGTGATCGTGGTGCTATCGATGAGCCCATCCATTGGCCACAAGCACCTGCATTTCGTTTATAAGGCAGAAGGAACCAGCCTCCGTGTTTTTTGGGCCTTCTTTTCGGTATTGGGATAGTCGTCTTCGAACTGTATGTTCCGTAAACCATGGAGTGGTGAACCACCGCAAGAACCGGTTTTTCCATAGACCTTCAACTATAGATAGGGTTGATAGCCATGACGTCTTTTTGGGATTAACTGCTGCGTAGGCAGGGGTATTATATCCCACTCGCACATTTGGGTTCAGCCACACACCCTTGTTGTGTGACAAGGGGTTATCTGCATGAATCAGACAGCATTCCGACCCTTCAAGGTGTGACTTTGCAAGGCCATCAGAAATACCTCTGAATTTCAACGGAGGATCCTGGTAAAATGGAGAAGAATCCATCACGACTGATTTACCGCAGTGTTAGCTTAGATTCCATACAGCCTTTGCTTGCTTGTGATAATTAATCAATAACTGACCTGCTCCATTCCAACAGCTCTTGACGGGGATAGGTTGGCTGTACTTTATCGCCCGTCGGGATAACCGGGATCTAAAGTACGGCCAAGTCTGCATGAGTTGATCGCGCCCTTCGGAGTCTCGGAGAGCAAAGGTGTCATAGAAGTTTGGGGGTTTTGAGAAATCAAGCGAACATGCTGCCGCATATTTGCCTCCTCTAGTTGATAGCAGTCTACGGACATCCAAAGTCTATAGAGTACATTAGTAAATAAAATAGAGAGCACGAAAGGGTAGAAATTCTCACGTTAAACACGACATCGTTTAAGAATAAAACTTTGTCGAAAACAATGCCAGCTTCCTTCATCTCATACAGTGGTTCCATGACTGAGTTGCGCAGGTTGGCAAGGTACGGTATGCGACGTAGCTCGGTCTGGCCAGCTGGCGTTTTAATCCATCCTGAGCTAGCAGGGGGCTTGCTGATTTCGTCGAGATGCGTTGTGTCATTGAGCAGAATTCTCCTCGGGATATTATGTTGGGCAAGCACTTTATCCAGGTAACGTAATTGGCCCTTCGAGTCATCCCAGCTGCCGCTTTCATGAAGGCTCACAAAGACGTTATCTCGACCAATAGCTTGAACCAACTCAACAAGGGCTGGTATCCATGCTTCCCGCAAGATTTTTCCGTTGTTCCAGTGTATCCCGGTGATGTATATCTTCTCGTCTCCCAGAGCACCAGGCTCAGAATTGAATTGATGGATAAGAGCCCGCTGGACCCAGAGGACTTCAGCGAAGCTCCATAGAATGGCCACTAAGGCCGTAGCCAGGGGAAGCCGGCGCGCCCTTCTGTAGAAGTACTTGGGCAACCTCATAGTGGTCGTGTCAGCCGCATAGATCGTGATGATGAAGCCACCCTTATGCAAGGTATACGATAACTAGGTTTAGCCAGATTGCAATTACAGCAGAGTCGCACACCTCGCCGGCATCCAAAAATGCAGTGAGCCAACTAGTTAACTTACTGGTTGGTGATGTTTCCTTTCGCTCCGGTTGATCGCTATTAGGGGGAGATGGGCAACACGTGACCTGGTTTAGGCACCTAGTTACTTATTTAGGTTAGTGTGACAAGCTAGAACTGGTAAGGATAAACATTTGAGATTTCATTAACTAGTTAGTTATTGATCAACGTAACCATAATCCAACCTCTTCTCGATCGTTGATAAGCCCGAAATTGAGAAATATATATTACCGCTTCGCTTGAACGACAGTTGGACACCCATGCTCACGATTCAGAGCCACAGTACGTACAGAGTAACCAGTTAACTAGCGACAGCTCTAGAATCCGAACAGATTCTCATCTTCCTTATACCCCCATTTTGTCAAAGCAGGCAACACGGCTTTCTGGATCATCGCTGGTGGACCACAAAGCAGAGCAACGTTCTTCTCACCCGGTTCAAACGAATGTTTCCTGATGATATCGTCGTTGATGTGACCTTTTAGTCCCTTCCAGTCATTGCTGGGGGCAGAAAGGACATGCACAATCTCAAATCGATCTCCATGTTTCTCAGCGAACTCATCCAGGTCTTCTCGCAGCAGGATATCACCTTCTGTCTTGTTTCCATCGATAACCCTAATTTTTGTTTTATCATTGCCATTTCTTAAGATCTTTGCAATGACCTGGTAGCCGGGAGTGACTCCGGATCCGCCCAATATGAGGGAGACTTTGTCGAAATTATACTCCTTGCCATCGACACTGAAACAACCGTTGCCGTGGTAATTTATCTCGCCCGACGGGCCTTTAACTTCAATTTCTTCACCGTCACGAAGACAGTCAAGGATATTGCTCATTGTGCCGCCTGGCTGGTCTTTGTTTGGGAAGTATGTCTTTACGACAAGATCAAACGTCCCATCATAATCCTCGTTTGAGATAGGGCGGACGGGGGTATAGGGGCGAACAACAAGGCTGTCCTTGAAATGAAATCCGACTTGGACATGCTGGCCAGTTTTTAAGCCGAGCTCTTTCGCTTCAGGGGGGAGCTTAAACGTGTACCGCCTTGTATCTGTAGAGAGGGGTTTCTTGACAACGAGTTTTGCTTGAACCCATCTAAAGGATCGGTTATCAATATAAAGCACCCTAACGTAGGGGTGTGAATAGGGTAGCATACCTGTGATTATCTAGGGCAACCTTGGAGTCCCTATCCTTCAACTTTTCCCGTTCCTTTTTCTTCTGTTCCGCATCTTTCTTCATGTGATCCATGGCTTTTTGCGTGACCTTACCTAGGATACACTCTATACGCCATTAGATATGGGGTCTAAAGATATATATGCTTCGAACATGGAAAAGGGAAATACCTTTGAGCTTAGTTTGGGCGTAATCGTCATGTATACTGCTGAATTCCTCAGTGGTATCCCAGTGCACAGCCCCAGCATGCGCCATGATAGCCCCCTTACCTCCTGGGTGCCAGCTAAGGACTTTCGTTGCATCATATACGTTGCCATTTACAACGATCCAGCAGTCATTTTCGGTATGGTGCTTTTCAATCTCTTGTCGAGTGAACTGCTTCTCAGGGGAGCTGGCATTACGTTTGATCTCTTCCATCTGCTCCTCTGTGGACGGTTTCCTCCAACCATTCGTCCCACTACCTGCGTCAACAGGGTGGCGGAATAGTAGATATGCTTCCTCATCCTCTGGACTATCAAAAACCTCGGGCTTTACTTCGTACCAACAGTTGTTCATCATTCTACAAGGCGGTTAATAAATATGATGAGTACGGCTATGAAGCACTCAAGAGGGACATGTTCTTTTGCTCACCCTGCAATATTCCACACTGGCTCTCGGGGCTGTGTGTTTTTGTGTGAGTCAAACGCCCGAACTAGAATGCTTTGTGCACGGATGAGCTTAGTTAAGTCTAAGTCGACATGCCAGTGCAACCAGGTCCAGAACTTTTTGCCGTGCCGAATTGGCTTGTCAGGGTACTATATGGTTTATGACTATTAGTTTCCAGGAATCGCGGTCATGGAAGATAAGATGAAACTCACTCTGCGAGAACAGTAAAGCCAGGTCTTTCCACCGTCTAGACTGATCTCTACCTTATCAATTTCATCTCCGCTTCCACTATAGGCAAATCCCGCAACCCTATACATAGTTCCCTTCTTGACATCAACCAGGTCAATCTTTTCCCCCTGAGCCGGTTTTACTATGATGGAATTCAACATCTGTTCGTTGCAGATAGTGCTAGGATGATGATACATCAACTGTGCAATCTCAGATTCAGTATCTGTTATAAAACTTGGGAGTTGCCTGTTGTCGTAGATATGATAGTGACTGTCATTCTCATTCTCTGTCACCCATATCTTGGCGAGCCACTTGATAGATCGTGCTCCCACCCAGCCGGGGAGTATTAGTCGCAGGGGGTATCCATGGTCAGGCGGGATTGGATGATCGTTCATTTCGTACGCAAGCATCACATCATTGATAGGATCCATGGCATATTCGAGCGGGACACAGGTGGCATACTTGCCTTCACTAAGCTCATCCGCCCCCTCATAGTTGACCCATAATCTTTTGTTGGGGCTTTTCTTCAAAAGACTTTCCACTCCTGCCCTCAAGAGAACGTCACGGAGAAGAACTCCCTTCCAGTAGGAGCAGCTCGCAGAAGCACCTGTGAAATTGAACGCTCGAGTTCTTTTGATCATATTTAGTTCCTTTCGGCGGCTTCCGTCACAGGCCAAAAAGACGGGTATGTTAATACTGTCGAAGGACTGCTTTAGGTCGTCCATTGAATAAGTTAAATGTTGGTCAGCAATTACCTCCAGTTCATGGTTTTCCCATAATAGATGTGGAACAGCACCGTGATTCCGGACATAATGAACTGGTGAAGGAGTAATAATTCCAGCCTCAAAAAGAGCAGTTAAGTCAGATTCTGCGTTCATCGGATGTTTGCCTGTCAGACGTATCAACTGGTCGCTACGAGGAATCCAATTATCAGGAGAAAACTGATCCGCTTCGTCAATTTTCTCTGGCAGGTTATCATCGCGAATCGGACAGTTCCCTTTACCATCGTTTGTTTGCATGGATGTTCGGGTCTGTTGTTCATGTCGAAGGAACTGTAAAAGCGCCTCTTCCTCTGGTGTAGGTTTAGGCTTCGCCTTCTTCTTCTCCTCCTCTTTTTTGCCCGGTTCATCTACCTTTCCCTCCTCCTCAGCCTTTGCCTTCTGGTTTATGGGCCACGGTTGTGCATACTTGATAAAGCTCTCGGTGGTATGCAAAACATATCGCCAGTATTCAGGATGAACCTCAGGTCGGTTTAAATGAAAATCCTGTCTAGAATCAGCCCAATTGAACTTTCGTAAGATCAACCTCGGTGCTAGTGCGAAATATAGCTGAGTGTCGTTACAAAACCTTTTGGTCGGTCATAATGTCACGAACGGTGACCAATTCTCCCCTGGCCACCTTCTCGCGCAGCTCTTGGATCCTTTCATCTACTTCCTCAAGCTCATCGTAATGCTCGTCCCCTCCGTGCGTCACTCCCATAAACCGGGCATCCCGACCTCGAGTTCCGACACGGTGGCTATGTGTCCGCGTCCAGTCAGGCTCATTGAGGATCTCGAGGTCCGAAGCCCCTGGGTGTTTGGCTGACGGCATATTATCTGTTATATATCATAAAGCTCTATGGGATGTTATTTCAATTGATAGCTTCCCATTCTCGGGGCCATAATCACAATAATTCCCTGACCTGGCTTCCCGGGCACTCCGCTTGATATATATGTAAACATATCTACGTCATAGCTGGCACAAAAAACCGACTCTGGAACGCTCACGTTCATTGGCTGGAAGTTTAACTAAGTTTAGGTCGCGGGTTCGTTGCTAAAATTAGTTAGCAATGCAGGTGTCTCATTGGCTGTTGAAACATACAAAAACCAACTCATGAATTTACTCAATCCTGCATGAACTTCAACCTCTAGGCTCCGACAGCTTGAATTTTTGGACAGAAATGGGAGCTTGAAGCAGAAATCAAATGGGAAGAAGCCGGAAGTAGTTGAACGTGTATAGCAGCCTGTGGCTACTGTGTATGTCTGAAAAATGGCCTCGTTAGAAGGCAAGACATTCCTGGAGAAGGGTGACTGAAAAAGGTAGCTATCTATATCGATGAATTATCTTCATAAGGTAGTCTGTAGCTTGGGGTTAGGAGAGCTAACATGTGGGTCATTTAATGGTAGGCCTTAGAGCGCTTGATGAGGAGATAGGCAAGAATGAGATGGTTATTGCCTTTGCGCCTATTCGACTAATTGCTGCGGGCGGATTCTTGGCTGTGATGATGCTTCACAACCGGACAGCTACTGGTGACTTGGACTACCTGATGGAGCCTGAATGGTCGTCCGACGTTGATATCCAGAAGCCGTTTCATGATGCAATCGTCAAAGTCAGCCGCGATCTTGACTATAACATCGAATGGGCCAATGAAGACATAGGCTTATTTGTTACTAAGGACACGAGAAACTATCTTTTTAGCAAGGCAGAGGAGCAGAATATTGTGTTATTCAAAGGAAACTATCTCGTTGTCTTAGCTGCGCCTATAGAATGGGCACTTGAACGGAAGATCAGGAGGATCTATGCAGCAGACCGGGGGCGGAAGACCGAATTTGACATGAGCGACTGCCTCGCAATGCTGGGATACTTGCGAGAGCAACAGAATGGGCCACTGAATCGTGAGCATATCCGTACCCTAAACGTGAATAACTTTGATGTCTTGCCCGACAACATGACCATGGAGATAATAGCCATAGCCTACCGAGAAAAGTTTGGCGAGGAGATTTTCCAGAGCTAATTTTTACCTATCATTTCCAAAGCTATGTATTCCAGTTTGGGTATAAGCATTGTAAGGCTCGACGCCAAAGCAAACAGCCGCATCCACCAATATATATTGTGATTGCCATCTCTGGTTGCAGTAAGGATGAATATATGATGCGGTAGTAGTGGGATGAATGACTAATCCAGCATTACACATCTCTTGCAGCCAATAACATTTTATCCCTGCCAAGTCCCAACCTTATCTTCCGCCTCTGCAACTGCAGGTCAGATATCGCTCCAAACCATGGACTGCAACACTGACATTGACGATGCCCAAACTTCGCTCACTTCCCTTCTGGCTGGCTGTGAGAGTCTTCTTCCGACGCATTTACTATCAACTACAGAGCCCTCTTGCGCTGCGAGGCAGTATCTATAGCCTTAGACGATTCCACAAGCACCCCTATCTCGCGCTTCTCCGTCTCTTCATCCCTTGGCCATCATGGCGATTCCCCCTGCCGGAGCAGATATCAGTAAAGGAAATGCTTGGAAACGAAACTCTTATGTTTGAGAGGCGACGGCACTTCAATCTATACACAAGTATACCTATCTGGTGTATGCGAGATACGCCTATACGCTCCCTTTACCGACTCTACGAATCAATGGCTTCCGGCGAATATGCTCCAATGGGCCGAGAGACAGAATACTTCTGGTACAGGGGGTGGGAATTGCACGCAATTGAGGATCCTCGAGATCCGGACCCTGTGCGGTATGCCATTGTGGCGTCTCTGGTGGAAGAGCTTGTTACCGCATTCAACTGGCGGCTGAGCTTGGGTATGAGGCGTAACCACCAGCATATAATTCGAGAAAGTAACAGCGACCCGTATCCCCCATATACACCGGTAGCTGGGCCAAAGTGGGCGAAATCTGTGCCCGCAATCACACCGGAGAGCTTGGATGGACTGCCTCAAGAGTTTGTAGATGAGAACCAGCTCGTGCTGGAGGCGAAGGGCTGCAGCAAAACGTTCTTGAAACGTAATATTGTTACAAATGTTGGCTGGTTATACACTATATAACTGTGGGAGCCAGGTATCGCTACATATGCTCAATGACTCTAGCTGCTACCTTGATTCTATTAGCATATCACCCCAAGAGAACGTTCGCGGCCCGTCTCACGTACAGCCTTCATTCCAGCATCCAAACAGGAATGATATTAATATCATCTTCCGATAAAGGACAGACGCAGCAGCTCTACCTCTAGAGGAATATGGCTCCGCGGAGCAATGTCTTAATTTGCGAGATTTTCCGGATGCTCATGGTTATAACACTAACATCCGCACTCATGAAGTTTCCTCTTAAGAAAAATTCGTCAGTAACTGAGCTTCCTCTGTCTGCGCGGGGAACTAGAAGTAAGAAAAAGTGTGTATTCCCACCCAATATATGATTTGCTGCTGACCACGATGATACGGCTTCTTTTGTTGGGTAAGACTAAATCTCCCCAAACTCGCCGGTATTAAAAGTACTTAACATCAAATTTTGTTAGCCTGTTGATGTCTTCGACAGCTATTGTATAAATTTATGCTGCCGTATTCTCATTGACATGGCCTGCAAGTAAAATATAAATAAATAGTTACATACGGGCTAACAAAACTTTCATTGCTTCAAAGATTAAACCATTTGTCCTCCAGGAGTTGCTTGGCTGTAGGTCTATCCCTTGGATCGAGCTTCATGATCTTAAGAAGAAAAATTTTATCTTCCTTTGAAATTTCTCGCTCCGAAATCCGCTCAAATGGCTTCCGCTCCGCAGCTGATATATTGCTCATGATATACATCAAAATCGCCAACGACTCCTTATCGGCGATTTCTTGATATGACTCTGGGAACGGACCAAAAAACAGGCATTGACGGCGAAGGATCCTCAATTCATACTCATTATGGTCCGCCGGAACATCCGGTTTAAACATGAAGAAGTTGTCTCCATAGATGAGGGTGATAAGCTAGATGATACCCAGTCAGTGGTCAGTGCCCGTCATTTAAGAGAGTAATAGATATTTTGTGCAAAGCATACAATTGCCCCAAATGACCATATATCAGTCGGCATCCCCCATCCTATCTGCAACTGGGCTTCAGGGCTTCGCCATATCGGTGCACCAATCATATCACAATCCTTTGCATAATTTGAATCGGCTGGAACAGTGTTCCCGCAGTCTCCCAATTGTACATCTGTGAAGCGTATATCTTCATCACTATCTGTGATGTTGTCCTTAGATTTGTAGTTGACGAAAACATTGTCTGGTTTGATATCTGTAAATTACTGTTAACTAATATCCTTATAAAGTATGCGGGATCTATTTAAGAAGAGTGGGAAGTTACCGGTGTGGACAAAACCTTCCTCATGAAGCACTTTTAACGCCTCAAGGATCCCCTTAGCAACGTACTTCACCTCCTGGCTTCTCAGGGGGGTTTTCAAAGCCGCAACGTCGAGGAGATTGTCATCTAAATGCTTCAAAACAATTGTAGGCGGTTCTGACGGCTCTGAGATCTCATCTACCAGAGGGCGCAGGAAAGGGGTTCGAGATTGAAAGCGCTTTAGAACATCTCGTTCATTTTCAATACGAAAGTGGTTGGCGCTTTTAACGATCACAGGTTGCTGGTCTTGATTCCTGGCTCAATCTGTCAGTTAGCTCAGCCGTTGAATCGGAACCGATGAAGGATATGCATGAATACTCCTTACTTGGCGAGCCAAACGGTCTCTTGGAGTTGTTTGGCAATGGTATATGTTCCCTTTTGAACTTTAAGGAGCTGGCCTAGAGAAAAAGAAGGCAATATTCTCACCATGGTAACAAATGTTTGACATTGCGTTCTCCTCTTGCGGCCTGGGAAGTGAGTTGAGGTTGAATCTCAAAACGAAAATCTCGGGCCTCAATTTTTCCATTATAGAAGATATTTATTAGGTAGCTTCTTTTTCTAGGTATAATAACTTAGACATACACAAGCCACACAAGTGGAATACGGAGGCGCAACGGTAATAACCCCCTAGGCCCTCCTAAGGCCGCAAACAGAACATTAAACCTTTACCGACAATAAATAGAAAGTATGCCTAAGATGGCTGTCGTTCAGAATCTTGCAGCCTTGCCAACTCCAACAGCAACCGGTATATATATATAGTCATGTCAACCTGCCTGAACGCCAGTGAAAACCACTCTCGGCCCTGGTTAGCAATCTCCCGCGCACGTTCACGTCCAGACACCGTTGAAGTAAGATAAGAAACCATCTCAGGCAGTTCATCCATGCTCTGGCTAACGGGTATATAATGCACCCACGGCACCAGCCGGTCATCATGCCATTCCCGCAATAAAGTCTGTTTGAGGGGCGCTGAGTTCGATGCAAGTAACTTGTAATAACGCCCACTGATGGCGTTACCGTCTATATCAAAGACCAGTCGAGACTTGAATGCTTTGTCCTTGTCTGCCCACGGTTTGGAAGGGAAGTAAGCCCTTTGTTCTCTGCAGTATTTGGTCTCGCATTGAAATATCTTGGTGAAGGCAACGTCGTATAGCCTGGCATTAAGGAAGTATGACCTGACGCTGCTGAGTACACCTTCGGTCTTGTGGATATAGCCATGCTTGCGTGTTTCCAGGTTCTGTGCAAGAGCAACGAATCTTTGGCGGTGGTAGTGTTTCCAGGAGCTTGTTTGAGCAAAGGCGCCAGTCGTAGAACCAGCCCAGTAGAGATTGTTGCGTTTCTTAAGCCATGCGACGTCCTTTGTGCTATCGTATTGGAACTCAGATTCAATGTAGGCGGGACTAGGGTATAGGATGTCTCCCATGGCGAGAGGTGAGCCGGTTGATAAGATGGGTACCAGGCCCTCGAACAGGCGGAGGGAGGTAGGACTCATGAAGAGGCCATTCATGGTGGCGTATTCAGGGTGAGTGCACAGATCCATATCTTCTGTTCGATTGATGACGAAAGGAAGACCATATGAATATATCTCCACTGGATTGCTAGAATGGCCCTTCTTAGAACCGCAATGCTTGGTGACCGGCTCCCAAGCTGGCTGTCTGGAGAGATTGGTCAGATTGAATTTGGTACTATCCGTGTCCTGGCTATTATGAGGGAGTACGACTCTCGGCTCGTCCAAGTGGTTGACGAGAAACTTGACATCTGGGATGGTTCCTGGTATGTCTTTCAGTAAGGTATCAAACAGAAGCTGGATATGTCTGTCAAAGGAGCGACTGGGATGATGACACTGAGTCTTAGTTATGGAGCCATGAAAATTGCAGAGCCAAAGCTCGCTGTCTGCAGTGCTTTGAGCGCGGTCCATGGTTTCAATCACCTGTTTACCGCTCAGTTTCCAAAACGGCGAGATAGCAGTGTATATCATGTCAAAGTCATCGATGATGGGGGATTTGTGAGATTTGGCAAAGTAAAGCCTGGCTTCAATCCTGA